TTGAAATGGCTTGAGCACCCATTACTTAACATTCTCTATTGGGCTGCAATCCTGAACACATTTACCTAAGACTAAATCCCCATTCGGGACACGGGTGGCGCCTAGGACTTGCCGATCGCATGGTCGGCAGTTCGAATCCCCGCGGTGGGATGCGCTCCCGTCATTTGGTCCCAGCACCTGCCAACCTAGCAGTTCGAAAGCACCCCCGGGTGCAAGTAGATAAATAGGGACCGCTTACCAGCAGGAAGGTAAACGACGTTCTGTGTGCTGTGCTGGCTCGCCAGACGCAGCTTGTCACGCTGGCCACGTGACCCGGAAGTGTCTTCGGACAGCGCTGGCTCCCGGCCTATAGAGTGAGATGAGCGCACAACCCTAGAGTCTGTCAAGACTGGCCCGTACGGGCAGGGGTACCTTTACCTTTACCTTAAATCCCCATTAAACACAGTGGGCCCTACATTTGAGTAAATAATTGGATGATTGAGCTGCCAAAGGGTGACCACTCCTACTGAGAGAACGAAAATGCATGACACACACACACACCCGGTCATAAAATCATAGAATTATAGAGCTGGAAAATACCTCGAGGGTCAACTAGTCCAACCCCTTGCAATGCAAGAATCTCACTTAGCAACCAAACCAGACACCGCTTAGCTTTGCAAATGTGCTAGCCATTTCATTGCTGCACTACTAGGAGGGTCAAATTCTTTTTAAAACTCAACACGAACTGTGTCCCTGGTAAACCACTTGTCTGACCCATTTTTCACAAATATAGAGCACTCTGTGTCACACTATTGTTCAGCCCACTACTCTAGAAATGTCTGCTGTGGCAGTCTGCTATACTGTGGTTTTTGTCCCTGAATGACAAATACATTTTATTCTGGGATAAAAATAATTCTGGTTGGCCATATGAATCACAAAATTAGACCTTACTGGAGGTTTTGGTGTTTTTTTCAGTCAATGATTCTATCTTCACAGTACAGATCCTTTTAACATTTGCCCCATTAAGTTACTTGTGCTCTGAATGGATATTGTTATGTTCCGTATCCACTGTATCTTAATACATTTCTCATTATAGAAGTGTTATTATTCTTGATGTCTTTCCTGATCCTCACAGTTTCCTGTCATATTAAATTCAATGTGGCATAGTTGATAAACTGGGATTCAGGAGTCAGGGTTCAATGCCCACTCCTGCCATGAAACTCTCTAGGTGACCTTGGAACAATTACTGTCTCTTAGCCCAACCTACCTTACAAGGTTGCTGTGGAGATGAAATTAGTAAGGTGAACAGAACCTTGTGTGCTGCTTTAAGCTCCTTGGAGGAAATGCAAGCCAAAAGAGTAATACATACATACATACATACATACATAGTATCACTAGCAACTGCCATGTTAGACCTGGGACAGATTTACACTGATGGGATTTCTGCATGGAAATGCTATCACATTTCATTTATTTATACTGAATCTTGTTAAGGAGAATTCCTCACATGCTTTTTAAGTGGCTGCTGTCCGCCTGGGGCTTGTAACACCAGCTTTAGTCTCCCATCCTGAGGTGCAAAGCTAGAAACGGTAGCCAGAGGCTTGAAAATTCACTTCCTGACTGAGTATCAGTTCTGTTTGTGTAAGAAATTCTGACTCAGATGGCTCTGTAAAGAGCCAAACAAATGGAGGACTCTCTTCTGTCTCAGCCCAAACAAAACAAAAGGAACCGATGTCTGTTAATAGGAAGCACAGATATTATTATTTAGCTAACAGCCATTATTTTAATTCTCCTTTTATATATATATGCAACAAAGTGTAAAGCAGAAACTATACCTTGTGACACCTGAAATGTTAACTATCCTGGCACGCAGTGACCCTTCAAAGTAGCAGCGATATGTGATCTTATTATAGCACAACCTCTGCAGTTAAACAGTTCCTAAAGTAAATATATGAAAGGCCCCTATAAATTATTTGTCTTTAAAATACTACATATGCTATAGTGGCCCATATAACAAGAGACCTGTTATATTTAACATATTCTTTTCTTAGCTCCAAACTCACTGTATGTGCCTGACAGCTTACCCAATCTCACTGCTGATGAATCTCCTCCCTCAACTATAACAACAAGACTGATAAGTGGCTGCCAGGAAAAGGACCTTCTTATGTGATACCTAGTTGGGTAATCTTTCAATCAAGTGGATGGGCTCTTGGTAGCTGTGAAGCAGTCACTGAAGATGCCGCTCTACATGCCCTTGCTGTCCAAATGTGGTGGAATAATCAATCATCGTAATAGATCTTGTGATGGGACATTGCAAAGAAGGAGTTTCTAAGGTATGCTGAGTCCAAGCTATTTATAGGTTGAAATTAGCAGGTTAAATTCTGCCCAGGAGGCAACACAGATGCTACATCTCCAACTTTATGTTCTCCTAGCAATCCGCTAAGAGGTGAGTCATTCCACTTGGCATCATCTGAAGCTTCTTTTTATTTATCTATTTGCTAAGGAGTGAGTCACCATGTTTGGCATCAGTTGAATGGATGAATCTATCAATTTCAGTTTCTCATTTTCCTATCAGGCTCAGTTCACATTCCCACAACAGTTTGCAATTTTTAAAAAAGAGCCTTCACAAAAATTATCAGCATTTTAAAGCACATTATTCCTAATATAAGCAATTTGCATGCACACCTTCCCATATTATACACATTTTAGCAAGCAATTTATCCTAATATAATGCATTTTTGTACACACTTCCTCCTAATACACAATCTTGTGTACATTTTGGGCTGGGTAACTGCATCACAAAATTTGGATACATGAAAATTTCAAAATGTGTTTGTGTATTGTTTTATGAAGTTCCTATTACGTTGAGTCACAGTAAAATGCAAGCCAAACAGAATTTCTTCCCTATCCCTAGCTGAAGGTGCTGTTTGTTTATTTATAATATCTACTTTCATTTCAATACAGTCATATCTCGACTCCCGAACGCTTTGGGAGTCAAACGTTTCAGCTCCCGAACGATGAAAAACTAGAAGTAAATGTTCTGGTTTTCAAACATGCAGAAGCCGCATTTTGGAAGTCAAACGTTTTGGAAGTCAAACAGACTTCCGGAAGGGATTCTGTTCGACTTCTGAGGTACGACTGTATAGTACAAAGTATATGTCTAGATCTGATTCCATTTTCATCTTGAGTTGAGGGAAGCTACCATGACAATCCCTGCAACCTGAACAATGAAGAAGGAAGGCTGTATCTCAAAATTAGGAGTCTACAATCTCCTGCTTCCTACAGGACAACAGCATTATTATCACCAACTGGTCTTGGACATCTCTGAATAACACCTCTCAGGGCTGACCCAAGACATTTTGCTTTCCCAGTTCCATATAGCTGACAAGATTGGCATCTGAATCTTCCTTCAATACTGGTGATGGGACAGGGCCCTCCACTGCCCCGAGAGAAGCACACTACCTTAGCAGGTAGAGAGGAGGCTCCTTGGCAAGCACTGCTATTTTCCCCAGCACATTATTGCTGCTCCTTGCTCCCTTCATCCTCCACCTGAGGCAATTTCCTCACTCTGGCTAATGGTAGGGTCAGCCCAGGATTACCTTTAAGGACAAAAGAAGGAAGTGAAGGAAGGAAGGATTTGTTAAAAGCTGTCAGTTCTTGAGCTTCAGTAAGGCTTCAAAGGAAAGCATGCTTGGGATAGCCTTCCTCACATGTCTGTGCAGTTAGGCTCTGGATGGTGTATAGCTTTCTGGCAGTGTAATATGTATTTAAATAAGTGAAATGCTCCAGAGTGCAACCAATCTTTTCCTGAAACCACAAGATCCTGAAAGAAACAGAAAAAGAACGAGAAAGGGTCTGAAGTAGCATCAGAAGATTTGTGAAATGAAATTGATTTCCATTCCAATCAGGTCTTTTACTCTTCTTGAAAATGTCAAGGTGTCGGCCTTGGCCATTACCAGACTGTGATTTATAGTTGAGACAAAGCAATAATACTCAGGTGACTGTCTGGAGCTGCGCTGCAGTGTCTGGAAAGTCTGCAGATGGCAGCCATCTCTTTTCTTAACCAACTTCAATTGCTTATCTTAGATTTGGGGTGGAGGGCACTTTGTTTTCATCCTTGATAAGAAGATGATGACATGCAGGCCTTGATATTTTCTTAGCAACAGAGAAAAGAAACAAGCACTGGGAGGAAAAGGGTTCGGCACTTCTGAGGGAGATATTTTTTATATGTTGAAAAAAACACCCTTACACCAGACTAAGCAGAAAAGCAGTAGACTTTAAGAATCCTTTTTCACTTGTATTATGCCAGAAATCAGGTTTCAAACATTCCTAGCCTACTGCATAACTGTAACCGAATTAGGCAGAAAAATAAGGATCTAAGTGCATTTGTATCCATTGACTTCAACAAGATTGAATCTGGTTGTATCCACCTACTTTTAACTTATGTGGCTTATGGGTCCACATTGAATTAAAGATGTTAACATTTATAACTAGTTCAAATAACATCTAACCAAAATCTGAAACACCTTTTGAGGAGGAATGTAATTCCTGAACAGTCATCAAGTCAATTGAATAATCTTCAACAAGTCTATCTTGCAGTCTAACCATACAGGGCTGTTGTGAAGATAAAATGGGACAACAATATAATAATAAAAGGACATGGCATGTGCAGGGAACAATTTTGTGATGTGGTAGCAGAGCACTACAGATATGCTCTCCCCTTCCCACACTGCCCCTTCCTCACAGCAGCTGTTTGGAATTTCCAGTGGAGATCTGGAAGCAGAGTGTGGTATTCAGCTAAGCATTACTCAGAGTACACCCACCAAAATGAACTAAATTCAGATCATTAATTTAAATGGCTCTAACTCTGAGTAAAGCTTAGTTAAATACCACCTAAAAATTAGCTTCTCTTCATGGCTCACTCTCACTGAAGAGTGGTACAATGTAGTTTCTCTCATAATATGGTTGACTTTGGTGAGTTGGCTCAGCTTTTTTTTTTTAGGTAATATTTATTGATATTTCAAAATTACAAGAAAAATAAAAAATAGTAAACAACACTACAATACACAAAAAGAAAAAAAGAAAAAGAAGACAATAAAAAAAGAGAAAAGCACAAAATGTGAAAACCAATATAACAATACAGCAATAAAAAAAGAAAAAAAGAAGAAAAAAGAAAAAAGAAACACAAATCCCAAATTGCATATCCATAATTTCCATTTGCTTGTTTCATTGACCTCCTCACACCTCCGTTTTTGTATTCTAGTTTAGTAATTATTTCAGCAAATTCTTTCCATCTTTCTCAATTTTTGTTATGAAATTTGTCTTAACAATTTAACCTAATAATTAACTCAACAAATCCTTACCATCTTTCCCCATATTCTATTATTCAGATTACCTTAATTTATTTAACCTTATCTTACCCCTAAGTGCCTTAAAGCTTAAATCTTAAATTTCAGATATACATAGCTCCTAATATCATTTCTGCTAGAGTCGTATAGTTTCATTCCCATATTTTCCCTAATATTCATTAGCTGATTCTAAAATAAAAAAGTTTCCATTATAAATTCTCTTCCAATCATCATCCAGCGTCTCTTCTTCCTGGTCTTGGGTCATGTCAGTCCTTATTGTCATCATCCAGCGTCTCTTCTTCCTGGTCTTGGGTCATGTCAGTCCTTATTGTCCTTATTGTCCATTCCGTCTAGTCCATCAACCTGGAAGCCTTATGTCCGAGGCCCTTAAATCTCTTCCATGTCCCTTCTGCAATTCTTCTTCATCTTGTTTGTGTTTGCCCTTTTCCTTGTCTCTTGTTGGTCTCTGTCTTAGTTTCTTTCCTTTCTCATTGAGGAGTAGGTCTCTGGGGGATTCCAACCCAAAATTGTCTCCATCACCCTTCATCCAGCTCACCCATTCCCACAGTCCCACTCCCCACAGTCCTCGATATAATCCAAAATGAGTTTAAAATCAAATTTCAGAGTCTCTCCAAAGCTAGAAGTCTCCTCATCTCCAGACTCCCCTTGGCCCACTCCAGCTTCAATCTTCAATAACAGTGGCTTATGCTCCTGTAGGGCCTCGGGTCTCTCCATTTGTACTATTTGAGGTGCAGCCACATCCTCATCCATTGTCAACTGCACTTGCCCAGTCGGTACAGATTGATAGGTTGGTTCTTGGATGATTTCTGTATCAATGTTATTAACCACAACAGTCAAATCCATTTTCTCATTCATCAAGTCCATCTTTTCATGCATCTGCTCCAGCAAAGCATTTATCTTGCGTAGAGCAAGCAACCAGTCTTTATCCCAGCTCATCTTTATTCAAGGTCGGAAAAATCTGTTCCCACAGTCTTAATCTCACAGATGTTGGGTCTCGAATATGCTGCAACAACAATTTAGCAAGCTCCCTCTAGAGGAGACAATCTACTTGTAGCCATTTTTTTTTTAAAGACAAAGGAAAGTTACTTTCATTTTTCAGATATTTCAAACGTTTTTCAAATATTTTGTTTCTTTAAGATGCGAAAAGCAACATTAGAATCAACTTGTTTCTCTTCATTAGCTATCTGTCAAAGGGGGGTTTCAGTGGTTCTAAATGAAGGAAATTTAGTCCTTTTTTGACAGCTTCCCGGCTTTAGCTTGCAAAATTTTTGCTTTAGTCTATATACAAAGAAACGGAAGGCGGACTTCCTGTTTACACCTTCCCGCTTCGTTACCAAATTAAAACAATTTCTTGATCCAATTTTCCATTTCTACTCATGGGTACTTGTTTTAAGTCCAATTGTCCACAGGAAAAAGTCAGCGCTCTCTGGCAATGGCTGTGCGGCTTCACTCCGTGAAAATAGCAGTCAGTTTGTAGCACCGCGCTTCTCACCCCACTTCGCTCCGGAGCCCCTGGATGGGATTCCCCGCGAGTAGGGGGGCGCTTCTGGTGCCCTGCCGAACCCCACGTTCCCAGGCTTCCTCCGCCTGGGGTTTCTAGCGGGTCCCCACCTTCGCCGCGGCGGGAAGACCCAGTTTTCACGGAGCCCGTTCCTCCAGTCGGAGGAACTCCGCCATTCACCAATGGCGCTAACCCGGAAGTCCGTTGGCTCAGCTTTTGGACACTCTGCTTATGAGTTCTTGAGCTAGAATTCCATTTGTTAAAAAACAACAACCCCAAAAATAATCCTGTCCATGCTGAGCTGTGAAGACTGAGCAAAATAATTTTTCTTCTTCTCCATATGTTTTAGTCTAGTTTTGTGTTAATATTTTACATCCTTTCATTGTGAAATAGTTGAATTAACAGTTATTATAAGAGAGAAGAAAATATGCTTTAACATACTCTGTATTTGTAACTCCAGTACATTATGATTTCAGAGTTTTCCCCAGGATGTTCTCTATAAATCATTGTTCTGTTAATTTGGATTTTTAAAAGAACCAAAAAAAGAATGAAAATTATTAGCTCTTCCACTATATGTATACATCTATTTAATATGTTCAGAATGGTAACTGATTACTGTTAAATAACTGAAAATGAATCAAAGTATTGTAAAAAGTAACTGAAAGTTTAGGATTTCATTAGTTATAGCAACTGCACAAAATACATTACAATGAACTGATTTGTAGATTTATTTATTTCAGTGGGTTTATATCTCATCTTTACTCTCAAAGGGAACCCAAGGTGGATAGCAAATCTATAATTTAACAATACAAAATACAATAATTACCAAAGCCACCTCTAAAATACCAATAAAAAGGTTGACTGTGAATGACCCTTGAAAGCCAAAGCAAAAATACAATCATCTATGCACGTTTACTACAAATCTCAGTGAACTCAATGGGACTTACTTCGTGCACAGGAAGTTTTTACGTGTTTCTTTTTTGCTTCAGGTCTCTCAATTAAAAAGAAAAAGAAAACACCAGCTAATGTTAATTATGTTGAAATATATGTGTTCAGTTGATGCACTACAAATTTTGACATAAGTGCAAACAGAAAGAAAAATGGATAAAAATGACAGCACATATAAGTAAACTGGATATCATATTCAGTTGAAAAACTGCAGCTGGTGCAGAATTTGGTGGTCAGATTGTTGACTGGGGCAGAACCGTTCAAGCATGGAACACCAATTAAGGAATGATTGCACTGGCTACCGATTTGTTTCCAGGCTCAATTAAAAATGCTGGTTTTGTCCTATCAAGCTTTATGCAGCTGAGGACCCCCATACCTCAAGGCCTGCCTCGTCTCACATGAGCCAACCTGGACTCTATGCTTGCAATCTGAGGACCTTCTCTGTGTGTCTGATTCACAGTTCAGAAGGTGGCAGTGGAAGAATGGCATACCCTCAAACTATCTTGAAACCTAGAATCCATCAAGGTTTCTTGTTTCGTTCCATAAAATCACGATTTGAAATCTTTGGCCACTTTTTCATTCATTGCAATAAAAACTTCCCACAAACAAGAGGTGCAAGACCTGCCACCACCAATGGAAAAATCCATTGTAGTGTGGATGAGTGATTGTTTTGAGTAGAGAACAAAGAGGAGAAGCCAGATACAAATAGTTTACTAGTGTAATAAGCTGGTGTTAATTTATTGTAGGATTCTATTCTGACTATGCTGGGGGAAATGCTCAATTCTCCATTTATATAATCTTGTATTAATAAATAATTGCCATCCATCAAGAAACTTTCAAAAGGCAAGAGAGAAAAAAACTAACCAGGAAGGAAGGAACGAAGGAAGGATGGACAAATAATACCATAAAACTGCACCTATGTGCACCTCTCACTAGGATTTCGAATATGAGAAACACCTTGCCACAAACTAGTTCCAGAAGTATACATGCTGATATGAACATTAACCCAGCTAGTTATGATTCAAATATCTACCATCTAGTTTCTTGAAAAATGCATTCAGGTAGGGGAAACTGTCGATATTTGAAATCCAACCCCTGAACTGACCTTTTAAAGGAAATGCTTCCCTTAAATGGAGTATATTTTCCTTTTATGTCCCTGTTTAATTCCTACTTTAAACTTTCCTCTCATTGTATACTCTAAGCTCCACCAGTGAATTTAAATAGGGTTTCACTATATGTTTTAGTGCATTCAGGATTTCTTTGTTACAGTTCCCACCCTGCTGCATTATGTGAGTGCTGGCACGGAAGTCCAGCAGTCGGTTTGTTTTCTGCCATTAATAAAAGAATCCACTTTCTTCCAGTTCTTTGAAGAAGTTGAAAAGGCTACAAGTGAGGGAGGAGGGGATGGGGAACAGATTGCAGTGTAATCCCCCAACAAAATGCTTGTCTAGATCAGAAACCTCCCTGAAGAAAATTTACGAATGCTAAGCCTACTTTTTCTGTGAGGAAGACTACAGTCAATGTACTTAGACACATACTGGGTTTTGACTAACAGTAGGGATCCCACTAGGCAAATTGAATTAAATAATAATAATAGAACCTCTTTTCCTGTCCACTCTTTGAACCAACACTATCCAATTCTTTCAGCGCCCAGTGTTTGATTAAAGGCACTATTTTGTTATATACTTTGTCAAAGCAATGTATTATGATGGGGAATCTATTAAAGTTACTAAACAAATGAGATTTGCACATTGTTAGTGCTTTTTCATAGTCCAAGCTTATTTTAAAGCAGTTGAACTCTTTCTGAAGAACAGAAGTTTTGTCTCCTGGGCCCATCACTCAGAATGCAACAGATGTGAAAGTATAGCACCCAACAAAACTAGCCCTGAGTCAACAACTTGTACCAAGACACTTGAGTTTCATCGTATTTTAAAGCCAAAACTTGTGGCTTGGTGCTGCACCATCATTCTGTGAACAAACAACAGCAGCATTGTGACAATATTATATTGACACTGTAGGCAGATGCAATGATATATTGAATAAGGATGCAAGTTCTGGGGAAGTCAATGCGATTTACTCTCACTTATGTCAATGGGACTAATTTTGATTCAACCAAGTTCATTTGTTTTTTTAATTATCTTTAGACTGAGCTGCAAACCTGTTGCTTTCAAAATGAATTGTTATAAAACATCACATTTATTACAAGGGGAAGAGGAAAACAAAAGTGATTTATTTCATACACAATAGGATGGATATGCTGTTGAAGCCTGCATTGTGTCCTTATTGACTATTATTAGACTGCAATATTTAATTCCCAACAAGCAGTAACAAAAGCAAGGAAGCCAATTCTTTTTTAAAACAAACAAACAAGCAAGCAAGCAAGCAAGCAAAAATTCATTCAAAAGTTCCAATACAGCTTTGTCCAATTTTAAAGGCTTGTGAGATAAGATTCAAAACAAAATCCGCAAGATCGATTCCATAAGTTTTAAACTGGGTATGAGGGTTGAAAGAGAAAGGTGAAAACATCATCTTAATATTTATTTAATTTCACTTCTTTCTATATTCAACCTATTAAGATAAGCAAAAAGTGTCATGCTAATGATGCTGAATGTTAAGCCATGCACTGATTCAGAAATTCAGTGGAATCATGGCTACTGAAGAAGGCACATCAAGAAAACTGTTATTGAAGAAATGTCTTGATGCACATAGATGATAGATTTAAAATGTTTCAGCAGAGTCTGTCCTAAAAGTATACAATGAAAGAAGAAGAAGAATGTTGATAAGACATTGCTTTTGGATCCTCACCTTTACTTATAATTTGCCTCTGGCATTTGGCACATTGAAAGTTGCTTGCCTCTCTTGTCCCAGTGCACCTACTGACTGAAATCATCTGTAAGGGGTTGCAATATGGCAGGGTTAATGTTACCAGCTGTCACGGCACATTTGCGTTCTCAAATAGGGAATAATGATCTTTGGCTGGAGGACACATATGTTACTCTGTTGTCATGGGCTGATCATTACTTGGTTAAGTTTGACATTACGGCTGTCTGGGCACAAATGTTGATGGTCTGTCCTCAATGGCTAATGCAACCTGAGGATGTTAAGGGAATTTCTAACAGCTTGGGCCAGTAATCCTCTTGGACCTCACTGCCCGCAAAGAGGGGATGAGCTCAAGGCAACCACTCCCAAGTGCTCCAGCTGAGCTGCAGAGATATCTCAGAGGAACTGAGGGTGATGAAGCAACAGGACGAACCTCTGGAGTACAGGGATCACAAGACTCACAATGAATGTGACCTAACACAGGTAAAAAACACATCTGCAGCCATACTCTGTGCTAGTGATGTTGTTGAAGGAAACTTACTGCACCACCACATCTACACAATGTCATTCAGCATAGCTGTTTCATGTGGCAAGAGGTTTCCTGGATGTGAACTCAAAGAAACAGAACCTGGAATCCATGAAGGTCTGTTGTGAAGTGTTCTATCCATTTGCATATAAAAGCACATCCAACCAGGATGCCATAATTAACAAAGTGGCATAAGAGCATAGGAAGAGCCCCACTGTATTAGCCTGAAGGCCCATCTAGTCTAGTATGCTGTCCTCACAGTGGCCAATGATATGCCTATTACAAGCAGGACATGAGCACATCAGCACTTTATCCACTTGTGGTCCCCAGTAACTGGTATTCAGAGGCATACTGGAGCTAGTATACAGCTACCATGGCTAGTAACCACTTACAGTGGTACCTCGGGTTAAGAACTTAATTCGTTCTGGTGGTCTGTTCTTAACCTGAAACTGTTCTTAACCTGAAGCACCACTTTAACTAATGGGGCCTCCTGCTGCCACTGCGCTGCAGCTGCACGATTTCTGTTCTCATCCTGAAGCAAAGTTCTTAACCTGAGGTAATACTTCTGGGTTAGCGGAGTCTGTAACCTGAAGCATATGTAACCCGAGGTACCACTGTATAGCCTTCGTGAAACAGTTATGGGTAGTTTTAAGACAGGTTCGGCAATCACTGCACCTTGTGAAAGTAAACTCCATAATTTAATTATATGAAATACTTTAATTGTGTGTTCCAGATCTTCCAACAATCAGTTTCATTGGATGCACCCGGCTTCTGGTATTATGAGACAGGAAGAAAAACTTATTTCTATCCATTTGCTTCATCCCATGCATAATTGTATACACCTCTTTCTTGTACCCATTTAATCACCTTTTTTCTAAATGAAAAACCCTCAAATGTTTTAAGTTTCCACACTGGGAAGCTGTTCCAGTCCCCATGTAGTTTACTGGCCCTTTTCCAAATGTTTTCCAGCTCCATGATGCCCTTTCTGTAGTACAGCAACCAGTAGCTGAACAGCATTCCAAATGCAGTTGCACTATATATTTGCATAACAGCAATATTATATTGACTGTTTTATTTGTGCTAATGATCCCTAACATGAAATTCAGCTTTTCCACAGCTGATGTACACTGGGTTGACATTTTTATTGAGCTATCCACCATGGCCCCAATATCTTTTTCCTGGTCAGTTATCATTTCTGACCTCATAAGCATATATGCAAAGTCAAGATTTTTTTCTCCCCAATGCATCACTTCACACTTGCTTACACAGAATCATATTTGCCATTTTTGGAGCTCCTCACAAGCCACCTTGAACAATTTGGTTGATCAGCAAATTTGCCCATTTTAGTGTTCACCCCTATTTCTAAACCCCTTATGAGGAAATTTAAATGTTCTTGTTTTTCATTGCTATGTGTTTTAAAAGGTTTCATGGAATGGATATGTTGTTTATATCTTGTTGAGGGTTTTGTTTAAAAGCATAATACAGAGCCTGTAAATATATAAATAAAAATTAAACATATACTTAAAACTATCATACTAAAATGACTAGGACATAGAGTTGCGTAACTCTGGTTGGATTATATTTAATACTAGCTTATTCTTACAGTATTTGGCTTTTGCAGTGTCATAATAAGCACCTTTATATGATCCTTTTGTTTTCTAAGTAAAAAGGGAATCAAATAATGAAACAGTGGAATCCTAACCATGTCTACTGAGAAGTGACTCTTAGGGACTTCAGTGGGTCTTACTCAATTGCTGCCTCCAATCCCAACCCCTCTGATTTCAGAGTAAGTCCTACAGAATGCAATAAAACTTACTTCTGAGTAAACATGGTTAGGATTGAGCTGCAAAGTGTTAATGCCTTTGAAGTTTAATTAAAAACCTTCAACAAGGTTATCCTAAGCAAGTGCTGTAAATGCATTTTATATTGTGAAATATATGGAACTTGTTGTTATGACTTAAAATGACATTTAGGGAAATGGGTGCATCCATATGACAATTCAAACTTAAAGCATGATTGTCATAATAATGATAATCCAACTGAACATGACAGACACAAGATCACTTGCTATTCCTCTCATTTTTATTTTTATTGTTTGGACTGATGTTTGTTGGGAAATTGCTAAATAGCATTCAAAACAGACAGTTGATTAGAACACAATCTAGGAGGGAAGAGAAAGTCATGGAAGGGTTAAGAGATGTATGTAAAACAATGGTTTTCCTTTTTAAAATTAAAATGTACAAATAAGCTGGTATCAGGGAGACTAGGTGATCTTTCATTTCCACCGCACTGAGCACAGCTCACACCAGCAGAAGACAGCCATTAATGTATGCGTCTGGCTCAATCTGGTCTCCCAACTAGGAATTCATCAAATTGTTAATATCACTCCTTTTTTGTATGCATCACACATCATTGTGTCTCTTCGTGCTGCAAGAGGTTGCTTTTTTTATAGAGTCACTAGCTGTAGCAGGAGCTGATTATACCATATTGTACTGTACAATATTACACGGATAGAAAAAAACATTGAAAAAGACACATATACACATAGCTATTCATGTTTACCTATAATTCATCAACAAATTTGCTGCTGATCAGCCAAATCTTTGAATTACCAAAACAAAAACAAAAAAACCTTCATGCTGGACCATATGATGGATTCAGTAAATACATGACAATGTCACATGTCCTTATAGTCTTGAGTTGTATTTTGGTGTGATGGGAAAAGAAGATGTAGGTATCTTTCCATTTCTGACAATGCTGAATGGCAAAAAAACCCAAATGTTCCTTTCCTCTGCTGTGTGTCGTATAACCAGTGCTCACCTGAGAGGTTCTGGCAAGTTCTGACTGAAAAAAACTCCTGCTCCTAACAATATCATTCCTGGGGAGATCTAGAAAGATCCTTAGGGATGGTTTGTATGTTACCTTCCTAATGTAGGATCATGTGTACTAATGTCCTCAACAATCACCAGAGTCAACAACCACAAATGTGGAAGGCCCTTCCCCCTAGACTGGACCCATCTTCCCAATGAGACAAGTGCCACTCACTCATCCTCAGAGCATTTTGTCACATTCCCTTGCCAGAGTTTGTGGGATCACCACACCACACTACCATATCCACACACATGGACCTGCTTCTCTATTGGAAAAGAAAGAAAGAAAGAAAGAAAGGGAAACTCCTGTGGGCAATTCCATGTGTGGCCATTGAATACTGTATCCACGGAAAGCAAGTTATTATAAAGTTCTTGTTTTTTTAAATCTGTTGTGAGATGCAGAATCTACTAAGTATCTACTTTGGCTGTTATTGAAAAGATCAGCCAGAGTTCCATCCATTTATTACTCAGTGATATAACACATGCTTTGAGTGCAAAAGCTCCAAGATTCATTCCTGGCATCTGCAGCTGAAAGAATCAATGAGTAAACAATGCAAAAACCCCCACAAAAAAACCCCCACTGCCTGCGATACTGGAAAACTATCCTGGAAGGAGAAATATCCTGACACATGCGCCCCCAAATAGCAACAGTACATAAAACTATATCCAGTTTATTAGGGAATCTCACACATTCATTGACTAGGAGTATGACTGCAATCCAGGGCACACTTACTTGGAAGTAGACTCCACTGAACTCAGCAGTGCTTACTTATGACTGCCTAGGTCCAACTTGTAAAACACAATGAGCTTTAACAAAGGATTGTCTGAAATGGAAATTTTAGCCTTTAATTAGAAGTGCAAACTTGCAAACATGTGCAAGTGTTTAAACAGCCAGTGTGAAGTAGGAACCCTGTCAAAGAAAAGATCAGAAGTACCCAAATTCTGTTTGATTTATTCCTTCATTCTCCAGGAGCATATGAACATAGGAAATATAGTGTCAGAAAATTGGTCCATCTAGCTTAGTATCATCTACACTGAACAGTAGCAGTTTTGCAGCATTTCAGCCTGGAGTGGTTTCTAGCCCTACCTAGAGACTTTGGGAATTGGAACCTGAGGGTTTCTGCATGCAAAGCAGATGTTCTATCACTAAGCTATAGCCCTTCCCCATGTCTTAACCTCCTCTCTGCTAATCTGTCACAACAAAACTTGGAAGCCTCATTATCACCTCCTTCACATGCTAGAGGAAGGGAGGTCCCTAAAAGACTCAATAACATTGGTAAATACAGTAATTATAGCTCTTTCTTTGAAAACAAATGTCCAGGGTGTCCATTCCTACCACCCACCCATCTCCAATTTCCCCTCTTTTACACCACTGGACGTCATATGCTGCAACTTATTTATTCTTATGTAGGAACACAGAAAATTGCCTTACGCCAGGTCAGAACATTAGTTAGCACTACAATGACTGGCAGCTCTCCAGTCTTTTCCAAATCTACCTAGATGCCAGGGGCTTAATCCAAGACCTTTTGCATATACATGTGCTCTCCACAGAGCCCCTTCTTAATGAACTTCACTCTTTGGCTAGACTTATTTTGGCCTGAAACAATAGTTATTCTCAATCAACCTATGAGCACCATATTGAATTTATGCTCCTGTATTCCTTCAAAGGTGGGTAGAGCAACTGTTTGTGCAAATGTAACATCAACTGGATTCATATAGTATTATTATGGATTTTACTGGGCCAAAATCAAACGAACAGAGGTTGCATGGGAGCAATGATAGATTATAAAGATTTCTGCCCTTCCATTTATCTTATTGTAACTGGAAAAGCTTCATTCAAGTGAAATATATACATTATTTCAGCTTTAATTAGTGTGTGTCAAAATGAGCACTACACATTTTTTATGATGAACTGGTTTTGCCTGCAATACTATTTATTTGGAGATATCTTTCTGATTACATACATAGTCCTTTAGTTTAATACTGCTAGATCACAGCTGGATCAAGTATATAAACATGTGATTAAAAAAGAATTTGCAAAAACCTATTGTTGCCAAAAAATGAATGTGCCACGCCTTTGCCAAAAATGTGTTTCCTTGGGAGGGAGGGAACAAGACCCTATTTATTTATAACATTTGGGGCGGTGACTTTTTAAAAAAATGACTATACAATTATTCTTCCGTATAAGAACAATGTATTGTAATAACAGTGTTAATGCTGACAGTACAACAGTTCCTCCCACACACTGGGGGCAGGGGGGTGGGAAATCAGCTGTAGCTGGAATATAATCCAAAATGGGGAATTGTTTGAATGCTTGTGATGTGCAATGCCTTTGTTTCAGACTGCAAAGTTTGAATTTTTCACAGTAGAGGATGGGAAAGATAATACAGGAAATTGAAAAAGCCTCAAGGACTATATGGAAATGAAAGCTGTATGTGAAGAAATCAATCCCAGTATATTTTAGCTCTTTTCAGTGCTATGCTAACAACTTGTGAAGCACTTATGTCTTTGCAGAACAAAATTGTGTTAACTAGTTTTGAGTAAAATAATCACAAGGGAAAACAATACATTTGATATTAGCTTTATGTTATAGTAAAACTATGAAAGTGCTATAGAATGCTGTGATGCTGGTTACAATCAGAGAAACAGAGATGAAAGCATTTAAAACATTGGAACAAAATGACAGGACAGGCAAATACCTATCTATAAACTTGCATCAAAACTTTATAGGTGGGAGGGGGAAGATACTGGTTTGCTAGGCCTCAGTGTGGAAATGGCAAACGAGTCAAGCACAGTTTCATTATCTAATCACAGGGATGCTTTATTCTCCAGCACTCGAATGAAGGCCCAACATTAATTCAAAACATTAAAGAGTACAGTACAGCTGTTTGAATATATGAACCTGTAACACAGCACGTTACCATCTCTATTCTGCACAATGCATTTCTCTGTGGGCCAAAACATCACATGCCTCCCCCATCGACAAATATCTCTTTTTATGCTGCTAATATCGTGGAAAGTTAATCATTAAAGTCCAAAGTTGCTGGTTCCCCTCCGCCTAGGTCCCAAGAGCCTGACTTGTGATTGTTACTAAAAAACCTCACAAGTTAGGGTCTCAGGGACTAGGAAAAGTCCGATAAGATCCAGTCGAATTCTTCTTCAATTAATCAGATTGGGCTTTGTTGTTGTTTTAGAAAGTATCTCTTTCAGCAAGTGCGGAAGATATAACAAAAAGAGGCACCACTAACACTGACAAAACAGACCTTCAGTTGCATGAGCAAGATATTATTGAGATATATTTATTTATTTAATAAACCCTCCCATTTATAAAGGCTATCAAAGTTGTGCATGCAAAAGAAGTAAGAACAGGAAGCTAAAAACAGGTTACATCTGTTTCAAACAGACTTTTAAACACCCTCCTTCTATTTTTCCCAGTGGCTTAGACAAAGATTAAACAGTTCAGCATTATATCTTCACTACCATATTAACAGTGGGCCCTAAAACATTCTGCACCTTAAAGCCATTTTAGACCAAGAATGCCCTTTGGGTATCATTTATGTTTTCCCCCTTCTTTCTTTTATTGAATATGTATCTCTCTACTAATATGAAAAAGCACCTGACTTTTGAATGCAGATTTACTTTCCACATCCTAAACTGCAGAACACAATGACTTTGAGCTAACTTGTCATTCTTGGTCCCGAGTCGGTTGAACCACATTTGAACTTTCAAAAAATATTCTTCATACAGTTAGCAGGCGGGAAAGAAGGTATTTTCCCCAATCACTTTTTGCTTTTAAAGTCCAAGACTTTTAATGGCACAACAACAATGCGGAAAAGATTCACTCTCTCTCCTTCGGCATCTGAGTCTCAATTGTAGAATGGAAAAGAAAATGTCTACTTTTAGGAACAGATCCATGATGTTCGGCAGATGAACCCAGAGTCAAAGAATCAGCAGCCATAAAGATCCTGGCCACTGAGGCAGAGACTGGTGTATATAACTCATTCCTGTCTTTCTTCATGATGCAGCTCAGCTTTAAAGGGAAAAAGAAAGTGGAGAGAGAAAACAACAGTAATCAAAATAATTAGTATCTCAAGTTGCAGAACAAGCTGATAAACTACACACAAAAAAATAACTGGAAGAAAATATTTATTAATTGACACCCCCTCCTTCCTAGGTAGTTTCATTATCCCTTGCCCCTCACCCCATTTAACGGAATGTCACTTCTAGATTCAGTACATGTTGGAGTACTTTAAATATTTTGATCGAGGAAAGAATATCATGTCACAATCAAACCCTTTCTTTGTCATTTGCTCTGCAGTAGACTTTGAACTGTTATGCCTCAGGCACGAAAGAGTTAAACAAATCACCAGAAGCCCTGTAATTTTTAGACATTTGGGCAAAAAATTAATTATCATGCTTTTTGTTAGAACTGTAAGATGATTTTCCAAAGCAATTTTTGACCATAGCTTCCAAACCAAGAAATTAGGAAGAAAAATATAGCCCCTCTGTAAATATGACATTAACATAATTACACCGCCCCCCCCCATCACATAGACCCATCCTCCTTAGGGAATACATCTGATGCTCAGTAGATGGAAATCAGTCAGATTTCAGCTGCTCTCCAACGTACCTTTGCTTCTCACTGACTGACTGGGTTTTACCTCCCATGAATATGCGCGCGCGCGGGCGCGCACACATACACACACACACACTCAGACGGACATGCTCACTTACATACACTCAGACAGACATGCACACGCAGCTGCACAGACAAAACACGCACACACACGCGCGCACACAAAGGCAAGGCGAAACGTCGGATGCTGACTCAGAGCGGCTGCATGTGGAGGGGGTGGCAGCGGCTGGATTTTTCCCTGCACTCGTCATTTACATTAACTCTCTCTCCAGCATCCGCCCTCTGCCAGACCTGCTGGGCTGCAACATTTGCATGACGCTGTGACTCCAGCCTTGCGGGTCAGATGTTGCAAGAGGAAGGAAGGAAGGAAGGAGGAGAAGGGGGAAAAAGCAGCAGCAGCAGCAGCCCCAGTACACTCATAAGATTTGCCTTCATTTCTTCTAAACAGGTCCCTCTTCTTATTTTTCCCACCTTTCTACTTCCTCTGTAGCTGTATCTCAGTTGTTTGACATCTTTCCGGAAGAAAATGTCTTGAGCTGCAATAAGCCAGGAGCCTGACGGTCCTCCCCTCCCCTCCCCGTCCTATTCCCACCCCTTTCTCCCCCCTAATCAATAAGACAGATCTCCAAATGCAGTTGTGGAAACAGACTGTGCACAGACGTTCATCCTCGGTCTTCTGCCTCAGGAAGAGCAGACAAGCTCGGCTCACACACACACACGTGATGTAAGGAGAAATAATGCCAGCAATTCTTTAACAGACTTAGAATTTATTCTACGCCTTCATTCTCTCCCCACCCCACCCGCCGCCTTTCCCCTGTGCTGAATTCATGAGTGGAAACGATTCTTCCAGTGTGCACATCACCTCTCTTCCAAGCTACAAGGTTGCAACGTTTCATCTCGGTATTTTAAACAAAACTAATGAAAATTAATAATTTTCATCCTAATGAGAATCTCTGCATTTAAAAAATAGAAAAAAACGAGTCAGGCTGTCACCTAATAGGAATGGTGATTTATTCCCCCGCCCCTCCAAATTACTGCCTGATTCCGAGTCACTAATATGATGATAAAGCAGAAAGCTTCTGGGTTTAAAATCTGTAATAGGAAGGGGCAGTTCTAGACTTCAAAAAACAAAGTGACTGAGTGTCTGCCTCTGTGTGTGTATGTGTGAGAGAGGGAGGGAGCGAGGGAGAAAGAGAACAAAAGAATAACAGCTATACTGTATTGCACAAAAGCACTACAATGGTGCAGGCTTTTTTTATTCGAGCATTATTTATCATTGTATATCTATCAACATACATATGGAGCTATTTGACCACAGATATTCTGTAAATCTCAGCAAAAGGTTTACTAGCTTAGATGCAGAAAATGTGTGCCATGCTAGTTTCATAATGCAGTTATTTAATGTGCTTTGACTTGCTCTGTCTTAACACTTGGTAAATTTTAAATATGTGTTGTGCACTTAGTTCTGTGAAAAAGGAACACTATGTCAATATGATTTAAAGTACAGAATTCATGTAAGAAACAGAGTACAGTACTCTGTCCCCAAGAGGAAAAAGTCTCTCAGCTTTCAGCAAACAGGCAGATCCCAGCATGCAGTGCCAACTAAAGTAGGGACTGGGCAAGCTAAGTGGACAGGCAGCATGAAGGGCCTCAATCTGCACAACATTCATATTAAAATACGAAAAACTACAACAGAGAAAAGAAGCAAGCGTTAGTATATGACCCCTAAAGAAGATTGTGCATCAATTAATACCATCAACACTTTTAACCCCCACCCCAAGAAAGATAGTTAAGAAGCAGTTCCCCAGAGTGGCTGGGAAACCCCAGCCAGATGGGTGAGGTAAAACAACAACAACAACAACAACAACAACAACAACAGCAACAACAACAACAACAGACAAAAAGGCAGGCAAGACCACAAAAATTTGCAAGGCATGAAACCACACCAGACATAGCTCAACAAATGAAGGATTGAAATCAGATTTGGAAAACTGATCAAAATGACAGGATTATGGCATTCAATTAACTGGTTTCCTTTTTTATTTTTAAAAAACCGACAACACCTACAGTGTGACTATGTACTGCTATCAACTGTCTGCGACCTATACTGACTTCCTAGAGCTGCGCATATATTAGATTGGCCATTGCAAACCTATAGATGTTTACTCAGAATTAAGCCTTAATGTGACAGTGGGGCTTATTCCTAGGCACATTGGTAGGAATAAACCTCACAGAACACAGTGAGACTTCCTTGGAGTAATACGCATCAAATTGAGCTTGTCGGTCTACTTTTGCTGGAATTCATCATCATTATTTTTTATTTTACTTTTATTACTACTTTCTTTTTTGGTTGCTCCTTCCAGCATCCTTGGTCTGCCCCTTTTCTTACCCTGGTAAACTGCTGCATTGCTGTCAAGGGGCAGGGCAGGTTACTATGTTTACAAGTGAGTGGTGCGTCCTGCAAACTACAAGATATCTCAACTCATCAGCGGTTAAAAATATTCATCTACAGAGTATTTAGAAGCGCTTGAATAAAAAGCATGAAGCAAACAAGGAAGAAAATGGCTAAACATTTTGTAATTTTATACCCGGGCTGTGACTTGGGAGAATATCCAGGTTCAAGTGCTCAGGACTTCATCTGGGGGCACCTTTAGAGCCAGTGGGGAATGCAGACTAGATTAAATCAATAGCTGAGATGTCGTAATCAATCAGCTCAATTACAGCTGTCACAGACCCAGGTTTAAGGTTTTCCCCGATTCCAGTTTTCTAATAATTAACCCTTGGTCATCCCTAAGTGCTCAGTCACCTTACTTTATAAAGGGGAGCACGAGCAGGCTTTTTTCTTTTTTAAGTTTTGTTAATAATGTTGCCATGAAAGTGTGGTGAACTAGTAATGTTGAGTTAACACACCTTCTTTCCCATATGTCTCTTCATTTATATAGATATGACTGTGATTATGCCTGTGGAAAAGCCAGGATGGATCAAAGAATGTTGCTAACATTAAACAGCAATTTCTTTGAAGATTACAAATGTGAAGGGACTTGCAGAATTAGACTGGAGCCAGTCACTGCTCTCCATTGAACATGTATAAAATAATATTTCCCTCTAACTTTCACCCACTTTGTGCAGGACTTTGACACAAGGACATCCACATGTTCTACCCAAAACTGTTTGACTGAGCAACTTATTTGAAAAATATATTTCCAACCATTGACCATTTGGGGATCTGTTCAGTTCATAAGTCACAGCATCTCTGCTTAAAGACTTTAGTAAATAACAGCAGCATTTGTTTTTCACTGAATATTCCTTTCAGAAGAAAATAAATAAATAAACAAACCCTACAGTTCCCTTTGTACATACATGGCAAGTATATTTTATGTTATGAACCCCTAGGGGGAAAGATGAACCTTTAGATATTACAGAAGATTCAGCACATGATGGCCATATTTCATGATCACATTTAATGTTGTGGGAAGTAATTGTGGGTAATATTATTGGACAGAAACAAAAATAAATTCCTCGCATGCATTTCTACCTTTGCTATATAAATGTTGTCATATTCTTAGTGAGGAAAACGAATCTCAGATGGGATTGTGGTGCATATGCAGTACATTGAACAAATTATTTCTATTAACTCAACTTCCTCCATCATTATGTCTTGTCCTTCACAAGCCTCTTAATTAAACCCCCCTTATACATCCACAAAGCAATGGAACTGATTTTAAGACCATACCTGCACTAGGATGCTGGTACAATGGGTTGGATCCAGACTATATAAGACAATGGGTTAGCTCCAGACTAAGACATGTTTAGTGTAGACATGCTGGAATCAATAGTCAGCCATGACTGACCATATCTAAGCCTGGATTCGGGCCTTTCACATCTAAGCATTGGGCCTATGGGGTAGCAATGGCCAGTGGACACTGAAATGAATAGAAAAATAGCACTGGAAGCCTTCCATTGTATGGTTGTCTCATTGGGTTTCAATGAACTTACCTTCCCCTTGATTGTGGCTAATATCATGAAGGGCTAAGGCCCAGGAAAGTATGGATAGGATTGCAGCCTAACTGAAATAAATTGCACCAAAGTGATAGGATTTAAAGATACACACACACTCTCTCTCTGTCTCTCTCTGTGTGTGTATCTATACATACATACATATTCTTAGACATGGTGTTCTTGAGCTGTGGCTTAAATACAGACAATACTGCCTGAAATAAGCTGCAAACCTATGTACAGTTATTGGGATTAAATTCATGATTTCAATGGCACTTATTTACAAATAAACATGGTTAGGAACATGGCTGGAAAACTGTTTTATTGCTTTATTGACAGCAAATAGGATTACATAAGTGCAAATGTCTGTGGTAATTATTCTATGCCGGGGGTGTGTGTGTGTGGAGTTCATGTAAGGTAATAAGAAAACTGTGTGTTTAGAAAATATTCATTTACCAAGTAGCACATTCAGTTTCGCAGTTACAAATTAGTCTAGATTGACAACATGACTGCTAGCGTATGACCACTAGCAAATGAGTTCAATTTCATATCCTTGCTTGCAAGAGATCTACTGAGAATGGTAGGAGACAGAGAATGAATCTATGGTCCTGTCCTTTAGAGGTTAAGGGGTGGGGGGGAAATAGCATTTCAATGAGATGAGTATGAATTTCATAAAGATGATGAAAAACTTAACAGGCACACCATTCAGCTTGTCGAACAGCATGACATATGCAAGCCTCAAAATTGTTCTCATCATCCACAAGGGGACAGCACTTGCTGCCAGACTAGAAACACACAGTTTCCACATGAAGAGGCAAAATGAGAGCAGCCATTGCTGCAGCTACCAAAACAGAGGTGATATTCCATCTCTTCTTTGAAATGGGGGGTCTAGAAAGAAGGAGTGACAAAGACCTCGAGATAGAAGGCTGTCAGGTGCACGAATACATGAAACGGTGGGATAGGCTTTAAATTTGAAGGTTATGTGCAATTATCTTTTTTCTTTCTTTCCCGGTTTTGAAGAAATAAATACCATAGCAAAGAAAGTAAAGCATGAGAAAGATGCATTATCTTGGAGCTGAAGACTGGGGGGTTTTTTTAGAAAGGAAATTATAAATGTGAGATCTTTGGCTTTTGAGAATATGTATGCTTTGAAAGACTTTTATAGTAGAAATTATGCAGGGCCAGTACAAATAAACTGATGGCAAGAGACACTGAGTACATATAGTATTTTACCTTTGTAGTCTGCTTTTAAGAAGCTATGTAGAAACAAATATTAATTTAAAAAGACGACTAAGTATCTTACCTTTATGAGGATCAAATAGAGATTTATAATTTAGAAAGAGTGAGTCATTGAATGTGTCTGCATGCTAATTCGTTGCCTAACTGTTCTTAAAATGCATCATTATTCTGCGGAACAAGGTAATACATGCTTTGAAAGAATCATGGCTTGAGATGACTGAGGGGGGAAATTTGTTCAGTTTGCCCATGTTGACACTTTTGTCCTACTCCTATTCTTCTCTTGTGTTCTCTGATTTTTCTATCTTTACCGTTGCAGGTTAAACATGCACACAACACACTCAAGTCATGTGAAATTGTGGAGATGAAACATAACAGAAAACAATTGTTCAAACAGGTATATCAGTGATCTAACGACTCCTGTACATGTGTGGAAGAAAATTCTTCACACAAGAGGAAGCTGTTTTACTTCATTTTTCCTTTTGTTTTCTTTCAATTAGCACAGCTCAAATAAATGCAGTCTAAATTACTTTAAACATCACTGTGTTAATTCTTGTTTAATACCAACATATGCAAATTAAAGGATCCATCATTATTTGTGACAATCTTAATCTCTCAACCAACCAAAAGACAACCTTGAATGCTTTTGTTAAACAACATTCTATTGAGGTGAAATGGTGTGCTAGCTTTGAATGTTTTTATGTATTCTCTTTTCATTGTTCAATGCATATATATATTCTTCTTTGGTTATTTTAAATCTCATCTGAAAAAATGGCATGATACAGAAACATGATACACTATATCAATAATAAAGAAATTGATTGTTTAATGAGGATGGAAAACATTAGTATTTACTTTGTACTTGAAATGAATTATTGCTGATCATAATGCTATTGCATAAATTTCAGCAGTAGAATATATTTATAAAATGCCTTATTATTCCTTTGTCTCTTTAAAAGCTCTAACTTTCATATACTAAAAATGTCTGCTACAGTCTTTTCTGAGAATGTAGTACAGCAAGTTGTCAGGCAAAGACGGTTCCTTCTTTTACATGTTTTGAACAAAGGTTTCTCTAACCTTTGTATATTTCTTATTTATTTGTTTCCACTTCCTTACAAAATTCAAAAGCATGAGGTTGTATAGGGACTATTTGGTATTGCTGGTGCTGCAGTGAAGACAGGTATGCTCACAAGAAGCTTACAAAGGAAGGGTAAGAGATTATGGTGTTTCTGTATTCAGAAACATCTGCATGATCCGTCTCCAAAAGCAGCAAAATGCCATCTTATTTGTGAGGGTAGAAGCACAAATATTTTACAAACAATGCTCTGTAAGGGCGGAAATACTCAAGATTGTAATCACAAGCTATGGCTTTGTTAGAAGGCTAGTTCCTTTACTAAGACCAAGGGAATGCTTTAAACAATCATACACAATGTTTTAGGTATTAAGTACATGCATAAAATTAATATTTCAAACCTTTCTACACAGTGAAGGTTAAAGCCCATCCTGCATTCTCATGGTTTACTCTCTTTTCCCTTTCAATCAATTCCATTGATTTTAAGGGTCAGAGGCTATACCTTCATTGATCAAAGAAACAGCCTGACACAGCGAAAGAGTCTGCCAATTCCAGACAGATCAATCACACCTTTGTCTGCTTTTGATACATTATGGTTATTTATTCTGCATCTCCATGGTTTTCTGTCACACGGTTCTTAATGCAATAATGCTACTGAGGAAAATAAAAGGGGAAATATTCCATTAACAATATTGTAAGCGCTTCTCTGGTCTTTCTTAGGGTGGTTTACAATGGAACTTGGCCAGCACGCTGGATTTCATTTTTGACTTGGAACAGAGCTCTTGTGCTGGTATTTAACTCTCCTTAACATCAGCATTTTGCAGGAGTCAGTGAAGGATAAAAGATAGCCTTTGGAAAAGAGCTGTGTAAAATGTATTTTGAAAAGTAATTAGGTTCGATAGAATAACAGTTGCAACCTACAATTACCATCATTGTTTTCAATATTTATTTGGGCACTTATTTTTGAAATATGCCTTATTGGTTCAAATGTAAATCCAATCAACCCCCAGCCACTGACAGTTTTATCGCTGTGAAATGAAACTAATTGTCTCCGTGTAATAATTGTTATAAAACAGCACCAAACAGATTATTAGAGGAAACAAAATCTGCTGTATTCCACATCTGTTGCAATAAGAACTACAAGGCTTCAAATTATGCACACCCTTTTCAGTGCATTTTTTCCACACTCATAATTAAGTTAAATGCATATTTATAGCATTATGAAATGTTTTAATTTGTGAGACAGTACACGTTTAAAGGTAACTGTTTTGGAGGTAGGAAGGGTGTTCCAGGAGGGTAAATAAAGTGGTACCTTGGGTTAAGTACTTAATTCATTCCGGAGATCCGTTCTTAACCTGAAACTGTTCTTAACCTGAAGCACCACTTTAGCTAATGCCGCCTCCTGCTGCCACCGGAGCACGATTTCTGTTCTTATCCTGAAGCAAAGTTCTTAACCTGAGGCACTATTTCTGGGTTAGCGGAGTCTGTAACCTGAAGCGTATGTAACCTGAAGCGTATGTAACCCAAGGTAGCACTGTATACTGCTTTCTCAATATGCTGCTTGGGTAATTAGTTTTCAAAAGAATATAAGCAGTTAGTATAACTGTATATATAATAATGGATGAGATTCTAGTTCAGTAAATGGCATGATGACCCCAAGTTAATCAGAGCCAAGATTTCATAGTCAAATTACAAAGCCGCGCCCTATAAAGTTGCCACTGGCTTCAGCCTTCCATTGTAGGTTTTTTTCGGGATGGTGCCTTTACATAGCCATGTAGACACACATTAACTTGTAATATAAAAACATGACGCTCAACATTATTTCCTGGCACAAGGTGCACATTAGTGAACACACTGGAATGTATCAGGTCTACAGCTGCTACAATACTTGTATATAAAAAAGAACAAATGGAACACAAATCTTGAACATAAAGCCATTAGAAGGGTATCAGTTTGACATAGCTTCAGCCTATAACTCTAGGTATGTCAAAGATGCATTTGGCACACTTAAGAGTTAAACTGGCAGAAATGGTCTCCTCTCCCACTGATAAACTACAAAGTCCAAAAAGACAGAAAGTCAGCTGACACTCTCAAAGGCAGAAGACCTTTTAAACATTTGCAGGCTGACAACAGTATTCTAAAGCATGCAGTTTCTTGTGAAGAAATAAAACTGAATGTACAACATTTTAGGGAAGTTTTGAATAAGCCTATTTGTCCAGCTTACTTTGCAACGGCTGTGTATAAAACAGCACTATAAACACTTTCATTCCCTACACAAGGGCTAAACAAAGAGTCCTCTTTTAGCCATTTAATCTGGTAATTTATTTTTTCAACCATCACATAAATCGAAACACAGCTGTAACCAATGACTTGCAGATTCACTTCCCTGCCAGCTGGATTTTGTTCTGCTGAAGCAGCAAGATTTTTACATTGTTCACTTCTGTGCATCTGGAGAAATCACTAAGGATCAAAGGTGACTAGAAAAGCTCTTTAAATAAACTCAACCAACAGTGAAGATCAGCTTCAATGCCTGCAGAATCTACATATAATGGCACAAATCATCCCTTGTTTTGTCAAAATCAGAATCTCTCCTTCTGGAAACTGAAATAATCTGAAATATATAGTTATACTTTTAAGAGGGTGAAAATGCAGCTGTCACTTCTAGTTCAAGCTGCTGTTTCCTGAGAGTTTTAGTTTCCTCCACATTCAAGTTTTGCAAATTACGTACTCACAGTTGAGTATTTTCTAAAATATTTTTATCTTGGTAGCAAATCCTTAAAATGAATTCTGGCTACCAATATCAGCATTTCTGGGTTAAAGATAAATTTTATTTTCCCAACTCTTTCATACAGCGGCAGACTAGAGGTGGCCACTTTACTAGGGACTGGGACCCCCAAGCTAAGCCATTTTAATGAAGTAGTTCAAACAGGCAGACACTTGTGTGGTGCAGTTTTTTCATGTGATTGAACTATTTGGTGGTGAATTGTGTGAAATTGTGTCCCAACAGGCACTTTTTCTGTTTTACCTTAAGTCCTGCCATCTGGAAGTGTTGGAGCACTATCCATAGTCTGGTGGAAAAGTCCTCTCTTGATGATGCAGCGATCAGCACATCGTCGAAAAACGGTGTGACTCCAGGGATGCCTTTAAGGAGACGGTCCATTAGGCTCTGAAATAACCCTGGGGCCACGCTAACTCCAAACTGTAGGCGTTTGACCATCAAAGCACCTCTATGAGTCACGATTGTCTGGGCGTCTGCGATGGCCTCGTCAACGGTTAGCTGCTGATAAGCTTATGCTAAATCCAGCTTCCCGAAGATCTTGGCTCCAGCCTGGGTTGCTAACATGTGGCTCACCACTGGAACCAGGTACGTGTGGTCCTGTAAGGCCCGGTTCAGGGTGCATTTGTAATCGCCACAGATACAGACTGAGCTGTCCGGCTTAACCGGTGTGACGATTGGGGTTTCCCAGGTTCCCAAAGCTACCAGCTCTAAGACCCTTTGGGCGACTAAGCAATCAAGCTCCTCATCGATCTTGGGTTTAAGTGCAAATGGAACTCTACGGGTCTTGACCCGAATGGGTTGTACCATGGGGTTAACCCATAGGGAAATCGGGGGTCCGTTGTACAGGCCCAAGACTGATGGAAACTCCTGGCAGATTGATTCAAAATCTGCCCCTGGGGAAATCTGATTAAGCCCTGAAATACCTAAGCCTAATGGCCCGAACCATACTAGGCCTAGAAGGCTAGTGAATGGGCCTTCAGTTATGATGAGGTTCAAATTCTTGGTGTACTTTTTAAACTGGACCTTGAAGGTGCCCATACCCTTTAGTTGGATTCTTTTTCTCTGGAATTCCCACAGCACTAGGGGGGCCCGGCGGAGAGGAGGACCACCATTAGGGCAAAGCTCTTTCAGAGTCTTAGCAGATATTATGGAGTAGGATGAGCCGGTATCCAACTCCATAGTGCATGGGGTTCCCTCTATCTTGAGTTGTACCCTAAGCTTATTGGACCCTGGGGATGGAAGTTGAAGTACTCTGGCTGGAGAGGTGGACTGTAACTCCTCCTCTATGTAGACCTCGTGGACATGTTGCGTGGGTCGTGCTCCGGAAGTCTTAGAGCAGCAGACTCGACCAACGTGCCCAGTCTTCCCATAGTGGCAACATGTGGTGTCCCGAAACCTGCATGTTCTGCATGCAGAGCATGAGACTCTTAATCTCAGGGTCATGGGTTTGAGCCCCATGCTGGGTTAAGATCCCTGCATTGCAGAGGGTAGACTAGATAACCCCTGCAGCCCCACCCAACTCTACAATTCTTTGATTCTATCTTAAATTTCATATGATAAATTTATTACAATGCACCATATTGTTTTTTTACAAAGGAAACCACAAAAAGAAATTAGCAGCTCCTTTGGGATGTAAATAAATACAAATGGTGAAGGCACACAACTTGTAGTTTAATCCCCCACCCCACCCCAAATAACAGAGTTGGAATGCTTGATTCCCTCCAAGTGGTTTCATGTATACAGTGGTACCTTGAGTTACAAACGCCTCAGGTTACAAACGCTTCAGGTTACAAACTCCACTAACCTGGAAGAGTTACCTCGAGTTGAGAACTTTGCCCCAGGATGAGAACAGAAATCGTGTGCCAGCAACGCAGCGGCAGCAAAAGGCCCCATTAGCAAAAGCATGCCTCTAGTTAAGAACAGTTTCAGGTTAAGAACGGACCTCTGGAACGAATTAACTTCCTAACTAGAGGTACCACTGTATATTGGACTCACTCTAAAAATATAAATGACTAAAATTGGCTAGACAAAACAAACAGCCTGAGGCCCATGCTACAATGTAGTTAAATTGATATACCTGGGTGTGTGTTCGGGCATGTTTACGTGCAGCCACATAAATCTAATTAGCTCTACTGATTTCAACAGAATTAATGCAACTTACACCTGATAATAGTAAGTGAATAGTAAGAATGTTTTGTGTTTATATACACACACTGTGTATATATATAACGTTATGCATATATATATATATATATATATATATATATAGCATTCTCGTATATTTGTTTTAGGAAATGACATATACAATAAATTAAATTGTGTGTGTGAAATAGAAGAATATGAAGATTTATTCTAACAATAGGCATTATGCAACAGAGGAATAGTGTTCCTAAACAATTCTTTTGAGTATTTTTATTCAGGATATGACTGTATTCATTGTTGGAGTTTTTATCCGAATACTAGTTACAGTATATTTAAAATTGACATACAAAGCTAAATTCGAAGGAAGCAAAATAGGGTAGCTGTGTACCCAATTTTACAGGGGGCAGCCCTCTGTCTAAAGCAGGGTGGCAAAACTGTGGCCACCCAGATGTTGTTGGACTCCAGTTCTCATCAACATTAAGGCTGACCAATCCAGGGCCTGCATGGTCCCTGATAATCAAACTACTGCCAGCATATAACACATTGTTTGTGTGATTTGCACTGGCTGCTAGTTTGCTACCAGGACAAGTTCAGTTAGGCCCTACACATCTCATGATCAGGTTACTTGAGAGACCGCCTTATCTCTTATACAACCAGCAGATCGCCGCAAATCCCAAAGATCTCAGAAGCCCACTCTGCAGTCCCTCAGAACAGAGCTTTTAGTGTGGCTGCCACTATTCTGTGGAATAGCATTCCTGTTGAAATATAACAGGCGCCCACTATCTGCAATTTCCAGAAGCGATAAAAGACATTTTTGTTTCTGCAGACTTTCCCAGCTGGATAAATGTGTCTCTACAATGAGTGTCCACTTATTAGGATTTTAGTCTTGTTTAAAATGTTTTTTGGATTTTTAACTGTTTTTACCTATCTTATGTGTAAATCATCTAGAGATGGCAGTTTAAAAGGCAATTAATAAATTACTTAGTAATAATAATAAAAAGGGGTGATGTCTCCACCTCATCACCCAGTCAATACCCACCAGCTAACCAAGATGGGCAAGGACCAAGGAGGCAGGTGGTTAGTCACACTTCTCATAGCAGCTTGTCCACAACCTCAGGCTGCAATATTTGAAACTGATCCAGTGATAGAACAGACAGTGCTCTGTCAGATGGCTATTTGCAGACACAAGAGTGGTAGAAAAGTCATTTTTCTTTACCACCGTCATTGACAAGTTGTAGGCAAAGTAATGCACCCTCACCTGCGTTGGATCATGTTCAGTACCGTGATTTACACTACCTGTGCTCTAGCCATTGACCCCATTTGAAAACGTACAGGTCACCAGAGTACCAAGGTGAGCTTTGTCTTCCCCAGCAGTGGCGAGGGCACTCAGGAGTGATCATATCAATGACTCTATGCACCTTCCAATTCCACAGTGTGATGAAAGCCTTGACAGGAGCTCCAGTCTTATCAGTCAGAAAAGCCCTCAGCATTCAGTTACCCATCAGATTACAAAAGTCACTGTGGGTGGACCATCTACATGGATCCTCCACTGCTGCAGAGTGGAGTACCATATTCAGCCCAAACCTCACCAGGAAACGATTCACAAACTAAATATAATGAGCACTCATATTAGAGCGCTGTGATAGCTATAGTCTTATATATGCTAATCCTTTACGCTTTTTCACTCTTGTCTAATGTTCTTAACCCTTCTTTTAGACTCTCTTAGCTTCTTTTGGATTCTTATAGACTTTTATATATACTTTTTGTTTTAACTCCTTTTAGTTTTTTAAAAAAGTTTTTTGATTTTAAATTATTGTACCCCTCCCCAGCGGCGGAGCAAGTAGATTTGGCACCTGGGGCAGGGTGTGTGCCCTGTGCCCAGGGGCAGAGCCAGCTGCCCATGATGGAGGGGGGGGTGAGCCAGGGCGGGACACTCCATGGGGCCTCTGAGGAGTCTGCCTGTCTCCTCCCACTCAGCTGTCCTACAGTCCTGCAGCTGATTGGGGGACAGCAGGCGGACAGTTTGGGGCAGCACATAGCCTGTGGGCGCTCAAGCCACCACGTCACTCCCAGGAGAGATGTGTGGCTCGGGCACGCTGCAGGCCCCATGGCGAGTGCCGCCCGGCATTTTGTCACCCCCTCAGTGGTGACACCCAGGTGACCCGCCCCCTTCCTCCGCCCCTGCCCCTCCCTTCTTATGCTGGTCTATGACCATAATAAATATTTGTTGTTGTTGACCCACTCATGGCAACAGACTCACAGTGGAGAGTATTACCAATCCAAACTAAGGCAAAGACCAGATCGAGCTTATTGATCTGTTGGATCAATAAACTAAGACAGACCCATGGGGATCATGAAGTCCCAAGCCAGCCTTTTTGATGTAGTCCCAGAATGGGTACTGAAGTCCACCAACACCACCGTGAAGAAGTTATCTAGCACCACAACCTAGACTACCCTCACTTGCTCATTTAGGAAGACTGTAGTGCAGCCTGGTGGATATGGTATACTAACAACATCCCTATTCTGTCTAAGTTCTGAACCATGCTCTTTCCCCAAAATCCCTTAAAATCAGACATAATGCTGATTGTGAATGACACATGTTTAATTCTAGGCAGATCTGGCATTTAACAACAGCCTCCAATCTTTTTTGGATTCCAGGGTGGTGTGCAACAAAATTTTATATCTTAATAGAAACTGACAATAAAAAACAGGTAAAAAAATTAAATACAGAACTGGCATTTGCAACAACCTAAAATGCTTCTCTGTGGTGGACCTTATATTCTGAACAGGTCACCACCATATTCTTTCCGGCTGAATACCACTCTTTTATTTTTACCCAAAAGACATGAGAGTGAGGGCAGAAAGAATCACCCTCACTCTGATTTAGCTTCAGACATAATCATGCATTCAAATCTCATTGGCTATCTGGTATTACATAGCAAAGGGGAGCTTCTGTCCATGAAAACTTCAGCTCCCTTTTGAAGCCCATTATGCTCCATTCAGAGCATTCAGCTCTGCTTCAAGTTTCATACAATGGCCACTCTATGCTCACCATAAACAAACTAAATGCATTAAAACTGGAATAAGGTTATACATTTTTTGTAGAACACATCCTGCTATCCAGCTTTACAGGATCCTGATAACATATAAAACTGTACTTCAGAGAGCTGACCACAAGGCACAAGTGATAATTACATCACACTTGGACTTCTGTAGCACACTCTGTATGAGGCTGCTTTCGAAAAGTGCTTAGAAAGTTTAGCTGCTTCAGGAATCTGCAGCCAGATTATTGACCAGGAATACAGTGGTACCTCAGGTTACATACGCTTCAGGTTACAGACTCCGCTAACCCAAAAATAGTGCTTCAGGTTAAGAACTTTGCTTCAGGATAAGAACAGAAATCGCTCTCCGGCAGCGCAGCAGCAGCAGGAGGCCCCATTTGCTAAAGTGGTGCTTCAGGTTAAGAGCAGTTTCAGGTTAAGAACGGACCTCCGGAACGAATTAAGTACTTAACCTGAGGTACCACTGTATGTGATTCCTCTCTTACAAGAGCTTCAATGGCTACTAGCCTATTTCTGAGAACAGGTCAAAGTTTTCACTATGACCTGGGACAAAGTATATATACATCCCTTATGTAAGTTTTCTCAAATACAGTTATCTCAGGTTCGAAGCTTACTCTGTAAAACTTGCAAACATTTTTTCTAATGAGATTGGCTTCCAAATGCATCACCCTGCGCCCCCCCCACCACCAAAAGAAACTAAATAATATTTCTCTCCTCCAGGGCCTTAAGGTCACCTGTATTTTTAATGCCAAATCAAATCCCAAGAGTTTTTCTTCAAGAAGGACACATTTATTCATGAATTAGTTGAGAACAGTCTTTCAACATCACTTTTCCAATTCAAGCTTCTAGCTGTGTACACTTATATTGGGAGGTTCCTTTGCAATGTCATCATGACTGCCGTTCAGTCCAGCATCACAATATTTTAATATCTATTAGAACCTCTTTCACTTGTAGCTCTACATTTCTTTCACACAGAGATCACAGTGTTTTATCAATGTGTGCTCACTGACAGAACTATATGAAACCTGACAAACTTCTCTGACAATCAAGCTCAAACCACTTAGTCAATACTAAGTTCACAAGTTCACAAAGAATATTTGCAAGGAAAACTTAGTCAGATGGACAGCATATAAAATCATCATCACCATCACCACCATCATGGGTTTCCATATTACAGAATGGACAATCTGAACACTCCATCTTTCCCCTCATTTATGTCCATCTGCATAGTATAGTTTCAGATGAACCCTAAATATTTGTATTCTTACTTCAAATCTTTTTTTTCAAAATGGCAAAATATTCTGGGTTGCATAAAAGGAAAGGGTTGCCATGCTTTTGGGCCAGTGGGCAGAAAGCCAAGGATAAGACAGAAGTTAAGTCTGTGTTTTGATACATGGAACCAAAACAGCTTCTCAAGTGACCTTCCAAGATCCTTTTAAGTGGTCCATGAATACAGTGCGGGAACTGCTGCAATAGAGAATTATACCAGAAAGCGAAAGTAAATCTGAAATAATATTGAAGTCATGCAATGAAGAAGCAAGAACTTTCAGAGAGCCCACATGTTACAGCACTGCACGAACACTTCCACAAGATTTAATGGAAGTATCTGTGGGGAATAATGCTACTGGCTGCTTTCCATCCACTCAAAGATATCTGGATCTAATTTGTAGTTTTAGAAGGTTCAGAGGAAATACTAGGACAATTGCAGGAATTAGCAAGCATCACCTTTTATCCTAGTCATCATTGATTTATGGCCATTCTAAGGTCCAAAAGTGCCACAATGCAAGATTTTAAACTTTAAAGCAATCACTGGGGGCTTTTCCTTGTAGCAGGAGTATGGGGGGGGGGCATGTTGGCCTTTTTGGCCTGAACCAAACACTTCTATACATTTCTTTAGGCCCCCTACCATTTTAAGCTAATAGCAGCTCTGAGTGGTGGATTAAATCAGCGACACATGTATTGAGCCTAAACATATAGCTTTTATCTACCAGCTAGGTAAAGGTAAAGGGTCCCGTTGTGACCGACTCTGGGGTTGCGGCGCTCATCTCGCTTTATTGGCCGAGGGAGCCGGCGTACAGCTTCTAGGTCATGTGGCCAGCATGACTAAACCGCTTCTGGCGAACCAGAGCAGCGCACGGAAACGCCGTTTACCTTCCCGCCAGATTGGTACCTATTTATCTACTTGCACTTTGACGTGCTTTCGAACTGCTAGGTTGGCAGGAGCTGGGACCGAGCAACGGGCGCTCACCCCGTCACGGGGATTCGAACTGCCAACCTTCTGATAAGCAAGTCCTAACCTGGTTTAACCCACAGCGCCACCTGCGTCCCTTATCTACTAGCTAGTTAACAGTAATTAATGCCATTATTCTTCTTGAAAACAAAATCTAGTCCTTTAACTCACTGTCCTACCCACTAGCTTGTGTTTGCATCTTTCATTTTACTCAGTATTAACACAGCTATATTTATTTCCTTATATGAAAAGACCATTTTTTAAAAAACAAAGACCAGTGGCGCTGGTCTGCAAGGAGATTGCAGCTGGCCCTGAGAATCTCCTGGCCCTGCTGGTGCTCCTTGGTGGTGTTGCTGCTCCTTCGCCTGGTTTCTTCGAGCAAGCAGGGACAAGAGAAGAACAAAGTGTCCTCTTGCCTTGTGATTTCCTCTGAGTGACTGTGCACAATGGACATGAGAATGGGCATCAGAAATAGTGGTAGACACCCCCAAAGTCAGGGAACTCTATACAATACAACCCGAGGAATTGCAGAAGAGAAAGTCTGAAGAGAAGCTCATGGAATCGTGAGCACATGCGTATGAGTGCTTAAGCCTTCCCCAACCTGGTGCCCTCCAGATGTTTTGGACTACAACTGCCATCATCCATGACTTTTGGCCATGCTGACTGGAGCTGGAGTCCAACAACATCTGGAAGGGGCAGGAAGGCTGACACAGACACAGAAATCTGACCCTGGTTAAGCCAGCTACACCATAACATTCTTCCTTACCTCTTTTATATTTCAAAATCAATGAACATTTTTAGTGATTGTATTGGTTTTTAAAAAGTAAGAATGAAATTATTATTTTTCATTACATTTTTTAAGTAACTACTTGATTGCATCCATGTAGAATGGTTTGGGCATAATGAGCATTTATATATCATACACATTATATGTCAACAACTGCAGGTTACTTTGCCTACCATGTGCTTGCTGTACTTCTTTACAGAAATAGAATCATAGAGTTGGAAGAGACCACAAGGATCATCTAGTCTAGGGGTCTGCAACCTTTAAGACAAAAAGAGCCACTTGGACCCATTTCCGAAGAAAAAAAAACTGGGAGCCGCAAAACTCGTCATTATAAAAATAACTTTTTTGTCACTTTTTATTATTTCTTTGTTTGACCCCTCAGAATTACTCCTCCTCATAGAAATAAACGTTAAATTAACAAGTTACCTTTTTGTGTGTGTGTGTTCTTCACTCCCCTTCAAAACAGTGACCAGCATACATGCCCCCTTTCAATGCAGTGACCAGTGTACATGCCCCTTACAATGTAGCGGGCGGGTGGGCGGGAAGGTGACATCGGAACAGTGTGTGACTAACGCACGCACCGCCCCCATGCGACGTCACAGCCAGTACAGCGCCCGCCACAGTGGGGAGTGTCGGGGCGCACAATGCGCCTCCTCCCCTCGCTAGTATCTGCCCCGGAGCCGCAGCAAAGGTGTAAAAGAGCCACATGCGGCTCCGGAGCCGCGGGTTGCTGATCCCTGATATAGTCCAACACCCTACAATGCAGACATCTTTTTGTACAACATGGGGCTTCAGCCCACTACCCTGAGATTAAGTCTCAGGCTCTACTAACTGAGCTATCATCATCATCATCATCATCATCATCCTTTATTAGGCATAGCACACCATACACTAACAAACAAACATCATATACAGACTGTATAAAATACGGGCTCAGCGAACACAATTTACTAACTGAGCTATCCATATAGCAAGTACCTCATTGATAAGTGCTTGTTTTTCCATGTATTCAATTACTCTTTATTATCAAGAGACAAAGGGTTAGTGAGAAAAGGCGGGTAGAGTGAGATTGCTAGGGCCTGGAGACAGAAGGTCTCTATGGATTACTGAGCAGAAAGGGAGTGGACAGTTCAGGGGTTGGGGACATGAAGACGATGGTTCAAAGAGCCAAAGAATCAGAATTGTGCTGACTGTTTGGGAATAATTGCTTGGGAATGATAATGTTGTTGCAGCAATATTGCATGTAACCATGCATTGTCCGAGTCAAAGGATTTAAAATATAATTTGTTAATCTCAGGGTAAATCTGGACAATGGGCGATAGATGTGAATGGAAAGAGAACAATATGGGAAAGAGAAGGAGGAAAAAAAGTTAATGGAAAAAAACTTTTGTTTATGGAAAAAACCTGAAATGATTTAGAATTAATTCTATGGAATATAAGCCATATACTGGTTATTTTTTGATTTCATTAACTGAGTTAATAAACATAAACAAAACATACAAAATGCTAAGTTCTAGATTTATTGATGCAGATAATTCAATTAAAATACACAGGTAGAAGGGAAAAATTATGGTCAAGCCAATTCTGTAAGTAGAATTTATCAATCATGCAGTTGGAAATGGCACGTTCCTCACCATAACATACAATCTCTAATGACAGTGTTTGAAAAATGAAATAGCTCTAAACAATAAATATTTCCTTCTCAAAACACACCACACTCAGCTCACAAACTGCCACCACACCAAGTTTGTGCATGGAATCAAGCCGCAAATGCATTGTACATTTAAAGCCTATAATGTCCTTCTAAAGAATTCCAGAAACTGTTGTTTGTTAAAGGTGCTGGGAATAGTAATTCTGCAAGGGGTAAACTATCGTTCCAATGATTCATGGTCATGTGCTTTAAGAGTAAGTATGCCATGCCTCAGAATACACAGATCAGGATATCCATTGTTGTTAGTGGTGGGAGCTTTTCCACAATGCTCTGAACTACATGCAGGCATCCTGCACAGTGCTTTGAATGAAGAACCAAGATCTCTTTTCAGGTCTGCTATCTCCTTATTGATTACTCTCAAATCCAGTTATCTATATGTGAAGTCTCTCTTTCTAGTCAATCCTGTACAGTGGTACCTCGGGTTACATACGCTTCAGGTTGCATACACTTCAGGTTACAGACTCGGCCAACCCAGAAATAGTGCTTCAGGTTAAGAACTTTGCTTCAGGATGAGAATAGAAATCGTGCTTTGGAGGCGCGGCGGCAGCAGGAGACCCCATTAGCTAAAGTGGTGCTTCAGGTTAAGAACAGTTTCAGGTTAAGAACAGACGGACCTCCAGAACAAATTAAGTACTTAACCTGAGGTACCACTGTTTCTCTGCCTGATTTCCTGACATTGCAAAAAATCCTGATGGAACTTTCTGCCATCATCTAAAGTTAAGCATTATGAAGACCAAAGCTCCTTATATTTGTACACAAACTCTCCCTCCCTCCCTCCTTCCCTTCATTCCTCCTTTCACTGAAGGTCTTAGGCTAGTTTTTCTTTAGCAAAATGCCCCCCATGAACCACTCACATCCAAACCATCCATTTAAAGTACACTGCTTCTCCAGGGATTCCAGGGAATTGTAGTTTACCCCACAGAGCTACAATTCCCAGTACTGTACCATTAATAAACTAGTTTCCAGTATTTTTTGGAGGGGGGAGCCATGTGCTTCAGATGTGTAATGTGGATGTGTAAAACTGAAGGAAGTTTTTTTTAAAAAAGGTAATAAAATGTACAATGTTGAAATTGGAGATAATTTTAAAAGTAATCGGGATCTGAGATGCAGATTTGCTGTTAAAAATTCCACCAGGCTAGCACAAGCTGCTTGAATAAGCCCAAGAAGTCCTTTGAATCCTGGCCGTTGTCATCTCCCAAGGCCAAATATTAGAAATGTGTAGCCTTGGCATTAATTTGTTTACCTTTCTATTTGCTTCCCACATCATATTGGAGGACAAATACTGCAGCTTTTGCCTTTCTCGCAAGGAAAACATCAAGCCTCTTTTCTGTCTTTGTGGAGTGGTCACCTCTAGTCTCTATTACAAACACCTTTCTTCATTGTATTCCTTACAATGCTTCTCTGAGGCATTCCACTTCAAACTCTTTGTTTTTGAAAGTTCTTCACATCTCTGCTCCATCTGTACCACATCTCCCCTTTCAGCCTTTCATACTTTTCCTATTCTACTCCAAAACTATTGCGTTTGGCCGGCTTTTTTGTGAACAGTTCCAGCCCCACCATATACGATTCTCTACTGCTGTCAAAAAGAGAACAGTGCAACTACAGGCTTTAAATAGTAGCAGCAACAACAAAACAACATGTATATTTCAATCACTCTTTGGCGATCCTTTGGATGGTTGCCACGTCGTCTTGTAATTGGCACACAAGCCAAAGACAATCAAAAAGCTGACTGCAGTCAAATATGGCACTTAACCAAATCACTTTCTTGTATAATCAAAGGCAACTGCAAATTGATAATTTTGACCACCCAGGTTGAGCAGGACATAGGTTTTTCTATACTTTAGTTTATAAGAAGAGCTACAGTCATATTCCCCCCACCAGGCATTTATTTTCTATATTATTCTGTAAAATATTTGTTTCTTTTTAAAAAATTGTTGCCTCATTTTCTTCAGAAACCTAATTTGTATTTTAGTTGTAGCTATGGTAACAGAAACAGTAGAAAATATAATAAAAGAAAACATATGCTTCCTCATAAATGAAAATTAAATAATTTGTTATAAAATGTAGCTGAAATACAAAGCCACCCACTACTATAAAACTCCCTGCTAAAAGGAGACTTCTTGGATATAAATATTAAGGAAAGACAGGACTTAATTAAGTTAATTGTATGGGAAAATATAGTATATAAACATTATATTTTTAGAAAGTGCAACTTATTCATATCATCCCCACAAAAAACCATAAATTTATAAATCATACTCTCTAACCAAAGGCACCTCAGGCAATACAGTGGTACCTCGGGTTACATACGCTTCAGGTTACATATGCTTCAGGTTACAGACTCCGCTAACCCAGAAATAGTACCTCTGGTTAAGAACTTTGTTTCAGGATGAGAACAGAAATTGTGTAGCGGCGGCGCAGTGGCAGCAAGAGGCCCCATTAGCTAAAGTGGTGCTTCAGGTTAAGAACAGTTTCAGGTTAAGAACGGACCTCCGGAACGAATTAAGTTCTTAACCCGAGGTACCACTGTATAAAGGTTTTGGCAAACACTGTACAGTATTATCGATAGAGGGTGAATGGGGGAATAACCCTCTCAAATTTCTCTCTGCCGTGATGAATGGCACAAATTTGACAATAAGATGACCACTATCTTACACAGATGGCCTGTTTCATCAATGTTTTGGTCCAAGTCCCAATAAGGTATATAGGTGTGGGGGCGGTGCCTGTGCCTGAGTAATTCTCATTGGTTCAACAGAGTCTCTCTGCCCCCAGGTGCACATGCGGGCAATATAACAGGCCATGATGGATAATGGAAAGTTTGTGTGGCCCTCCCAAATCCCAGCCCAGACCTTCTCTGTTTGGGGCAAGCATGAGTAGCTTGCATTGCACAGAGAGGGAGAGTGGCCTGGGAAGACATATGGGAAGCATACACAAACCTCCCACTCCCATCATTGCCTATCATTCCTAGTGCTGGGTAAGGAAGGAGAAACTGTGCTCTGTTGAGTGGGGGTGCTTGAGGAATTTGATTTATGTTAACTCCAGTGGGAACTGACTTGAACTGCATCTCTTGGACTAATGTTTGGATCCAAACATAATTATCCATCAGATTTCACACTATTTTACAATACAGTTTTCAGGTCAACATTTAAGAATGCATATTTTAGGATAAATTACGTTTAGAAATACAGTGGTACCTCTGGTTACATATTTAATTCGTTCCGGAGGTCCGTTCTTAACCTGAAACTGTTCTTAACCTGAAGCACCACTTTAGCTAATGGGCCTCCCGCTGCCGCCGCACGATTTCTGTTCTCATCCTGAAGCAAAGTTCTTAACCCGAGGTACTATTTCTGGGTTAGTGGAGTCTGTAACCTGAAGCGTATGTAACCCGAGGTACCACTGTATGTACATTGAGATAAAATGTCATTTAGGTATGCATATTGTGATAAAATATGCATTTTTTCAAAATACAGTGAACTATGTGGAACTTACTACAGTTGTCACTCAGCCATAACATGACACCTGTTGACTGAACTTTATTTTTACATGAAGTTTTGTGCTCTTAAAAAAAAAAAAAAAAAAAGCCAAAGCAGCTTATGTTTGAACACATTCACTGTTCAGATATATTTCCTGTCAAACTATATAAACTAAATACTGGCATCCAAAACATCTTAAAATAATGCACTTGGCATTACAATCCTGAAGCAGAATGAGGTGACAAAATATGGATACCACTTTGAATATCCCCACACATCCAAAACTCCCTGAAAACAGAAGAGTGGAGATAATGCGAGTAAGTTAGAGAGAAAGACTGAAGTCTGGCCCTTAGCCTATTCTGCTTGTTTTCAACTGCAGGGACTTTATCACATAAGGGGAAATTGGAAAATGGCATCCCATCGCTGGTGGTTAATACTGGTACAGCCCACTCTACTGTTTCAGCATTCTAACACCCCGATACCTCTATTCCACTTACCTTTCCTTTTTCAAAATGTTCTTTGGTGTCATAAAACAAGTCTTGCCTTGCCTTATACTGCAGCAGTTAGAGCTGTTCCATAGATTCAGGCAATCCTGGGATTGTTTGGCCACAGATAAAAGTATCATCAGATAATAACCTGCCCTTGAAAATACATTAAACTAGAGATGGGGAATCTATGACCCCCTGGGTGTTACTGGATTTCAACTCTCATCAGCCCCAACCTGCATGATCAAGAGTAATGGATGATGGGAGTTGTAGTCCAGCAACATCTGGAGGACCACATATTCCTTATGCCTGCCCTGCCTTAAACATAAAACTGAAACAGACAATATATCCCCTAGCTTTTAAAGAGGGTAAATTGTGGATATGTGCTAGACTGGACTGCACTCCTTTAAAGATGATACATCATTCTATTTATATAACAAAAGGGGCTGTAAACACACTTATACTGAAACAACAGAGAACCATGCTCAATAGTGTGCCCCAGCTGCTTTGCACTGTTCCAGTGATTATATAAAAACATTTTATGTAGCTATTCTAAAAGTGTTTATGACTGATCTGTGTCACTAGAGCAAGCAGTCAATGGTAACTAAGCCACGCTAGCAAAATTCACCCAAGACTTTTAACCAAATAGCAGCATTTATGAATGCAAGGAGAGAGGGGAATTCAAAGCAAACTGCATAGACTTGAGTTTTAATGGGAACTAACTCTTGATCAAATAACTCAGTTCACAGGACTGCAGCTATCTTGAAAGAAGTGAAGTTTGAACTGGTGAACTAGATGGATCACTTCATTCTATGCTTCTGAATACTTTTAGAAATGCATTTTGGGTTTCTTATTCAAATGCATTTGTAAGTGAGCTTCCAACATAAGATTAGAATATCAGAATTGGGAGATACCTGAAATGTCATCTACTTCAATCTCTTGCTGATGCCAAAACACACTACTATAGCAACCCTGATATGTGACCATCCAAGCACCTGTCTAATGAATGAGAAGCCCACACCTTCTGGGTAGTCTGTTCCACAGTTGAGCAGCTTATACCATCAGGAAATTCTTTCTAATGTTAGAACAACAGAAAACAGATTTCCACAAACTTCTAAAATATCTAAATACCATATTGCCGCTTAACCAACATTTCTCCAGGCTAAACATATCCCAACTTCTTCCATTTTCCCTCAATGGCCTTTGCTTCCCAGCTGCTCACGATATTTGTTGCCCTCTTCTGGAGACATTTCAATTTATCAGTATCCTTCTTAAACTGCATCGCCCAGAACATGGTACTTAATTCTTCTAGGGTATTAGCTAGCCCACACTATTTGCTGTCATCTTTGAATTTTAGGAACACCCACTCTACCCTTTCATCTAACTCCTTTGAACAGATGTTGAACAATCCTAAGCCAAGGGCAGAACCCCGCAGCACTCCACTTGTCACTTTTCTCCAGGCTATCGATAAGCATTTGTGTACTGTCTATCAGGCAACTATAACCTACCTAACAGTAGCACTGTCTAGCCTACATTTTGCAGCTTGAAAAGAAGAATATCATAGGGGCATGTAAACAGCTTTGCTGAAGCCTTCTTCAAATGAGAACATTGGTCCATGGATTCTAGATTAGCCTATGGGTAAGTGAATGCTGATTTGTATAAATTCACATTGCTTAGTGCCATCACTGCTCACTAGCAAACATGTTTGAGCATGTACAATACAGACAATATTGAGAATATCAAGTTTACAGCAATCCAGGCAGCATCAAAGAGCAACTTCAAACTTTCAAGAAAACACAATAGAGCAGGCTTCCTCAACCTCAGTCCTCCAGATGTTTTGAGACTACAATTCCCATCATCCCTGACCAGCTAGCTAGGGATCATGGGAGTTGTAGGCCAAAAACATCTGGAGGGCTGAGGTTGAGGAAGCCTGCAATAGAGTCTTCCTAGGAATGTATGATTTGGGGATGTAGGCAGAGGATCTCATGTCTAATAAAATTTTCTGACCATTCTGCTTACCTTCCATGGTACCTAGGCATGGTGGCCCCCTGGTTTGCCAGCAGCAGCCTTTCCTGGTCGCTGGAAATTTTTGAATTTAAATTTTAAAAAAATTGTCACGAGTGGTTGTTGATTCACATGGCAGGCTCATGGAGCTTAGGCACACAATACATATATTAAAAATAATCTCACACCTGCTTATAGACTTATGTGGCATGTGTCATTGTTGCTAATGTGGAAGAGAATGCACATTCTAGGGACTCATACATATTATAGGGCAATTTAGAAGAAGCCACAGTTAGGTGCTTCCAGACTTGAGTGGTTCATTGCTTTTCTGCTTCAAGCTGCTTCCACACCTACAGCTGAATTGTCAGACCTTCTTTCCCAGCCATGAAAGTGGGATGATTTTTAATCAGGACAATCCTGTAGATCAAATCCTGACCACCCCTCCCCCATGACTGTCTTAAAAAGATGTAAAGAAAGACAATCATACTCAAATGGGGACAGTTTAAGAAAAGGAATCAATTCCTATAAGAGAAACAGTACAATAGTGTCTGGAAATGGCTAGAACATCATATATAAGCCATTCAGCTATTGCTATTCAGCACAACCTTCACACAAAAAGCTATGGGGCAGCTAAGCTGTAGTATACTGTAAGTAGTATCTTCATCTGTGTAGTTGTTCCATGGTTTGTTTTTGTTTTAAGTTGGCTCTTAAACTCTAAAAAAGAAAGGAAAGGAAAGGAAAGGGAAAAGATGGGGGAAAGACCTTTTGCTAATGATGTCATGTAGATGTGAGCAAATGAAAAGGGGCAATTTCACAATAAATTCCATTGCGGAAGCTCACTTCTCAGTTGTGAAAACAAATCAAAACCTATGCATGTGAAAAGCAGGCATGTCAGGAACAAAAATCACTGACCACTTTTCTCCTTCATGTGCTAGTTTTCCATATGCAGGGAAGTTTTGAGGCACAGAAGCATTCAAGCATCAACACACACACACCGCCCCACACAGCTACATTCATGGGAAAACTCTCACCATATAATTCTCTAAATATTTGAAATGGATCTTAGGAAGCATGTGGAAAAAAATGAAAAGAGAATGAGAACGTATTGGGTTGGTGGTTAAATTATGGTTACCAGACGTCCCCATTTCCCGGGGACAGTCCCCAGATTTACAAATCTGTCCCCGGACAAAAAGTAGGGAATGAACGTTGCGTGATTGGTTCAACGGCACAAGACACATCATATGGGGACTTCCGGCGAGGCAAAATGGTGGGCGCCATGGCAGCAAGCAGCTCCTGAAGCCAGCCAGAGCCAACTGCGCTACTAGGCTGGCTTCAGGCTGTTGAGACTGCCACTGCCACTGTCGCGGGGGAACCGGGGATGCCCGGTGCACCAACTGGGAGAACCGCTCACACACACACACACCGCGACCCAAATCGAGCTGGGAGTGAATGTGCCCAACCACCCACCCAGCAGCACTCTGGGGCCAGTAAAACCCCCGAAGCTGATGCAGGGAGGAGAAGAGGAGAAGGAGAAGGAAGAGGAAGGAGAAAAAAGAGGGGAGCCCTGACCTTGACGCACCGCTGAGGAGAGGTAGGAGAGCACCGGGAGGGCAAGGACATGTGCCTGAGCCCAGGCTCGACCCGAACCTACTCCATGGCAGCTAGCGCTCCAAGAGAGCAGGTCGGGGCCCAGAGGAAGGCCACGTGACAGAGGAGACCACAGAAGGGAACATATTACTTCTTAATTTTTTTAAAAAAATAACTTTTTAAATAACTTTTTTTCTCTTTTCAAAAAAAAAAGTGTCCCCAGATTCTTTGAAAAAAAAATCTGGTAACCTTAGGTTAAATTGAACACAGACTCCGCATCCTCTCAGCTGTATGCCAGGCAATGTTGTAAAATGTAGTGAAAAACTGAGCAGGGAAATGATCAGCAAAGTCTTGAGTCTCTGAGAAACAAGAGCTTCCCCTACTCTTTAAATGACAGCCAAGTAATCAACAAGGGAACTTTAGTTTAGAAGACAGCAGAGCCCTGTGCAGACATTCTAGGTGTGTAGGTAGGTCAGGATTGTGCCCAATGGTCCTGATCCCATGCCATGCCCTACATCCATGCTGATACCGTTCCTGACATATGTGTGTACACTCAAACATGTGGTCCATGCCCAGGGTGTAGATCATGCATTTGGAGCTCATGTATGTATATGCTTAGGCCCCTTTGCAGACAGGTCCTTAAGCATATGATGGTTTGGTGCAGAAAAGACGTATGGCCAGTGAGCATGATCACACCCACCACCATTTATGCAGCCTGCACATTTAGAACATCTGCACAAGGACCACATTGTGAAGTGAAGGAACTCAGGAGTATGGACTATTCTTAGCTGATACAATGGGAATTTTAACATTTGTTATCGCATTAGTTGAAGAGACTAGAAAAGACAAAACAGAAAAGCAACATATTACAGCTTGGATTGGTGAGCCATCTTCTGTTTAATTTTGCCAAAAGTCAGCAAGAGCAGAGGTCAAATTAAGTCCAGGATGTCACCTTTTCTATTTTTGTATCTTTTATATTTGTGCAATATCTTTTTATATTTAGCTCAAACAGGGACCAGCATGAAAAGCAGCAATGTGAAAATATTTTTGAAAATCAGGTAATACATGCTCACTTAAACCAGTGAGGACAAAGGATTACAACATTCAGCATTCAGATCCCCATTCACTCAGTTATTCTGTCCTGCAAGTCCCCAGCCGCTACTTCCACAAAAAGAAGTAGTCTCATATGATGTCATCCATAGCTGGGCTCTGACAGCTGAGACTCCAGGTGAGGGATTGAATACTTCAGGTTCCCTCAAGAAAACCTGCAATGCCCCCCTACAGAAGGAGAAATGATTTAAACTGCAGTTGGAAGTGGTACAATCTAACAACAGAAACATCATGTGGGTGATCTTAGCTTGGCTCCAAGACTGTTGACTAGCTAAAGAATAATTTGCAGTGTTCAGATGTTCTTCCAGCCATGTGGGATCCCCTTGAGCAATACCCAAGTGATTCAGAGACAATTTAAATTATGCAACTATGTGGGCTGAGGAGCGGAGATCACATGGCTTCCTCAATGCCAATTTTGTAGGAAAGACAAAGAATAATCACTCCGGCCCATATGCCGTAGAACTGGCATTGGGGAACCCATGTGACTATTACTATAGATCACATAGTTGAGTCATTTAAATAATCTCCCAGTTAGGGGTGGGAAAAAATTTCATTCGGTCCACATTTTTCAGGAACTGACCTAGTTTGCAATTTCAGGGTGAATACATGGATTGGAACTTAATTATCCCTTAGATTTCACGCTTCTCAGAATTTTCTGCCACAGTTCTTGACTTTTAAAATTGTATCAATATGTATAAGAAGATGTGTTTGGAAATGCATACACTGAGATAAACTGCACACCCACACAGACACACATACACATATAGATAAAATACACTTTTAATTACATTTCTTGCACTGTTGCTTTTTTTAACACAACACCCCCCCCCAGATTAATATAAATAAACATATACAAAATAAATGCAGACCAGCAATGGCTGATCTGTCCAGTCCTACTCCCATCCATGTGGAAAAAAGCTTACGACACATCTGTGAGAATATCTAAAGGGCACCTGTCACACTAATTCATCAGAGAAGCTGTAACTTGTGTAAGCAGACATACACATGATCTAGTCTCATATTAAATCATTATTTTTTGTTAAGTATTGCTCTAGAGTTAGTTACATCAAATTTAAACTATTTCAGATAAGTCTTAAGAGGAAAAACAGCAGAGATAAATATTTGTCAGTTTCTGTATGTAGCGATTAAGTCAGCTTTTCCAGCTTTGCTGCTGATATAATTAAAGTAGCCATCATTCTTTCTCAAATATCTGTGATGTGCAGTCACAGTCCATTAGGAGAACATGTTAGCATAGTTCCTAATACGCTGTAAATGAAATAACCATGTAATAAGGAGTATGTGAGCATCAATAAAGCTTCAGAGTGATTACTCCATATACATTTACTACACAGAGTTCACTTTATTAGATTAAAAAGATGATGAATTCCTCGATGGTTCAAGTGTGCTCCAAGGAAAGCTAGAAGGTTGTACAGTTAACTCCCAGGGTGTAACTCTAAACCATACAACCTACTACCTCAACCCGGATGCACACAGCTTCCAATGTCTTCTTCTGATCTTCTGCATCTCTTTCAAATATGGCAGACACTTACCATTAATCAGTTTCCATCATGTTTAATACGAACATGGAAGGATCACTGAGGAGTTTGCTTCTGTCCTGTTGATATTGTGTGTGCTTCCACAGAATTAGCAACCCACTTTCAAATCATGAGAGCATACTGAACATCCATGTGAGTTTCCCCAGTACATATCAAGCAAATGCATTTAAATTGTTTCACCCTGTAAGTAATGTTTTTGAGGCCATTCACGTTACAGAGAAAAGTGGTGCTTGCCACAAGTATCCCATGGTGAACACCATTATAGTGAGGGTATAGCTAAACCATACCACACTGTTAGAGCACATGTTTGGCATGCAGAAGATTCCAGGTGCTATTCCTGGTATTTCCTTGTGCTTTTTTTTTTAAAGGAATAAGTGGCATGTCTATTAGCCAATTACTTCCCTCAGTATTTGTTTACGTGTGAGCAAACAATTCAAACTTTATGGTTCTCACACTTTACTGGGAACACGCACAGAGATATGCTGTGAACATCTCTTTACTATATTGTGCAAAACGACCCTTATTTTCTGAGTTTATAAATCCTACTGGGATTTAAGCACTTGGAAGTATTTGCAGGGTTGAGGCCAACTGCCACAACCTGGAGCCCTGTACACACATGGTTTCTTGTTACCAGCTATGGCAGGGGTGCCCAAACATTTTTCAAAGAGGGCCAGATTTGATGAAATGAACATGCGTGAGGGCCGACCAAAGTTGTTGAGCTTTTTTACAGTTTTACCCCTAAGTTGTTGAGCTGTTTTTAGGATTTTACCCCAGGACATATACTGCCATGGGGGCCAGATTAAACGGACTTTGGACATGCCTGAGCTATGGAATAGTCAATCCAATATTCCTGGGCAACTTCAACTTCCATAGATGACAATCAGAAAGCCAAATAGTCTTTTGAGTTCTCCCTTGGCAGATCACAGCCACTGCTTTTAATTGTTGCCCATTTTCCATACTCTTTTCTGGAAATGTATTGTGAATTTAAATGTATTCTGCTTTGAAGAGATAAAAACACAAAACAGAAAAATAGTAAGATAGAACATTTCTCCCTCATATGTTCGATGATGACAATGCTAAAACCAAAATATAAATTTGAAAAAAGGAACATCCATTCTCTTTGACAATAGTTGCTCAAAAACCAGTCTTTTTTTTACCCAAGTTGTGACTTGTTATATATATATTTGGGTCAGATCACCAGACTGACACAGACCCATAGAAGCGAGCTTGTGCAGTACACTTCACCACAAGATCGGATCTACGGGTTTATGCTAATTGGCATCATCTTTCAGATTAAGCAGTGTGGGAGCAAGTTAGAACAAATCATTTATGTTGACAAACAACAACTTCCAAATGCACATTAAGGGAAAGATAAGAAACAGTTTGAATGTTCAAAAACTATGCAAAACAGATACTAAGTTATATGGTAGCAAATTCAAGTGGGTTTTGAGCTATCAAAATAACAGCACCTCAAATTTCGTAAACCAAATAGGGGGAGGGAGGGAAACTATGCAGATTTAATACAATTCCTGATGAATGAACGATGTGTTACAAACAATGAAAATCCAGCTACTGAATCTAAAAAGACATCATGTCCAAGAATAAAAACTTATCTGCTCCAAGTAAAAGTACCAGCATACTGCAAACTCTGTATTATTTGTGTTACAGTAGAGTATATTTACTCAAAATTTCATAAATGTTTACCCGAACAATAATGACAAATGTAAAAAATTCTCCTCTTTTGGCTATTAATAAATTATCCTAGTTTTTATTGAATCAAGTTATGAGGCCTTCTGCCACATCTGGAAGCAGCCTTTCTGAAGTATCAACAGGTTCTCTGACAATCGAATCCTATCCATGTCTACTTTGAAGTAAGTTCCACTGAATTAATGGGGTTCAATCCTTGGTAAATAGATTGCATCCTGAAGGAATTATCCTCCAAGTGTCTTTCATAAACATAAACACCATTATTTTAACTAAAAAAAACCTACGTAGCATAGATATATTTTAGGACAGAGGTGCTAAATCCTTTTTTAAAAAAAATAAATAACACCATCTACACTAAACACATAGCTTTAAGTCAATGTCTTTCATTGATTAATTCAAATACTAGCTGTATGGGTATTAATCAATCAAAATGTTGTTTTCTTTAGCATTAATGCTTACGAATCAGGTTCAAAATGTGTTTATTCATTGGTAATTTAATAAGAAAAGTGTTCTAGCACTAAATGTTTAGAATGACCCACATGTCAGTGCTTGGATATATTGTCGTTTGGGGGCAAGTAACTTGCATCTAAGTTTTGGACATTGCAGGCCAGTAACTGAAGTTATTTGGCATTTTAGTCATTATTCAACAGAAATTCTATTTATATTTCCCACTTCAGAAATGAGCATCTAGTAACAATAATGCTTTTAAAATATTTGTAACTTAATCCAAATAATTAATTCATCTTCCAGAAATGTTTATACTTAAATTCTTAAAATTGTATTTTAAACAGCATAATTATGAATCTGGAGATCAGCTTTGCATTTATTTTAGGGGAGTGCCATGGAAAAGTTTGACCAGACATTTACCATACCATACAGATGAGTGTGGAATATATGCTGGATCCCCCAAAGTCCATTCTATGTCACACCTGTTGTTAGTTTAATTACATTAATTCTGCAATTCTAACTTGTTTCCCTTCACTGATAATACTCTCTCTGTGGTAAATTCAAGATATTTGAAAGGAAAACAACAAGGAACAGAAAAGCCAGTTGAACTGCACTTTTTTCAGTAATCATATCAATATTCAAGAGGTATTATTCAATTAAAATGAAATGCTAATTGTTAAAAATGCTTTAAGAACGTGATTCAAATATGAAAATAGTCACATATGTGTTTAACATTGTATTACCTTCATTCAGTTCTTACATGATCCAGTTCTTCGGTTTTCTTTTCCATTTTAATTTTTCACAGCCCTATAACAAAATGAAGAAACACAACATTAAAATGTTCTACAATACGATCCATTTTAAAAGGTCTCTTGATCATGATATTATGCACAAAGAAATGTGTGCTCCTGCTGAGACCATATAAAGTTAATTTATTAGACAAAAGTAAGAAAAAAGCACACTTATTTAAAATATGTAAATATATAGAAGCTTGTCTGATACAAACAAGCAAAGAGGGACAAAATAGATTTGCATGTTTAATAAAATGAAAAAGTGCGACTTGAGTAGGAAGATAAAAGTGCAATCCTAAGCATGTTTACTCTTACTTTCATGAAAGTTGCATAGGATTGCAGCCTAAAACTATAAAACTTTTAAATGCAGTGATTTATCTGTTCACATAAGCAATAACTTCTTAGTCTACACAATAATTACTTTTCCATTACAGCACGGAGATCTACTGGCATATTTATTTTAATTCCAATATGCAATTCTTTTACTATAACAGCTAGGGGAAAAATATATAATCAAGCTAATTAATGCTTCAGTGTAAATCCTAGTTAAGGACTTATATTTGTCAAATGTGAATTAACCTCCCTTGGCAGTTTCTTACTGTTCTTTGTTTTTTCTCTACTCCTTGCAAAGTTCAAAACAGCATGTTAGAATCCACATTTGACATCATGCCACAAACTGTTAGAAATATTTACCCTTCATGTCCCTAGCATGTGTAACCTGCACAACAGACAACAATCACTTTTACACAAATCATTTCAAAATATTTAATCTAAGTTATAATTCATAGTTGGAGCTGCTTTTTTAAAGACACAAAACAAAACTTAGAAGTATGGAAAGGGTTACAATCATTGCCCATTGATGTGCACAATTATTTTCCAGTGTTCCAACTTAAATTATTTCTGATTAGAAATATGAAAGCTGTACAGCAACGGAACAGTTTAAAGGAAACTGATTTGCTGAGGCGGCATTATCCTTTAATGCCATGAGTAACTGTGCATAGCTTCTTTGTAAACAAATATTGAATGCGTGGCCTCGCATTTTTGTCCACCCAACTATTTTTGGACAAGTGCTCCATTACCAAACATCCAAAAATAGACATTGTTACTAACTGAAAACCAGACTTGCAATATGAAAGTTATAATAACACGCCTTTCATTTCTGTCCTTATGCCACTGAATTCTTCATAATGCAGTTAGACTGAAATAGTGATAAACTTTTATAGGCATTAGAAGAATTATATTATTGTTTCAAAGCACTGATGAGAGGGCAGACCCATTGTACCAGTTTTGTGAAGCAGGAATAAAAAAATTAGCCTGCGTTCTTTTGCAGCAGCAGTCTATATACCTGAAGGCATATAGAGATTATAGTCAACATTTATCTTGAATAGCCATAAGACAAGATGACTTTGCACTACTTCAGCACTTAGCTAAGATTAAACGTGGCCCAAAGTTAATCATAACATTCTCGAGCCTCTGTTTACTTTTGTATTTTTAGCAGTACTCAGACATGACTGAAACAAAAAGATCTTTTCAGCAGTGTGATTGGTCAAGAACGTTAAAGTGAATAAGACAAGGATTTCAGCTTCAAAACGAAAGGAAAACAAATTAACAATATCTGCTATACCTGTTTCAAAAGGTGCTTTATCACTCATTGCAACCTATTGATGCAACAAAAACACATTTTTAATGAATCGAACATCTCAGCTGATTTAGTTATGTCCTAAGAATCCCTAAGACATCTTGAAGCTCCTGTAGTTAAACATGCCAGTGTTTATTATTTTTTGTGAACAAGTCAGTTGACTTTCTTTCCAAACTCAGACTTTGTAGCTTCCTAGGCACCGTCTAGATCCAGGAGTGAGGAACAGGGTGTCTGCCGTCTTTTTCGTTCTTCTTAGAATTCCAGGCACATGGCACTGCGCAAAAACTGCACCAATCCTTGCGGCGGCCGCCTGTGCAGGACCAGAAGCAGGGCAAGCCGGGGGGGAGAGGAGGAAAAAAATCCACTGAACTCCTGTGCTGATTTCATAAATGATGCTTGCATAAATCTGCCGAAGCCAAGGGGCAGAGAGGCAGAGTGCCAGTTGCTTACACTGTGCTTGCAATGATCTCATGTTCAATGCTGTTGTCAGGTCTGCCCAGCTCCAACGCCAGCACATCCAAACACTTGAAACTTTTATTCTCCAGACGCCCAAAAGGCTTGTCGTAAACTACCTCCAAAATGCTGCCATGCCACCTTTCAAACAAAACGACGACTCTCTCTTGAATTTGTCCTTTTCAAATGCAGCTCTCTTTCTCTTTTTAACCCTAAATACTCTGTTTAGGATTTCCTCCTCTTTCCCTCACATCTATCAGGAGACAGATAAGCAACAGACTGTATCAGGCGTGAAAGGGGCAGCCTCTTGGTGGCCTGCCAAAAAAGGGAAAAGAAGAAGAAAGGCAAAGTTGTGCTTCAAGGCTCTGTTGCTTGCTGAGTCTGGTTAAAGTCAAGTATTAAGATCCACCATTTTCTGAGCCACATAAGGAACGAGGGAAAAGAAGCCAGGGGTTGCATCTTTCCAAGTCTCCGTTGGCACCATTGCAAAATCTCAGCCGTAAGGTCACATGATTTTTTTCAGCCAAATGTGGAGTGCATTCCCATAAACCATTCTGCTGATACTGCGAAGGCAGCTATTGTCTAGTTTATACCCAAAGTTCAGCCCACTCTTCATTGAATTAGCTGAAAAATGCATCACCTTTGGGGGTTGGGAGTCATGGTAACGTCTACCTGGCAAGCTGCCCACTTTCTCTGCCCATCAACCAGAGGCGGAATTGTGCTGCCTAAATGTAATGATGACTGGGAATGTGAAGAGTCGTCCAAAGAGAATCTGATTCTTGTGAAGCCTGTTCATTTGCGCAGCTAACTCTGGCTTCTTGTCGGGTTGAGGGGGGTAGGGCGGGTGGAGAAGAGAGGACATTCTTCTAAGTGTAGCAATTAAAGCCCTGATAGACATGCTTACTCTGAAAATGTATTCTGTAGCACACCCAAATACATCCAGAACTGAAATATTTTTTTTTCTAATGCACATTTCCTAATTTAAAGCAGTGCTTGCTTGTTTTGTTTTCCTGAATGCAACATTCCCTAAATATTTTCCTTCCTGATATACTGTATATTTATTCTAGCTACTCCCTCCTCCCCACTTTCTTTATTAGCTGCTGATTAGATCTAGGCAAAAATTATAGATGTGCCCAACCATGCCACAATCAACACCGAGATTGCAATATCACTGTAATCGTCTTCAAAGCAGTCTGCCAAGAAAGCCACTTGTGTTTCCACAGTATGAATGACTTCATCTTAGCCCTGTTTTCTAATTCCTAAGCCACACTCAAACTACATGTCAACCAGGTTTGATACATTGAAAACCGGGTACTTATTCTTACTCTGAAACCACACAACTTGTTGCTATTTACAAACAGGCATTTTGTAAATATATATATTTAGACTCATGTTCAGGGGTACACTTCCAGAAGTTGTTGGCCTTCCATCAGCCACAGCAAGCATGACCAATGGTCTCAGTGATGATGAAACTTGTAATTCAGCAACATGTGGGGAGTCATATGTTCCCCACTCCTGCACCATGCAGAATAATGGTTTAAGTATTAACATCCATTTACCTACTGTTTTTAAAGTGCTTTTCCCCACCGCACCAGCAACCTACCACTGAAATGCAGAATTTCTTCCCACCCAAATTAAGGTGCATTATGCTTTCTGGATTACATTTAACCTAAATACCTGCATATTACTATTTTTTAGCCTCCCTAGTCTGCGGGCGACAACCCACATTCTAAATAGTAGTATCCAGTCCAGCATGTAAAAACTGGTATTGTAGAAAATCCCCACCATTCCCTTCTATACTCTGTACAGTCTACTGGAAGGTGCTCTGCCTTTTTCCTATCAAAAAATTGGACACCATGGGAGAAATTCAGTGTCACACTGTTACAAACATTCAATCTGCTTGCCCAGCAAAACCATCTCCCCTCTTCTCCCTCTGTGAACTATCCTGGGAGGTTCTTCCGACCTGACCCTCAGCCAATTTGGGGTGTGGAGGGCATACAAGGAGAGGACAGCCCCACAGTGCTAGAAAAAGCCCTTCTTTGGTCTTCCACTTGCAAGGCCAATTAGTTGAATCTGGTGTAAGCACTGGGGGGCAATCAATAACTTTTGGTTTTGAGTTCAAAATTTGAAGAATTCTAAAGGGATGATTACTCAAGGTACACTTGGTTTTACACCCTCAAACTACCCTTGATGCTAATCATGTATCTCACCCTTAAGCGGATAATTTATCTTTCAGAGGTGGCCAGCACAGGGTCCCAAGGATGACTGGGAGTGTCTGTGTGTTTATGTGGGGCAGAGCGGCTTTCACCCTCCCACCACTAAAATCCCACAAACCTGTTTCTTAACTTTTATCCTGTAGTCTAGTACATTCAAATATGGTTTCTAATTCTGGTCTGCAGGCTAGCTATGTAAAAACTACAGATCACCCAACTGGATATAATCACAAACTATGATTTGCTGCAAGTTAAGAAGCCAGGGTGGTAAGCAAAACATGCAATAGTAGAATGAAGAGGAGATGGGAAGAAGTGAAAGGAGTGGATGAACGTGAGTCTCATTCATACAACACCAAACCATGGTTGGGAATTACATGTGAACCAGCTCAGTGACTACACTGAAGCCTTTTGGGAGTTTATAATAGTTCCAGGTTCATAAACCACCATAGAAACTTTGATGTTCTAAAATGGTCAGGTCTTTATTGGGCTGGAGGCATAGGTTTCCTTTCTCTGACAGAAGGAGTTTCCTCTCATGAAAGGAGTCTTATTTCATAAGAAGCTCCTTCCATTGGAAGAAGGGAACCTTTAAATCTAACCTATCGTAAAATGCTTGTGACAATAGCACTGTGATATCTGCTCCTCTTCATAGAAAAGAAGCGTGAGTGTAGGCATTTGTCTAAATGTGTGCAAGTGTACAAGCCCCGAAGAAATGTGAAATAAGCATATAGTGATAGCTTAATGATAAGCTTAAATTATGGGGAAAGTAAAATTGTAAAGTAAAGTTGTAATATTAAAAATACCATTTGGAAGCAAATACTACTGAAATCAATTGATTTTGGTTCCAAGTAAAACAAATTTAGGGATAGGATTTTAAATAAGTTTATAGCCTTAGGCACAATCTCATCACATTCTTTCTCTTTCTTTCCCTCTCATATAATCAGTGCATGGTCTTAATATTAAATATGTTTTGATATGATAAACAATTTGCATTACTGAGGAATTGTACAAGTGCCACTGAGAAATTACAGTGGTGCCCCGCAAGACGAATGCCTCGCAAGACGGAAAACCCGCTAGACGAAAGGGTTTTCCGTTTTGGAGGTGCTTCGCAAAACGAATTTCCTATGTGCTTGCTTCGCAAGACGAAAATGTCTTGCGAGTTCCTGCAGGTTTTTTTTCCTTTTTCCCTTTTTCCCAAGCCGCTAAACCGCTTATCAGCTGATGGCTAAGCCGCTTAACAGCTGATGCTAAGCCGCTTATCAGCTGATCGTTAAGCCGCTTATCAGCTTATCGTTAAGCCGCTTATCAGCTGATCCTTAAGCCTCTTATCAGCTTATCGTTAAGCCGCTTATCAGCTGATCCACTAAGCCTGCTAAGCCCTGTAGCACTAATCCGCTAAACTGCTAATGGGCTTGCTTCGCAAGACGAAAAAACCCGCAAGACGAAGAGACTCGCGGAACGGATTCTTTTCGTCTTGCGAGGCACCACTGTACTAGGCAATTTTTTTGTGCTTGAGATGATTTCACTCCATATTTGACACCAAGATCTGGACAAGTATGACATATAATGTAATGCTGTAATTAGAATGTGTGATTCAAAACTATGTAGGACCATGAGAGGTATGTAGGATGCTCATCAACGGTTCTTGATGCTTTTCTTCATGCTATCAAACCAGCTGACCAGGAATAAATGATCAGGGCGGGGGCCTGGTGACGGAAGGAACGGAGGTCTTTTTATACCAATATTTTCATTGTTTCCATACTGGTAAATGTGGCCATGGTTGCACTGCTACATATAGCTAAACAGCTACAATATTTTCTATGCATTTTATCCATTGCATGCAAGTAATAATAAAAGTTCTATTCGGCAGTATATGTAACTTATATTCAACTCACCTGAAATCAATAAAAATGTTACACTGTATTTCTTTATTATGGAAAACTTATTCTCTCAAAGCAATGGTTTTAGCAAAAACTGCAGTTGCTTCAATTGGTTTTCTATTTCATTTTAAGGAACCAACTTATTCAAGTAAATGGAATAACTTGCATGTGCATGAATTTCTGTTTACTTCCATGTGCAAGTCCTTTGGTGCCCATAGACCTTTTTAGTGAACATGCCTTTCCCTAAGACTTTGAGTGAGCTGCCCTGTGAAGGTGTGTGTGGTTGCAGAAAATATTCAGCAAATTTCAACTATAATGACTGTATATCGCTGCCCCAACCAGTCCATTTTAGGCAGGCAGACATGCATATAGGTCCACCCCACTTTACTGAATGTTCACGAACTTTACGAAGTTCTAAATGTGCTTTGAAGTACATGCTGTCAAAGACCGGAGTATGCACCTATAAAACAAAAACGAAAAACACAAAGTATGCAGTTGGGCCCTACAACGAAATGTTACACGGGGGTGTGGGAGGGGCTTTTCTCAGGTGGTAAGGCTTCCCAGAAGAAGAAAGCCTTATCACATGAAAACACACATTTTGAAGCCATGGACTCAGCTGGCTCCGGTGTGTGGCCTGATCCTCGCCTTCAAGAGCTGTAGGGTGTCTCAGCTGAGAGCTTTGAAAGGAATACTGGGGCACTTGGGGGAAGAGGGGGCCATGCTGGCTGGGGGGCAGCTTAATACCCTTGGCGTGCTCCTTCTCCCTTTCCCAATCTGTATGCGAGAAAGCATGCATGCACAGCCTGAATTCACCTGTTCTCTGGTCTTTTGAGGTCCCTTTCCTTTCTTTTTAAAATAACATATGCATGTCTGCAAACCTTGGGATTTTTCTGAATCTGCTGACCCCTCTGTTTTGTGTGTGGATGGTGCCATTTAGTTACAAAAGTGATGGCACTCCACCCCCACCCTGCCAGGACACTGTAAACAGAGGAAATTATGTTGGTATGATTTGGCAGTTGAATGTTCATAAATCGTAGTAAATGTGCACAGGCTGATAGGTCATTATTGTAAATGTGAACTGATGAGAGTTGTGTTGGCTATTGGTCACATACATACATTAAAAATATAAACTATCCACTTGAATTTCATATATAGGCCAGGCAACAGGCAAAGTTTCTAGACAACTGTATATTTCATGGGAAATATATACAGTACTTTGTGCATATTTTGAAGTTGTGCATATTTACTACTTGGAAACTATGGACTGGCCAATGTACATGATTCACTGTTTATATGCAGGTTCTCCATGCCTTTATCTGACTGTGTCCTGTGAACAAGGTTTATACACATTTTACAAAAAGCTCACATAGACTATAAATCCTGCAAAGGATGTGACTGAATTATGTCTTTATGGAACATGAGACAAGCCAGTTTCAGACTCCATCTTAGCTATGAAGCCACAATTACTTCCTCTGTAAGTTTGTACATACACAAGAGGCGTTCACAGGTTCTCTCTTTTTCTGTTTGCGTTTTCAATAGCAATATTCCCAGTTGTCCTCAGATGTTTAAAACTGTCATGATATTAAGTTATTCTTTCCTGTTCCAAATTAGTAATACTGTAAATCCTAAAACTAGCAGAAGAACGTTTTTATTCTTTGTTAAAACGGCCTCTTCAGTATGCTCTTAAGAAAGAAAAACATACTTATCTATCCAACTTGTGTCTGATTATTTTTAGTGGCCTCTCAGTCCGCAGATTGTTTATATATCAAAGCTATCAGCTTATTGCTTATACAAAATGAAGCTTTTCACCATCAGTACTTGAAGTGGCTTAATTCTGAAAAGTAGTTTATTGAGTATCTCTCAGCAGTAAAATATATGGTTGCTTTTGATTTGCCAGCAGTTGCAAAGATTCAGGGGCTAAAGGAAAAAGGAAGCAGGGGGTGAGGGTTAACAGGCATTCTCATGTAATGCTTCCAAATATCCAGAGATGGAAAAGCTTTTTCAGCCCAAGGGCCATATTTTGTCATGGAAAACCTTCCAGGGGCCACATGACAATGGTGGCCAAAGACTAAAGTGGCCAGAGCAATGGATGTGGCTCTTAGCTTTGTGCATTGGTACATTCCAGCAATGCAAAAGGCAGATGTTTCAACACTGTCCTCTCCTACATCTCTCAATAAAGTGTTGTGTGGCAGTTGCAGAAAGTCCTGTAGGGCCTCACTTGGTAATTAACTAATTACAAAAAATGAAGCACAACAAGGCTATACCACTTGGAAAAGGCATGGCTTCCTCCAAATGCCGTATTTTTCGCTCTATAAGATGCACCAGACCATAAAACGCACCTAGTTTTTGGAGGAGGAAAACAAGATAAAAAATATTCTGAATCCCAGAAGCTAAACAGTGAGAGGGAGTGCTGCGCAGCGATCCCTCTTGCTGTTCTGGCTTCTGGGATAGCTGTGCAGCCTGCATTTGCTCCATACGATGCACACACATCCCCCTTTACTTTTTAGGAGGGGGAAAGTGTGTCTTATAGAGTGAAAAATATGGTAATTCTGGGAGCTGTAGTTTCTTACGTGTGCTGAGAGTTGTTGAGAGAACCTTATTACCCTCACAGAACTACAATTCTCAAGGAGGATTGGTTGTCACACCACTCTCAGACCTGTAGCTGTGGGTATATAGTTTAGGGCACAGGTACCTGAAAGAAAGCCTGCCATCATCCTAACCCACCAAAGCATTGAGGTGATTTTGGGGGGCTCTCTTCTACATGCCCCCACTATCTGAGATTGTTGTTGCCATATTTTCTGTTGTCCTTTCTCTTGCTTTGTAACCCATACTGGAAGTTCCATTCAAGGGGAGTATTATATTTTATTTTTACAATCAGCCAATCCGCTGGCTAAAATCATCTACTTGACTTCCCCTAGCACAAAAGAAGAGCATGAGCTGTGGAGGAAGCATGCAGAAGAATGTGGAATGGCATTCTGGGGCTGAGTTCAACAACCTTGCTCCTTTGTGTGCAGGTGTGTGATACAAGCTCAGACATGCACAGTAAACCAAAAATTTATGCTGCCTTTATTTTCATTGTACTTATGGCATGATTATTTTATTTGTACCAACCCAACACCACCCAGAGGCATCTGCAAGGATGAAAGCCAGTAGAAAGTGGGGGTTTAAATAAATAAGTAAGCAGGTATACCTGTCCCTAGGAAATCACTGTCCATATTTTGTCCTTTGGGAGAGGTTAGGGTGCACTGATCCTTCTTTCACTAAAGTGGTAAACTGACTATATTCTGGCAAGCACTCTTAACCCCCCCCTCTTTACACATATTTTTAAAATAAATAAATACAGTGGTACCTCTGGTTACAAACTTAATTCGTTCCGGAGGTCCGTTCTTCACCTGGAACTGTTCTTAACTAGAGGTGTGCTTTTGCTAATGGGGCCTCTTGGTACTGCTGCACCGCTGGCACACGATTTCCGTTCTAATTCTTGGGTTCTCAACTTGAGGTAACTCTTCCAGGTTAGCGGAGTTTGTAACCTGAAGCATTTGTAACCTGAGGCATTTGTAACTCAAGGTACCACTGTACTGGTCTAGAATCGGAAAAACTGGCTGTTCCCTGCCCACCTCCAGTCAGTCTGCAACCCCAGATAGCCTGCCTTCTTGTTGTTACTAGTCCAGAATAAAACACACCATCTACTACTGAGCATGCTAAACAGTCCGTAGTGCTTTTGTGTGGCCTGCTGAAGATGGGAGCAGTACAGCATGGTCTAGCACTATGACACGGGAAGCCAAAACGGTGCCCAAGAGATGTTATTGAACTCCAATTCCCATAAGCCCCAGCCAGCATGGTTAATGGTCAGGGATAAAGGCAGTTGTAGTTCAACAACATAAAGAGCACCACATTGGCACCCCCTGCTCTATGTCTTAGCCTGTGTCTGGCTTGTGTCCTTCTCTCTAGAGTGCATCTAATCCTTGCTGCTTGTGACATGTGTGCCAAAGCATCACCAACTTTGGCTTAAATTTGTTTTATTTTTTCCATAGAAAAATGCATCTCCAAAATGCTATTAAACAATATTTATCCTACTTAAAGCATTTTCTTTCTTTCTTTCTTTCTTTCTTTCTTTCTTTCTTTCTTTCTTTCTTTCTCTTTCTTTACTTCCTTCCTTCCCTCTTTCTATCTTTCTTTCAATATTGGCTTTGATATGGTGGAACCTTCTATGAGCAAAGGGCGAGTTTCAATGACTCCCCCCTTTTCCTGCAGTGGTCCATGGCATCTCACACTGTTCCACAGCCCACCACCAATTATAGAGCACAAGGCGCAGGGTGGAAGGGTTCCACAGAAATTGTCTCATTTCTCTTCCAATTCTGACCAAAATGAAAATGGAACCAGAAATTGCCATTGTTTGCTTATTATTCCCAGATCTGGAACAGAAATCAATCCCACGACTGGTATATGTTGCTGTTGTTGTTTTCAGTTTGCAAACAATACATAATTGATGTCTCCCTCACTCACTGTGGATAGAGTTTTCTTTCAGTTGAAACAATGTAATGATAATAGAATCGGTTTCATAGAATTCTACCACAGTTGACAGAGAGACAAATAACATTGCTCTTGTTGGATGCAGAATTGCAGCAGAATGGAAACAGTGATGCATGATACAAACACAGGTTGGAACAGAAACCAGTGCCTTTAAATCCCTAAGGAATAGTGTCCCACTGGGTTAGCTGGGAACCAAGAACGTGAGATTAACCAGTTGGCTCAGGCCAATGGCCTATCTAGTTCAGCATCCAGTTTCCCCAGTGGTCAACCAGATACCTGTGGAAAACCAGGGACTAGAACATGGGTACAAGAGCATTCTCCCCTCCGCAGTTTCCAGCAACTGGCACTCAGAAGCACTGCTGGCTCCAACCGTGGGGGCAGAGCATAGGCATTGTGTCTAGAAGCTATTGATAGCCCTCTCCTACATGAATTTGTCTTAAGCCACCCAAGTTTCTCCTGAGGGAGCAAGTTCCATAGTTTGACTAAGCACTGCATGAGGAAGTACTGCTCTATATCTCCGAACATTTAGCTTCTACTGAGCTACATCAAAAGTTCTGAGGTGCAGAATATTAATTCTTTCAACATATGAATTTCATGTCTATTCCACAAACAGGGCACCCTGTAAATCTGTTAAGTATTTAAAGTCCATATTTGCTTTAATAACCCTTTTTGTGATAAGAAGTATTTCTTTGAAAATTACTGAGCCAATATTTTTAGAAGTAAAGCATTAGAACATTTTGGTAAGATTCCAATGGCTGGATTAAAAACAAGAAGAAAAATCATTGTTCAAAATGTAATTAACTCTAAATATTAAGTAGATGCAGAATAATTACCACATTCTGAAAGGCTATGAAAACTTGCTCTCGATTTGCCAAGATGAATGACTCACAGCTACCATAAACACAGGTTTGAAAAAGATGTGTGCAGAGGCTTTGTTTCTGTATATACGCAATAACTAATTGCATATTTAACACAGGAGTTTATTTTTATTGAAGAGGCAGATTACAGCAAAGAGCCTGAATAGTATAAGGGAATTAAACAAATGCAAAGCAATCTCTCTGCCAAAGAAAGAAGCATAATTTTCCAATATGGGAAGTTTTTATTTGGACTGTTATATTTGTCATTTGATAGCCTTAATATAAGACAGATGTTTCTAAATTTTCTTAAAACTTTATGCAAAACATTACATCATACAGAAATATCTAAGTTTAATTTCCAATAAAGACAAAGCAGTCCTTAAGTTTATGACTTCGGTGGGGGGATGGGCTAAAAGCCTGCACATGGCAGCTCATATACCCTTGAAATCAATGAGAATTAAACTGTGTGTAGGACTGCAGCCTTCATCATTTCATCCTATGGACTGAGCAACTAATTCATTTCTGTTTCAGCCTCACTAGCAGTCATACACATGAAAAGTTCACATTTAAACTGTATGAATTTTGTTCATACTGCCTATGTAAATACAGAGTTTAAAAACATAAAGTATGCACTTTTCAAAGCTTTTAGTGCATTCATCCATAAAAAATATACATTTTGTACACATCTTCTTACATGGAATAAGTATTCCATCTTGTATGAGGAACAAAGGTGAATATAAATATCAGCTGATGATGGCCTTTCCTTTGCATCCTGCTTAAGCTACTAATAATTCTGTTCACACACACACATGTGAGCACAAACCCACATCAAAACTGGTTGTGTTAAGACAAGTGAAAGAAAAAAATGGTAGTAAAATTTATGGCAACCACATGAATATTCAGCAATAGGGTATTTAAATCAGTAGCTCTATAGTTTCTTGCCTATAGAGTAGTACCTTGGAATGCTATTGGTGCTACGTTATGCATACTACTTGAGTCAAAATTTGATGTTAGCTCATGAATGTTCACTACACGTTCATTAAATAAACAGCAAGGAGTTTGGGGCAAGCAGTCTTAGTGTGTCAGTCTAATCTACTTCATATGGGTATCATGCAGCCTGCAACCCTGAACTCTTTGGTGGAAAGTGAGAATTATTTCAAACAAATAAATGTAATATTTCCCCATGTATTTTTCTGAAAGCTGGGTGGTCATGAGGTCCAACCTTGGCTTCTCTTGCTTTTGAATTAATGGCAGCTGTCCTTCATGATGAGGATTCTTGCAGATTATATCAATAGGCAAACCCCAAAGAAATGCATAATCACATAAGTGGGCTTCTAAGAAAATTATCTCTCAGGCACCTGAAGATAATATGCGCTTCAAAATAATGGAACTATGTAGAGTAGTAGAATGGTCTGCTATCCAGTTTTACCCTGCTTTTCTGCTTTAAGAAATATCTAAGGAGATTAGTGATGAAAAATTCAAAACAGTGAAACAAACTTTAAAAAACAGACAAACCATAATTAAGGGCTTATCCACATTTGCTTTTTGCTCCACTCTTTCCAGACACAGGTGTGCACTTAAAAGCTCTGTGTCCAAGCGGGTTCCCCTCCCTCAAAGCTTTCCTTGTGAAAACCAACTCTTTAGCATCCAATCGGAGCAAATGTCAATTCCAGTTTTCAGTAGTAATGAGCAGGTTTTCACGAGGAATGCTCTGGAGCAATTGAGTTTGGAAGGTAAGTTCGTACCAGAATTCTCAAAGAATGAAATTCTCAGACATATTTTGTTACATAAATATGGTTCAGTTGCTGATATGCGGCATCTGAAGAACTTAAGTGGTCTGGAACAAAACCAAACATTCCATAGGCTCCCATCACACATACATAGTAGCACTGACAGCCACACCACTCTCTATGTGTGTGACACACATATAAACACACTATGAAGGGAGCACTGGAGCAGTGACAAATACTTTAGTTGTGCTTCTGCTTTTCCTGCTTCAGCAGTGATGTGCAAAATGGGGCTGAAGGATTAGTCCCAGACAATCAGCTCCTCTTGCTAGATCTGCAAGTCCTACTACACACATTCCCATAGAGAGGAAAGAAGCAGAAGCTCACTTTCCCCTCTTCTACATAACAACTGAAGGAGCTCTCAGGATAAAAGCTATTAGAGATTCTTTGTGGATAAATCTTTTGGCTGAATACACACATTTATAATGTTTTAGTCTCTTAACAGAGAGGCTTGGCACACAATGCTATGTAATTTAGTTTCTTAAACGTATTATAGCCGTGGGTGATTTCAAATAACAAGTTTTACAAACAGATGGAAAATATTTTAACCACCTTGCCCTTAACAGAGGTATGCTTTATATCCCTCCCAAGTGATTTGCTCAAGCAGCTATAATACAACTGATCAGATGAAAGCATTTCCCCCCCAATGTCCATAAAGTTTTAAAAATCTTAGTACTACAATGGGAAACATAAATTGTTGAAAGAGGTCCTAAGCCAATTAAGGAATGCATTTCTTCATGATTTACATTTCAGTTTTGATTTGGCGGTTGTGATATTTATTAGGCAAGTGAACCATTTTTTGGCTAGAATATTATTTTGAGCTTGGTTTGAATTTCTAGCCCAGGTTTTATTCTATGGGTGGTCTGGGGTAAAAATCATTCTTGGTATATTATGTAGCAAGGTATATGAAACTATGGAAAAAAGTTCTCAGTACTTTCTTATTCTGAAACTATGGAATACTTGTCCTCGTGGTACTGTTGTCATGTATTATGTGAATGACTCTGCAACAAAAGAGATTTAGCACAAGTCTAAACACTTATGTCTGTTTAGCTGGACCCTTCTTTATGTAGGCAGCACAGAAGCAATTGCAGCACACCGCCAAAGAAAGGTAAGACAGTGGAAGTGGCAAGGGAGATGTCTGCAATGCTGCTCCCCAAACCAGCTTTCTGGGAAAGACAGATCTGGGATAAGGAAGAGCTGCAGTATGGGCTCTTCACATCTAGCCCAGAACTTATCTTGTCAAAGAAGGCGGAAAATGAGGCAGAATGGCTGGCACAGCAGTAACTTAGACTGCAATCCACACCCCCTCCAAGCCGCCCGGTTGGGCGCTTACCTATGGGCGTGGTGCACCAGCCAGGTGAGCGGGTGACGCAGAAATCGCGTCCCGCCCACAACACCTCCCCTCTTGGAGGGAGGAGAGGCTTTGTGCCAAGCAGATCACAGAATTGAGCACATTTTGTATTCTGTGGAGCCACAAATCACATAGCAGGGAGACATGGCTGTGGCTGACAGTTGTCGGCTGCTAAATCACTTTGTACATAGAAATGAATAACTGCCATGTGTGATAAAAGTGTCTCATCCTGCAGTCAGTAGGTATTTTCTTACCATATCTCAGCTGAACTGAATGGGTCTCTGTGTAGAAACAGACGAAGCTGAGGATTAAATGTACTGACATTTAAAACTTTGAGCACACATACATCACTTGAGGATCTCATCAAAGTAGAAATGCAATCCGTTTGCAATGTCATGTTTTAGAGACAATGTATTCAGTCAGATCTTACACAGTTAATCCATTTTTAATTTGACAGTAACATTGCATTTAAAATGTCCAAAATGAATAAGCAAGGAGGACAGGCAGCATGCTGACTAGTAAACTACTGGTTGACAAGTTCTACATAGAAGACACAGGTCCAGGCTTGCAAGACTGGTAGCACTCATGAACATACAATTAATTATATGTAGGGAATCACAGCCTAGATTCAGAATAGTTCAGAATACATTAATCTGGGCAGCGTAATTGTTGCCTCTGTGTGCTGCCTTTGCATCTGGTATAAAGTTCACATTGCTACACTATGGGCAATTTCAGTCTTTGCTCACTGTTCACTGAACATGTTCACTGAAGTATGTACAACCCAAGGCATTCACTGCACACCCTGGCTCCCTTGATAGGTACACATCTATATCAGAAACACTATGGAAAATATGCATCTACCATGGCTCCATGTAATGCTTTTCATTTAAACAATGGAACTGATCTAGAGATGCACGACAACAAGAAATTCTGGCAGTAGCCCTGTTCCACACATTATTGGACAAGTGCTAGTTGAAGACTTCATGCAACACAGACCACTTGCAGAAAGGTATACCGGGATCCAACCCAAAGTATAAGGTTGCTTTAAAAGGTCTAATTTAAGACAAAAGAGGAACCTCCAAGAAAATGTTGCAATGTAGTCTCAGTCTTACCTCCAAATAGGATTAGTCCTCTTCAGGATTCAAGTCAGCCTGCTATACCCTCCTCCAGCAGGACCTTTCATTTTCTCTTCCCCATCTTTTGTCTTTCTTTTCCAAAGTAGAGTCAACATTTGGCATCTTGTTTTGTACTTTTGAAAAACTCAGGCCTCTCCCACAAGCATGCCAATACCTCCCTCTTGGTTCTTAGTGGGTCCATTATGGCTACAAATCTGTTGGCACCCACTTGGTGAGTTCACTATGACAAGGAATATATGTACTAGCTTTGCATTGCATCTAGAGGCATTTAAAGAATAAGAGAATGTGAATATTGAACAATACACTGTCATTTTCTGGAACTGAAATAAGTACAAGGATAAAGAACAAAAATAAATAATTACAAAAAAAATATCTAGAGTCCATGATAGCTTTTAACTATCATGAGGTGGGGTAAGGGAGATGGAATATTTTCTGAGGATACAAGATAAACAACTTTCCCCAAAGCAATCCAGTGATTCCAAAATTTATCTTAAAAGGAATTATCCTGATATGATCTGTAGCTTTGTCTGCCAAATTTATCATCACATAATTCTTTCTTTAGGAAAAGATTTACAATTATTTTTGCTTGCTTTACATTCATTTCCAAGGGATGACAACTCCAAAACCGAAAAGATATTTAACATAGGCACAAATATCTTGGAGGGGTAAACCTGGAGAAAATGAGGGGGTTAACAAGCTTATTATCTACACAATGTACACTTGGACAGGTGCCAGCAGACAATGCAGGTCAGTTCACAAGGCTGATGATAACCTTCCATACTCTTTGAGTTGATCACGTATGAATGCCAGGCTTAATGAAAATATGTCAGAAAATAAATGAAGCAGAGTTCTAGACAAGGCTATAAAACCAATGGTTGGAATCCAATACTACACAATTGGAAATTGGCATGTGCAGTGGGGCTTTTCCATTCTACTCCCCACTGAAGCCTTGTGCCCCATGAAAAGTACCTCTGTGTGGTGAGATGTTGGACCATATTCCAAAAAAACAACAACCCTAATGTAAAGTGAGAAGTGAGATGGAATCCAGAGGGATATGGTCTGCTTTTGAACAACATCAAGATCCAGGCTGTAACAGGATCCCTCTTCTTGTGGCCTATATTTTGAAGCTCAGTCCTGTAGGATTTAGTATGTGTTAGTTCACAGGGTTCATTGTTATTATCAGTGGTTTTTAGCATCCATATTAAACTGCTGGGCATGATCACCGTCCTATGCAGAACTGGGCTGATGTGACATTAGTATGCCGGCAATGAAACCCCAGCTCTTCTTATGTGGAGGCAGTGCTCAGATGGACGAAGGCAAACAGATGAAAGCTAAATAGAAGCAAATTAGACATGATAATTGGTAGAAAATATCAAGACTTGCACAAAGTTGAGTGTGGTGTGAATAATAAAACTGGTATTTCCCTACCTGAGCAGAAACTGAATCTAGCGTGCACTCCTGCTTTTTCAGAAGGTGTCAGTGGTAGCCAGCAACACATTTAAACAACTGGGTTTATTCCCTAGACTTTGACCCTACTTGAACCAGCATAGCTTTGTTTTTTTAAAAAAAATAATATTTTTTATTAACCGGCCAATCAAATCAAATTAAATCACATCACATAAATTCCGAATTACAAAGCCGAATTTTAAATTTTGTTGGGGGGACCCATATTTCAAGATCCGAAGGGGGATTCTGATCATCTTCTTGTTACTGCGTTAATGTCCAAATCAGTCCAAATCAGTCCAAACACAGTTCATAATTCTATCCAGTCTTATCTTGCTGTTTCCACATCACATCTTGTTCATATATTTTCTCTTTTTTCTTTATGATCTCTTCTGATAGTCTCCTTAAGCTGATAAACACCAATAATAATCCTGTGTGAATTTTCCCGTTCTCACAATCCTCAAATCGAGATGGTTTCCATATATCATCGCCTTCATAGATAACATTGCTCTTTCCATCATTAATCTCGCAAAACTGTCGCTCTTAAGTCCCTCTGAGGAGTTTCACCCACAATATGAAAACAGCTCTATTTCTCTATTTCTCCTCCCAGACTCAAGACCTCCGACAGAACTTCCCAATATGGCGACGGCATTTTTAACTGCATCATTCCAAAGCTCTTATACATTCCACGCTCTTCTTAAAACATGCTTTGGTTCGAAAGTTTGTCTCCACACAGCCTTAAATCCACAGCTTAAGTCCTTAAAACGACATTTCTGACTCGTGAGGGGAGGGGATTCTTGTTTAATCACATAAGGAAAGAAAGGAAAGTTTCCCCCCCCCTCCCCCATCAGACATTTGCCATACCGAATCTTGGCGTATCTTCTCATGATTTCTTCTTGTTCCTATCAGAGATCTCTTCTGTTAGCAGTCTTTACTCCCCCTCCTTCCTTGAACCATGTGCATTCCTTCATCCAAATTGTTTCTTTTGAAGTTCTTGCTCCTAGTGGTGCGGATCAGGGACGGCGTCCAGGAGCGCCGAAATCCCACAGGAGGGCTTTGTGCCTAGTGCCCCCATCCCCACAAATTTGGGGGTGGTATAGGGCACAGCAGGCAAGAGCAGTCCCCCCCACCATCCTGGGGGAGGTAGGGAGGCTAATTACTCCCATCATAGCCTCCAAATTACCTCGTGTGGGTCGGAGAGATGTTATTGTCAGCCATCTTCCGATGCACCCCCTAGTGGCCCCCCCGAACCAGCATAGCTTTGCTATGTAGATCATGTTTTTTTAAAAAAAACAAATTCCAGGTGGAGTTTCTGTAATGTCCAAATGCTTAATCTGGTATTAAATATTATTATCATTACGATGATGATGATGTTATTTATTTAATTTGTCAATTGCTTTAATCTTGCACAGGACAACCCAAAGCAACTTTGTTGTTGTTTAGTCGTGTCCGATTCTTCGTGACCCCATGGACCAGAGCACACCAGGCACTTCTGTCTTCCACTGCCTCCCGCAGTTTGGTCAAACTCATGCTGGTAGCTTCGAGAACACTGTCCAACCATCTCGTCCTCTGTCGTCCCCTTCTTCTTGTGCCCTCAATCTTTCCCAACATCAGGGTCTTTTCCAGGGAGTCTTCTGTTCTCATGAGGTGGCCAAAGTATTGGAGCCTCAGCTTCAGGATCTCAAAGCGACTTACAACCAACCAAACAGAAAATAACCCCCAGGTGTACATTAAAACCAAGAGGAAAGAAAAATACATTAAAAATACCCCACTCACTTCTAAAAGGCCTGGTTATATATTCTACAAATGGAGAGCTGCTGTAGAAAAGGCCCACTCGTGTTACCACCCTCCAGACTTCTTGCGGAGGGGGCAAACAAAGAAGGGCCTCAGATGATGAACTCAGGGTCTGGGTTGGTTCATATGTTGTGGCATGCCTCCTAACAAAATTTTGGAGGCACCACCCTGTTCAGTTTGTTTTGTGCCAGTTGCACTGGTTGCCTAACAACAAAACAACAACAACCACAACAACCACAAGAAGAAGGAGTACAAATTAATGTGCTGACATTAATCGTTAAACCCTTTTCTGTCTTTGAGACCAGTCCTTGCCATAAGCGGCCATGACATTTCTGGACAATCTTGAGGCTGCTTGGCTAACTGCAGCCAGGCCTTCTTTCATTCTTTCAATGATCTTATGGTCGTTCTGTCTGGTGATTATTATAAGATGGTGATCAGTTATATTTTTAGCTGACACCAGTTTTCTTTCTTTTAAAAAAATCTGACTTTGTTTTGTTTGAAATTTATCATTTTATGTGCTAGACTTTTTTTATTCTTTGTAAGTCACTTAGAGCACACAGAGAAGCACCCTATCGATGTTTTAAATAAGTAAATAAATAGAATTCTTTACCTGGGTATATGGGCACACAGACCAGTTGAAAAACACAATTAGGAAAAACCAGGAAGGTTAGTAAAGCTGAATTTCAACTGCTTCACATGAAACATTATAATTAGTCGTGAACAAAATAGATATATTTCTATTTATTGTAGCAATCACGTATAAAAGTGACCCAACTGTGAAATGTATTTCACATCTTTTGCAGTAGACATTATCAGAAATCAAAACAAAAAAAATCCTGCCTCAGAAAACAAACCCTTGCATTCATCTGAAAGACTCTGTAGAAATTTGATTGCCCTTTTAAAAACACTAAAGATGATGAGGACCTAATCTGAATTAGCAAATGAAATGAATGGCTACAATTTTGCTTTTAAGTTTCTTATTAGAAGTGGTCTTTATGCTATGCAATACATGGTTAAAGTGCTAGCCAGACAAATCGCTGCTGTTCCTTTGACCTGAACATAAGATGGCATAGTTCCAACCAATCTGAAGGAAGGTTTCTAGGCAGAGCATCAAATCTAGGCCCCCTGGGTCTCAGAATGATGGATTGAATTTTGAAAGTTGCAGCAGACCTCCACATGAGATTTCAGTACTGTACTTTGTTATTTGTGTACAGATTAAACATGTTCATGTGGGTTACAGCTTTCAAAACACATCTTTAACCATCTACTTAGACTCACTGCTCTCCCCTTTGGAACTGTTATTACAGAGGTAGAAGAAAAACTTGTCGGAAAAGGGCAGCAGTAACAAAGGCTGCAGTGGCAACAACCATTGTGAAGAACAAAGTCAGTGAGCAGGATCTCCTATCCCACATTACTTTCTGGAACATTTCTTTCATTTCCATATGACATGGATTTATATATGCTCATCAATCATACATGATTTTAATGATTAGAGATATCTCCCATTTTAAAACTCTCTACCTTTCCTCTTTTAGTATTATGGCTGTGCTTTCAACTAGTTCAACTAGGGTTGCCACAAGTCCAGATTTTCCTGGACATATATGGAATACTGTGGCCGGCAGCAGTGTCTGGGCGGAAATCAGGAGAAATGTTCTGGAAAATCCATGTGTATGGCAGCCCGTGACTTATCCCTAAAAATAATGCAAAAACGTTTTTGCCCCAAAAGTTCAATAAAAAAAAAAGGTCAACAACTGTTCTGTTCAGATTTTCATTGTTTGAAATATTATTAACCAGTGTTGCACCCTCATAACTGATACAATAAGAAGTCCAGAAGTACCCCCCTCCCCAGCTCAACAAGTCCTGTGCCATTTTGTCTGTAACAAGTGCAAGTCTGCTAGTGTTCATGTAGTCTGTTCGATGTTCTTCACAATGCCCTTGGAAGATGCTTGCCTTATTCTCTGCACTCTTTATTTGGGCTTGGGCAATGAGGTGGTACTTTGTTTCATTATATTTTTTTAAATGCTCTGGGTTTGCAGTTGCATCTTTCATGGCACTTTTAGCAATAAGACAACTTACTCCCCCTTTTTAATCTGCACTTGCCACTTTCATATTCAGACCAATAGGAACTGCAAAGCCACAGATAAACAGCAATAGTCAGTCTACAGTTATAAAGCAGCAGGTCTCTGGTGGACCCTGACAACTAGTAGGGTGAAGCCATAGAGATGTCAACTTTCAACTGGTTTTGATGGGTCAGCTGGCAAAGTACTATCCCCATTCACAATTAGACTAATCTATTTGTCATCACTTGTAATTGGCTGTATGGTAACATGATGTCATTGTGATTACTACATGATCCTCATTGTCAGAGGAAGAACCACCACCCATTTGAAGCGGCAGAATGCCACGGCTCTGTCCACATATTCAGCAGTTCTGAATATGACTTTATTACTTCATTTCAGCAGTAATTGTTCTTTCCCCTTGGACTCAGCTAGACTGGTAAAGAAAAAGTGATCTATATGCGTTGTACATGCGATATAACATTGTGCCACCAGATGGCGATGTAGAGCCCCGTTTTTCTCTACCTGTTTTCCCTGTTTAAATTTACAACCCTTTGAACTGAAATGCTTCTTTAATGTGTCTAGATCCAGCCATTTTCTTCTTTCTCTAACCCCCCCTTATTGATAGACATTTGTTCTTTTCTATGGTTTTGTATGCTTGTCTTACTGTATAGAAAGTTAAAATCCAATGAACACATACTGTTTTTTAAAAATACAAACCTGAATACAAGTAGGGTTGGAGAGCTTTTCTCTAGAAAACCTACTTTTCACCCTAACTATTATCGTGGCCAAATATTTGGCACAGCAATCAAAAAAAATAAATCTCTAGGGATGTGTTTTGATATTGCAAGGTGTTAATTAGCCAAGGATATCTTGCTGAGATGACTATACCATTGGTTGAAGTCATTGCTCTCTCCCCCATTGCTGAATCTTGGTTGTGAGAAAATAACTGTTCAGCCACCAGACTATTACTAACCTCCAAAAGTTGGTAATAGTCTGAATAAATATCACTTGCTTTAAAGACTCATGGCTTCCCTCAAATCGTAGCTTGTTAATTGTGCTGAGGATTGTTAGGACAATCCTATTCCCCACACAGAGCTACAATTCCAGAGTTCCCAAGGAAGAGGGGTTGCTTGTTAAACCATATTTGGCTGGCTGGCTGGCTGGCATTCAACACTGCAACATTTTGGTGCAAGTTCCACATGTTAGTTTAAAAGAGAAGACACCTCCCCCGACACCCTCTTTCTACTATACTATACTATATATGGTACATAAATTGTGAGATCTGTGTATTTCGCAAAATAGAAAATTATGAGGACTAACTTTCTAATAATCTCTTATTGTTTTCCTCTCTAGCAGAAAAGCTGTCTATAAGAGGTGATAGAAAGGGTCTAGTTCTGAGAGGAAAGGTTTATTATTCCTTATCTATTTCTCCATCCTGCAGACTTCTTTCCTCTTGGCAATGCAGCTAAGCAGTGGACACACTGAATGGAGCACACATACAATCTCAGCTACTTGTGCTTGGACACAACAGGCAAGAGGCCCTTGCATTCTGTCCCTCTCCTTGCATCACCCCAACTTCCATTCTTAAATACGTTGAATTCTTCAAACTCTCAAAAATACAACATGATGCATGCATTCTTCAAAATTTCCTTGGCACAAAATAATGGCTACAATGCCTGCCTTCAGGGGAGGAAAAGAACACCCTGTGTGAATTTGAAGCACTAAACAGTTCCTTCAGTTTTGCTCCTCCCAAACATTAAAATACTGTTAATGCAGCTGACCTGGACTCAGCCAAGCCATATTGCAGCTTCAGTCTTCTTTGGCAGGATCAAACTAAGGAAATGATAGTGCCTGAAGTACTTTTATGTTGTCATAAAATAACCAGCAATATCTTCTGCCACTTGGGAGAATAAGGAGGTGACACATCGCCAGCATATCTGGGAGGAAAGGATATTCTAGTGGTACTTTTTTCTTGCTCCTCTATTTGTCGAGGCTCTGCTCCACAGTGGCGTAGCGTGGGGGGTGCAGGGGGGGCCGGCCGCACCGGGCGCAACATCTGGGGGGGGGGCGCGCTCGCACTCGCAGCTCTCTGCCCCCTGCTAAAATCCACGGGTTAGGGGGCGCAAATTACTTGCCTTGCCCCGGGTGCTGACAACCCACGCTACGCCACTGCTGCTCCACATAGTCTTTTCTTTTCCTATGGCTTAGTTTTGGAAGAGTACATTTACATGTGGCATTTACTGCATCTTTCTAATACTATAACGCCATGTTTTGGTAAATTTAAAATGGCAGAAAATGTCACATGTTTCTCTTTGCCAGACTTAGTCCCAGTGCTGAACAGGGCATGGATTAAGTATAACTTTATGCCAACTTAACTTGGTTTGCTTTATGCCAGGATCTTGTGCATAGGATTGCTCCATATATCTGCGCATAATGATTGTATTCATCATAATTAGTACCTAACAAACAACAGGAATAGGCTTGTTAAATGGCTGCTCGAACCATGATCTTAAAAATATATGTATAATGAGAAGCACGTATAAATTAGGACTGCTGAGCAAGTAAGAATTTTAGTTGATTAACTATCTGCCTTTTAACCGATTGATTAGATTTAAATAAATGTGCATAATATAAAAAACCTATTACGAACCATTTTGAGGATACTGGGGGGCAAGACAGTTTTCTTTAGTATGAGACATATTTCCGCAGACTTTCAGTATGCCATCAGTTTGGGAACTGAAAGTTAAGTATAACAAAATTCAATAAAATCCCAGATTTAATAAACACAGGGCATATTCCACACAAACCTTCAGTGCCATCCTACACATGAATTCTCAAAAGTAAGTCCCATTGAGCTCAATTGCACTTATTTCCAGGTTAGAAAGTATAGGGTTGAAGCCTTAAGCACTTTTAATTCCCATTGATTTCCCTCTCCCCTTTTCAGTTGGAGATATTTAAACAAGCTGGATTGTGTCTGTCTTGAGATTGACTTTAACTAAGCATTGCCAGCTTTAGTTGCCTGTGGCGCTTGTTGGAAGGAAATCAACAGAGGTTTCATCTAGAAATTCAAAATATCTGCAACCTTTGGGTGCAAAGAGGAAGCAATTCTATTTCTTATCCTTTCTATCTCCCATTTTTAACCTTTCTTATTACAATGTAGATTTCTAAATTAGATAGTGTACTCCAGCTGAGACTTGAAACAGTGTTGATTAGTGTCAAACAATTATTCATTGGACATAGCTATGTTGTTTCAGTTAATTCAACACTTATCAGAGCTTGCCTGTTTTTGTAGCATTGTTTCATTTTCTACACTTTTTTCCTATAACATGTGAGCATTTGACATTTCTTTCTGTGTGTTTGTGTTGTGTGTGTTTGGATCTAACTTATATCTTCATTGTTTTATACAGTTTGATCTATAAAGCTATATAGTCTTACATTTCTCACTGCTGAAATGAAATTATTTCCTTTTATTTGAAAGGTAAATCTGGGCACACGGTTCTTCTTTTCAAGTATTTATGTTCATATTGCTGTCCAGAACATCTCTAGGACATACATCTGAACCAATAGGGTCTCTTTTGTGTTTTGATCCAATTCTCCTTTATTACTGAAAAATTATTGTTGTTATTGCCGTGCTAGTTTTCTGATTTCCTATCTGACCCATATAGCAAAGTCAGGGAAAACATTCTTTTTCATGTATCTTGTTCCCCTTCAAGGGATTACTGCGAAGAACAAAGTAAGATAACTTGATGTAAATCTATGCACCAAATTGTAAGGGATATGTATACCTAAATATTAAAGCTTTAGTCTTTCCCTACCTCACCAGCTTGCACCAATCAAAAGCTCAAGAGGCTCTCAAAGTACACAGAACTTCCCCATTCAGTGCATTGGCACATATCTTCAGGATAGTGCATGTAGGATTGCATACTTAGGAACATGTAAAACTGCTTTGAATTGAGTTACGCCAGTGGTCTATCTAACCCAGTACTGTATATCCAGACTGGAAGGGGCTCTCCAGGGTTTCAGACAGTATTCCTTCCTAGTCATTCCTGCGGTCTTCTCCATGCAAAGTATTACTTGCTATGACTCTTTAGGGTAGTGGGCTTTGGGTGCACATGGTAACTGGCTATTTTATCAATCAACAAGTTGTTAGGTAACTATTATGGGGATCTAAAAGCAAGCAGGCAGGCAGTATCTGATTCCAGAAACATCATGTCAGTGCTTCCAAAGTCCTCCAATCATCCCCGCTCTCTTTGGAACACTCAACAGCTCTGCCAGCCAATTTCAAGCAGGTTCCTTTTCAAATGGTTACATGTGGCTAAATAAATTTTGAGTCCCCAAATGGGCAGGTGTGACGTACATTCCAATCTCACGTTAGACAAGAAGAGCCAAATGTCCCATTAAACAAGAACTATCAAATATATCATCGAAAACTTGGGTGATGCTGTCATCTCTTCATTTTGCACAACAGAATAGCATGGTAATAACAATATGGATGTGAGTTTGGCAGTTGTTCAGGACTTAACAACTAAAGGAACAATAAAGTTTCTTGGTAAATGAGGGTGTTGTTTTTTTCCTGCACTGATTTTGAAAAACAATTCCTATCAGAAAATTTTTGAAGGTAATGCCTTTCAGCTATGGGAAGGTGGAGCAGAGAAACAGTTTGCAGCCAGCTTTGAGAAGAAATTCTACTCAACCTGGTGGTGGCTGGCTGTTGGGGCTGCACTACCAACGGAAGATGTTCTCCTTTCCTTTTGGCTGTTGGGAATTCAAATTTCTCCATCATGGGCGGGTGCCTGCAGACATCAGCAGGGGGACGGAGCCAGGTGGAAGCCTAGCATGGTCTCCACTTGGGTGACTGTCAGGATAAAAGGGGCCCACCCCCACGCCCATCACCACAATCAGTTTGGGGTCTCCCACCCTCAATTTCCTGGTTTTATTGTTTGGTCCATGACCATGCTGATTTTTTTTATTGTTGCTGCCATATTTGGGGCCAGTCTCGGGTTTTTCTGCCTCCCTCACAGCAATCGCCACAACTTTGGTGGTCAGGCACTGGGTAGAATTCATGGTAATTAATTGGAAGTGGGGGGTTGTATGGTTTTCCTTCCTTTTCCAGGAATTGGGGCATCCCAATAAAGGGATCTGAGGGGAAGTATTTTGTCCATAAGCCCAGATAGAGGTTGAGAGCCAAAGCACACCCCAAAGTGGTGATTCCAGCAGGCTGCTCCTATTTGATGATTGTCATAGGACAATCCTTTCCTGGAATCGAGCCCCTGGGAAGCAGTCAGCAGGCGGACAGGCTGAGTGGATAATCACCCAGTGCCTGAGCCAAATCACTTACATCTGTAATCAATATAGTTGTGGCTGTTTTGATACAAGAATGCAGTCCTATGTATCTGTAATAATACCGTGTGGCACTGGGCAGTGGGTTCACTGTGCTTGAGCAGGCAAGTGGAAAAAGTGGGGAGTTAGCTAAAACTGGGTGTGGCTTTGAACTGGTGAAACAATTGCTCTCTGGGAGCCAGGGGCAAGATCAGTGACTTTGCCACTTGCTTATATGAGTCTTGTTTCCTTTCTCTATGCTTTGTTGTGCATTTGCCAATAAAACAGATTTTGCTGGTGTAGCAAGAGTGGTTACAAAACTGAACTACAAACCAACAACTCCACATTTTCAATCTCATCTCTGCCATGAACTCATCAGGTACCTTAGTGATGCCACTCTCAGCCTCAGTCACTCCACTGCAATATGGGAGATAATGATATTGACTTACTTTACAGGGTTGTGTTGAGTATTGCAACTAGATGATGCTTGGTAAAAACACTCTCCCATCCAAAGGAAATGAAATCTTCCTACCCAGCCCTGGACTTCTTGTCACTCAGGAATGTATGTATGGCATAACAATCTACATCCACAAACTAGTATTGCTCGGGATAAATATGAAATAAAATCAATATATGTGTTTTGTATACAGTGGTACCTCGGGTTAAGTACTTAATTCGTTCCGGAGGTCCATACTTAACCTGAAACTGTTCTTAACCTGAAGCACCACTTTAGCTAATGGGGCCTCCTGCTGCCACCGCGCCATCACAGCACGATTTCTGTTCTCATCCTGAAGCAAAGTTCTTCACCTGAAGCACTATTTCTGGGTTAGCAGAGTCTGTAACCTGAAGCGTATGTAGCCTGACGTACCACTGTACTTTTAAAATGTTCTTCAACTATTTTTAAGGCAAAAATATCCATTAATAAATATTATATCTTGCTTTTGTTATTTAAAGGCTTGTGCAGCAGGTGATGTAAAAGACCTCTGATTGAAGCCCTGGAGAGCTGCTGTGAGTTGCAGCAGGCAGCACTGGGCTATATGAAGCTTCCTATGTTCCTAAACTTATGTAATTATTACCTTATTAACTATTTTCAACAACCTGTTTGAACACTTGTTGCTTGGTTATAATGCTGTTAAATACTGCAAGCAGATTATTTACTGCACTGGACTAGATAACTGTTGCATGGCAATATATTTGAGTTTTTAATCAAGTTAAATTGAGAAAAGCAGTAATTTTAAAGACTTTGGAGAAAGCTTTCAATTATCTGTAAAAAGCAAGAGCACAGCAGATTTTAATGCAAATGTGTTATTTACTCTATCCATCTTCAGGCTTTATCAAGAGGGGAAAGTAAACAAACTTTTTGTATCCACAGAAGACTTCCCAGGCATTCTAGAACCCTGAGGATTCTAAAATGGGGGCAGGGCTTCTTCTCCAATTCAAAAGAATCTCCGCTTCAGACAGTTGCCTTCTGTTAGCTGGAAGGCCAGTAAAGCAACACTGAAGGAGGTTCAGACGGCATATGCCCCTAATACCTCCACTCATGTCATGTATTTATTTTTCTAATTTGAGATGCCTGAAGAGGACTTCCATCTCCCTCCTATCTGCCATCTTGGTATTTTTTTACTACATATTTTATTTCCTTGGTTTTTTTACATTTCCACAAAAGCACAAAATGTGAAAATTACAGTGTAAATATTTATTTCAACTCATAGTGGAGAAATATTTACATTGAAAAGGAGTTATGATCTCCACACTTTCTTTGAACATCTATGCAAAAGTTATTGCATAAGAGATTAATTACACACAGGTCTGACTGTTTAGTCATTATTGTTCAACATGTCATAAACAGCAGCACATGCTGAGTAGGGAATGGACACATCATTTTTCTCTATAGGAATTGTTAGGCAATGGATTAGCTATTTTGGAAAGACCTAAATATTTCTACATGTGTTGTGTTAAATTTCATATCCCTGTGAACTGTGATCGAAATCAAGGGAGGAATTCAATGTCACACTCTTCTGACCATGTCATCAACGTGTGCATTTATGCCAATGAGGACAAAAACTGCTTACTGCCACCTTCAGGAGGAGCAGAGGTTACACTCTATCTTGGCTTGTACAGGGCTCATCGTGAAACCAGTTCGTCCCCTCCATGCTGTGTGTCATGATGTCATCTTGAATTGTGCTTTCCCCAACCCTCATGAGCAGTCAGTCATAACACACATACTGTTCACTTTATTTCTCCCTCTCTCTCCCAGACCACACATACGTGTATTCACTCTCCCCTCTCTCTAACACACAGACCACACATGCATCTCTCCCTCTACTGTCATACATAGGCATCTGAATTTTTCAGGATGCGCTCTGGGAAGTAGGGCAGAGTAAAATACTGAAATGGTGGAGCAAGCTGGTTTCTCACAAAAATTGAGAAGAATTTTGTCTGTACATTTCGCCTCATATCTCAGGTTCTAAAATGCTAGAAACTGACCGTTTCAAAAACGAAAGCTGAGAATCTGGAAGAAGTTTGATCCTGGAAGAATCAAATAAGGCTTTTGAGGGAGTCATGGTTCTCATAGGTGCCAGACTGATGACCCCTTCCCTAATACATGTTCATTAGGGGATTTTGGCTGTGTGTGATAAAAACAACAGATAACCTGGATTCCATTATATAAAAATTACTTTCTGCTTACCTCTTGCTTACAGATTGGGCTTTTTAACCAATCTGAATGTTCTGGTGGCAGCTTTGAGACTAGATTTCATAGAGGTGATTTAGCAATTGGACACAATCTTCTGTGGAATGTAAATTCCAATATTTCAACTGACCTTATTCCCAAGCATTTCCTCGCATTGACAGATAAAGCACTAATGTGCTTTGTGCGACACCTCACAGTATTGAAAAGCTATTCTAGCACACAAGAACATCAGATGTCTGTCATGACCACCAAATTCAGCCATGATGAGCTTTCCAGCAAGATAACAACTTTCCTTACAATTTTGCCAATGAATTCCAGCTTCCAACTCAGCATGTATGAAAAGCTATTTTGGCTACTTTGTTGGTGCTTAATAAAATATATGTGGTAGTCAGATGGGTGTGTAGCCCTCAGGATGCTGAAACAAGGTCCCAGGGAAGATGATGGGTGGCACAATAGACAGAGTGAACTGCAGAAGGAATAGCAGCCCTGCTATGAGGGCAGCAGTTGGTCATGTCTTTGTGGCAGCTGGCCCATTAGTTCCCCAGTCAGTGGTGAACCCTGCAGCTTTCTCCAAAACAAAGGCCTGCTTGAAACTGAAAATGAAAGCAGGTGTGGAAAAGGAGATCTATGTGACTTAGAGAGGTGTATATACGGGGGGGGGGGGGAGAGAGAGAGAGAGAGAGAGAGAAGAGGCCAAGGAATAAGTCTCTTCTGAACTTCTCACAGACCCAGAAGAAGCACAGAAGAACAGCTTCATTCTTTCCAGTATGGGCAACCAGATGAGTCAACCAGGAAATATTTTTTAGAATCCCTCTAAAAAGAACACAAGATTCACACATGTACACCACCTACCATTATGATAGTGCTCCTATACCTTAATTTGGGATTTTGCTGTCACAATTCTAGCCCATGATCATGCTAATGAGAAACAAGAGTTACTCAGGGAATGAGGAACAAAGCTTGATACCTTAATAGAAACAGCTCAAGTCAATTACTTCTAGTAGGCATGCTACATAATATTCTGCTTTATATCGCTGTTGTATATTACCAGACAGTCCAAATCTCTCCAGTCAGTACAGCTGGCTACGGTGGTTTACAATATCACTGGCTTTCATGGACTACATAAGGGTGCTTGCTCATGGTATTATGAACAAGCTGTCATTTCCCAAAATCTCTTTCAGCTCTTATGTGTGGACAAAATGTGACATGGACCACTTGAGAAAAAGACTCTAATGCCCATAGAGAATTTAAATCAACACTACACGTCTTATTTTTTCTTGTTAGTGTTATTTAATGACAAATACAACATAGCTTAGTTTGAATTGGCAAAAGTTACCTCAGAAATGTAGTCGTGTGCCAGCATATCTGGAGACCACTCTTGACTGTACTTTCCATAACAGAGGGTGTTTCCTTAATAATTACAGAATCCAATAATTTATGAGAAATGAAAATACTTTTAAAGCTCCCTTTTCTATACTGTTGATGTTGCCTAGCTATTTATTGAGAATGTATATTATTAGCACTTGTAGTCATTGTATAGAAGGACAGAACTGCCAGAAAAGGCCCTGTGTACCTGAACTGGATGAGCTGGAATTTGGCCAATTACTCAACAATGAATAGCCAAAATCCATCATCACTGGATCACTTAAGGCATCCATGTTTCACCTATTCCCATTAAAGCACAAGTTGAGTGGGGAAAAACTTGCTTAAATTCAGTCTGAGATTTTAACAAAATATTAATCCATGAAGCAGCAATGCAGATTGCTAGGAAGAAGTTACCGTGTCCCATGTGTTTTGGATGGTCCACATGTATATTTTCTTTCCTTCTTTCTTTATTTTATATTTATATCTATTCTGCCTCCCAGAGCAGCAACTCCTGAGGCAGTTTACAAACAAAACAATATAAAACAAAGTACTAAACTAAAAACAACAGAGATTTGAATGACCAGCACAACAGTTGTAATACTAACATTTGTTCAGTTCTTCCCATGCAGGATTGCTGGCAAAATTCTCAATTTTATTATGTTCCATTTGGACAAAATTAGATAAACAAATAATAATTGGTCTTAGATAAAGCATTGGATGACAGCTAATATTAGTTATACTCCAAATCAATCTATTAAAACAAATGGATAGGGGTCCATTAATTTCAATAGGTCTGCTCTAAATATGATAGACTGATTATTTCAGTAAACAGTTATGAGATTCTTATTTTTAAAATGCTAACATTGATAAGCTAGTACTTGACCATATAGTGGACTCAGTGTCCCTAGAGATAAAAAACTGAACCATTCTGAATTAGATATCTGATCTATTCATAGTCTCTGTGCAACAAGTACAACTTTTAAGTTGTCTTTGTAGGAAAACTTTAGTAATATGAAAAGTTACATCCCAAGCAGCAGCATTACACATTAAATAAATGTTCATTTCTCATCAGAATTCAGCTAGTTATCATGTTTAAAGTAAGCAAAGAAGGAAATCAGACATACAGGCTGATTCTAAACATGTTTCCTCAGATGTATGTCCGACTGAGTTCAATTAGACTTGTCTCTGAGGCAAGTGTGCTTAGGATTGCAGCCAAAGTCATGATCATATTTCAGCATATCCGTATCACTAAAATGATAACACATTATCATGGGCAGCATGCAATAAAAACAGGGCTTTATTTTATCACAGTATTTGCTCTCTCTCCTCTTCCTCCAACTCAAAGGACAAAACTGTTACATGTTTCTTTTATCTAACTCTTGTTACCTCAGAATCTGAGGTAACTGCGTACATTAATCTTGCATGGCAGAGATCGCTGAAATTATGTCCAAGTTAAATAATTATGTTCCATTCAATGTAGCAATGTATTTATCTGTTTACTGGAGTTCGGATCATATTCAATCAAGTGCTTTGTTTTTTTAAAAAAATCTCAACTAAAAAAATTATCATCCCAGTACTGTGAAGAAGTTGACAGAGTTGTAAACTTTTGCCAGTCTGCAGAACTGCAAGAGTTCTAAATATTTTTATTACACACTTTTTGAAAGGGCTTTGCAACATGTGAAATCTCTGAAAAATGTAGCCAGCAAATTTGCAGAGTTGTCTGTGCTATCAAATGTCTCAAAACTATGTTAAAACTATGAGAGAGACACTATTTTGAACAGAAGAAGAAACAGACTGCTGTTTTATGACTGAAAACCTACCATCACAATCTATGGGAAAACGTTCCACTGGCATTTTGTTTTATTTTGGATTGTTTTATTTGATGTTTTAATGTACATTGTAAACCACTTTGATATTTTTTATTAAAAATATAAAGTAGTGTAGAAATGATTATGGTGATGGTGATAGTTTCCATATTTGAATTAGGATATCTGAGGGTGCTCATTAGTATAATTCAACTTCAGGATACTCAGCCAAGAAGGCCATTCAGTAAGCCTTGGGAGTCACTCTCTTTTCACCTAACCTGCCTCACAGGGTTGTTAGGAGGATAAAATTAGTAGGGAAGAAACATGTATGCCACCTTGGAGGAAAGATTGGCTATAAATTAAATAAATAAATCTAGAGGTGCATTGAATAAGCCAGTAAGGGTGCAGAATTAAAACATCTCATAGTTCAATATTATGCATGTCTACTTAGAGGGAAACACCATAAAATTGAGTAGATTTTAGTATTAGGAAAGTCTGAATAGGGCTGCAGCCTTAGAGTGCTACTTTGGAAGGGCATTTTAAAAGAACTGTCTGATTCGGTTTTTATTTTTAATTATTAGTAAAAAAAAAATTAACCAATGCTGGAATTCTGTTTTGAGTTACATGCATGTGTATATAAAGGTGCAGGGGGACAATTAAGGGCTGGAAGCTGAAGCTTTTACCTCTGAAATGCTTTCACTGAAACCAATGCTATACTGATTTTAAAACTATGACCACGTTGAAGGTGAAGTTATTCCCAGTTTGGACAAAAGCTACAAAGTGAACAATATTGTTTTATAATCCCATCTTGAAATTATTAAAACTTCCTGTGATATGATCTTTTGCTTTGCATTAACTGAATCAGTATTTCTCAAAGATGCTCACTAATGTGATGAGCTATACAACTACATGAAAATCTGTCCCCTTCTTGTATTTTTGACCCTTGCATGCAGAAGGGGAGTATTTACTTATCTTTCAGCCAAACAGTACACCTGCCTCAGGTTTTCCTGTATGCAAATTTTTCAGTTCAAGCCTGAAGTCTATGATTGACCATAATAGATCTCTCACTGAATGACATTTTAAAAAGCTGAACTTTATATACATACCATACACATAAAGAAAAATAATTTTCATTAAATGCTCATTTTTATAAACATTTATAAATTCCTACTATTTTATTTTATACCTTCCATTGGTTGTTTAGGGTACAAGTTTCTGGAAAAAAAAGTTCAACAGTAACCCCACCCCCACCCCTCCTGCCATTTAGCAACTTTTAAAAATTCCCCAGTGAGATATACTAAAGCTTATATATTTTATGTGCTTTATTAACACCATGAATCCATTACTTCAACATATTTTAATACTGGGTGTTTTCATCGCTGTAAAATCCATATACTACACTTTAAATATTGCACTTAGGAAACAGTTTACAGTATCATAATTCGGACCACAACTATATAATACCGAACAACCACCACTCGTGGTGAACTGACAGGAATTTGCAGACCCTCGAGGTTTTATAAAACATCTCAAGCTGTTCCAGGTGCTTAGTTTTCAACCACTATATTGCATTATTAGAAACAGATGAGCATGCACACCAACAAATACATGTGTACAATGCATTCATATACACTATCAACACTGATTATAAAAGTAAGCAAAGCAGATGTCTCAACTTTTCAATTCTTTACTAATACTTACGCTGAATTTCACAAACCACTTATTGTAGACTAGCACAACAGGAATTAATCTGAAGTAATGTGAAGATGACAATCCTACACTATTTGCCATTTTCTATTAATAAACAATGCATGGATTCAGCAAAGAGCCTGCTAGTTCCAAAATTAGAGGCACAGTCAAAAATTCCCAAAGCTCTCCCTCCCCAAGATACAAAGACTTCTAAACTGTCTTTTCTTCAAAAATACATTATATTTATATTTTTCAAAAAGCTTTTCTTAAACATCATCTTAAACTGTGAAGAGAAAGTTCTTTAGAAAGTTACTTACTCTTCATATACCTTTAATGAATTGAAGAGTTTAAAGAATTCCTCTGCTCTTTATCCTGACGTGTTTTAAAGCATAGGTTATCACTGTAAACTAAAATGAGACAGTTCAGCTTGTATTGATTTTCTGGTGAGCATAAGCGTACGATTGAACTCAGTGAAACCCTATTCTGAATGGTGAGCAAGCTAAAAGAAACGTTAAAATGATAATTCCAACATCTTTGCATACTAGGAAAAAAGAAACCAGACTGAAAAGGAATGTTTCAAGTCCACTGTATAAAGTCATTTTGACATGCCTACACAACTGGTTATGGCAGCTTTCAGAGTGATTCCTCGTCACAAAAAAAGAAAGAAAAATGCTCCAGGTTCTTTTAGAGAAAGCTCTCCATTGGGAAGTTGATTTTGGCCATGTGCCAAAATCATGTGCAAAAGGGGCCCTCATTACCAATTCATGGCAGCCTTCAGCGCTAACAAAAAATGTGACCCAACAGGCTAAAGCAACAACAAAAATTAAAATCTAGGAGACAAAGACAACTTACTTAATATTCCCCCCAGAGCTACATTAAACTTTTTAGTAATTCAAACCCTATTAGTCCAAAGCCATACTGAACAGCTTTTAAATTATCGTCGAGATATTCTGTAAAAGTTGAAAAACACTCTTTGTAACTCTTCCCAAACTGTAGGACTTCTTGAAAGTATTTTTTATGGGATAGCTGAACTTTCTCTTTCCACATCCATGGCTATGAAATCGTGTTCTAAACAGGTACAGCTTTGCACACACAGATTTTATAAACTTGGAAACTAAACGGAGTAGTGCAGCATTTTGCCAGCTTTTCAGACAGAGCAAAACAGTTACGGTGCAAGAATCTCTCTTATTTAGAAAAAAACGTACATGCAAGCAAGGCAGTTTTAAGCAATTGCAATTAACTGAGAACTCACTGCACTGTTTCTCATAAAAGCAGATTTGATATTCAGCCTTACCTAGATGTCGTCTGGCTTTTCTGTGGATCAAAAAGTTTCCTGCCTAAGCACACAGATATTCTTTCACAACCCATAAAGGCCCCTTTTATTAATCCAGCACGGTAACAAACTTCTTTCTGCACCACACGTTGAGAGCAGGATGCATCAGCTTTCAAGACAGAACGCATTCTTAATACACAAATGTTGGCAGATTGCATAATGCTGGATTTATCTTAAAGAGGGAAAGGCCTTTTTTTTTTCAAAAAAGCACCAAAAACAAAAAGAGTAAAGAGGGTGCGGTTAGATGTTAGGCTATCCCTGAGAAAAGGGCCTAGGCTGCTGCACAGGCACCTAAATGCTAGCAGAAGCTTACTGGGAAAGGAGCCAATGGAATGACTTTGTTTGACCCAGCTGCCAATCTCTCCTGAAGCAGTGCGCCAGACTAAACACTGACACTATTTTAACTCAAATCAGGCTACAGCAGCTGTTTGCTTTCCGGCTTTGAGCTATGCACCATGGCTGTGATGACTCTGCACGGCACTCTATCATGTTAAAATATGTTCCTTGTTTGGTTCTGTCATATAGCAGTCATTATGTTTAACCACTTCCTCTCCCCCAGTGCAATAAAATAGATGAGCTTATGTGATTGTTGAAACTTCCAGTGAAGAAGAAGGGTTGCCAGGGAACACTGGCGATCTTTAGGACAAGAAGACAAGTTCCAGAGCCTGGCATACCAGGGATGCAACACAAATGAATTCTAACATTGAGTGGTGCGCATTCTGTAGTCCACCTCAAAACAAAACATATGTTATGACATGGTTGAACTTCAATAGTAATATATCTCATCTCCAATTGAACCTAGATCTTTGCCACTTCTGAGGTTCACTGGGAATTGATTAAGCGTTCCTAGAAGAAAAGTCCAATAACTGCAGACAGGTTTGGAAGATATCTGCTTGACTGGTGGCCCAGCTATGCTATTTGGACAAGGATGGCCCAACTTTTGTTGCCTATGCTCTGGTAACCTCTAGGTTAGATCACTGGTCAGAAGCTGTAGAAGGTACAGAAGTCAACGCCAGGGTGCTCACTGGGGCAAGAGAGTCTGAGCACATAAAACCACCCCTAGCCTGACTACACTGGCTAATAATTCATTTCCAGCTCAATTCAGAGTGATTGTTTCGACCTATGAAGGCTTATAGGACCCTTATACCTCAAGGCTTCAGGACTCCTATACCTCAAGCACCACCTCTCACAATATGAGCCAATTTCAGACCCTGAAATTGTTATTCTGAGGTCCAGGCAAAAACTTTCCTTTTCACCCAGGCCTTTGGTCCTTAGTTTGGAAGTTTTTAAAATCTTTGTGGCATCTTCTGGTGGAGCAGGATCTACTATACCTATCTTATATTTGTATAGATGTGTTGTTGTTTTTAGGTTTTTATTGACTGTGTGTTATAAGTTACTTTGAGTCATTTTATGAGTAATGTGACGAATAAATAAAATGATACTGATATTTTTGTTGATTACCGTCAAACCACATAAATTACAAAGCCAGTGATTTTTTTTTGGTTTTACACTTGCTAAACTTTTGCTGTGGACTACTTGATCAGCTCAAGCAGCCTGCTGGGGAAAACAGAACCAAACCTGAAAACAGTCCATGATGAGTATCAGAGGTGAATGCTGCAATCCGGAATGAATACAAATCAGTTTCCAGAAATAAGAGGCCAGGTGGTCAGAGGAAGACAGTATAAGGCAGGCAAGAAAACAGATCACAAGAAACAGAAAACAACCCTATGTTTGAAGGGCCAGAAGCATGATATGCACTTCTGTACAGTTCCCCAGACGGCAGTAGCCCAAGTGAAGCAAGACAAGACAAAGATACCTCTAGAGCACCTACTTTTTATGATGTTGATGTATGGTTAACCAGGCTCCTTTTGGCTTCTTATTTCTTGGCCTGGCTGGCCAGATTAACTACTGTACTTCTTTCTGAACACTATTTGGATGGTTCTGCAGCACAACAAAAATCAGACCAATAGCTCCTCTGTCTGATAACTGCTGCACTGTCACAGAGAAAAAGGCACCTGGGCCATCTGCCAGAATCCCAGTGCTTATACATCTCTCTCTTTGGTCAATATATTCTCTCTGTGCTGTATATGAGACTGGCCTTTGAAAATAGTTCAGAAGCTTCAGTTAGAGCAGTTGACTAACTGTTGACAGGTTTGAGACGGACACATCATGTAATACCAAATCTGTTACACCTACATTGGCTGACTGTACACTTTTATTTTTTATTTTGTTTTAGAAAAATAGGTGCCAGTACTCAGCATGAAGTTGTTACGGTGCCACACTTTTTAACAACAGCAAAAGAGGTGCTGGTTCTGCGTGCCCTTGAGTACCCCCTAATAATAATAAAAAACTAACACTGCTTCCAAGCCCAATTCAGAGTGCTGGTTTTGATATAAATCTCTTTATATCAGGGCCCCAATATTTCAGAACACCTTGCCCCACCCTGCCCCGATATAACCTTAATAACACAAGAAACTGCAATTTCATGTTATGTCCAAACTCTAAACTGTGGTCAGTGGTCTGGGTTTGCATACATTGTGAAACAGTAGTTAGTTAAAAATAAAAACAAAAGCTTCCAAGATTTGGGTAGCTGACAATGGAGAGGCAGTTGATGAGCTGAAGGCTCATTCACATAAAGAAATGTAGTGCTCCAGACTACTTTTCAGCAAAGCTCTTGATGCTTTTTGACACTGGCCATTGTGCATATACATGAGGATAGTAGACAAGAAAGGTAATGTGCTTCAGAAATAGTTTGAGAGTAAATTCACATTACATAGTTTGTTGAGACAACTGCAGTTCTCACCTCACAGCTTGCTTATATGAAGCTACCATCACCAACAAGATATAATATTGCCAAAACTTTCTTTTCATAGTGTCAATATTGCACAATTTAAGAACTAACGTTATTATATATACTTTTGAAAAAACCTGAAAGAAAGACAGCACACTCCTAAACATGTTTATTCAGAGATAAGGCCCACTGAGTTCAATGGAAATTACTCACTGGTAAAGGATGTTTAGGATTGCAGCCTAACAGGCATTTCAATATTTGCTTTACATAATGAGGCTTGTGAAACTAAAACCGAGAATTTAAAACTAAATGCTTTCCTTGCAAAGTTTAAATAACCCATCAGTCTTCTAACATATGTCCCTTTGACTTGTGCTATGTTGAATTTTAAAATAGTTTTAGTCTAGAAAGTCAACATATATAGAGAGAGAGAGAGAGAAGAAATCTTCACCATCAAAACTGAAAGATACTGAAGTTTCATTTTTCTCCCTAGACTCATCTTTTGAACTTGATAAAACCTACTGGTATTTGGTTATTATTATTATTATTAATTGCATTTGTTACTCACTTTTTTCAAAGCTTCTCAAATGACTGAACAAGATAAAATACAAATAGAGAAATACAAATAGAGGACATTTTAGAACAATGTTTTATAAATCCTTGCAGATTAGTAAAGTGCACAGCATTTTTTAAAATTAACATTTGTGCAGTTCATTTTTTCATAGAATCATGGCCTAGGACCCTCGTACCTACGGGACCGCCTCTCCTGGTATGCCCCACGGAGAGCCTCAAGGTCCATAAATAGCAACACCCTAGTGGCCCCGGGCCCTAAGGAAGTTAGATTAGCTTCAACCAGAGCCAGGGCCTTTTCAACACTGGCTCCAGCCTGGTGGAACACTCTGCCTCATGAGACCAGGGCCCTGCAGGATCTGATTTCTTTCCACAGAGCCTGTAAGACAGAGTTGTTCCGCCTGGCCTTTGGCTTGGAGCCAGTTTGATTACCTCCCCCTCTTTCTTTTTTCTTTTTCCTTTCTCCTCCTGTGATGAGGCTGCATTTTAAGATTATATTGTTTCAATATTTTAATGTTATACTTTAATCTTGTTTTTAAGTTGTATTCATTCAACTTGTTTTTATTATTGCTTGCTAGCTGCCCTGAGCCCGGCCTTGGCTGGGAGGGCGGGGTATAAATAAAAATTATTATTATTATTATTATTATTATTATTATTATTATTGGGTTGGAAGGGACCCCAATGTCATCTAGTCCAACCCCCTGCAATGCAGGAATCTCAACTATGACAAAGGGCCTTCCAATGAAGGAGGGTCCACCACCTCATGTGGGAGTCTGTTCTACTGTTGAACAGCTCTTACCCTCAGAAAGTTCTTCCTGATATTAAGTTGGAATCTCCTTTCTTGTAACTTGAAGTCATTGGTTTGGGTCCTACCTTCCGGAGCAGAAGAAAAAAAAGGTTTCTCCCTCCTCCATGTGACAGCCCTTTACATAATTTGGAGATAGTTTGCATATCTCTTCTTTGTTAATATCCTTCTTAAATTGTTGTTCCCAGAACTGAACACAGTACTCCAGGTGTGGCCTGACCAAGGCAGAATAGAGTGGTATTATTACTTCCCTTGATTGGGACACTATACCTCTGCTGATGCGACCTAGAATAGCATTAGGGGTTTTTTTGTTTGTTTGTTTTTTGCTGCTGCATCACACTTGTTACTCATGTAAGGTGGTAGTCCACTAAGAACCCTCCTCAATCATTTTCACATGTACAACTGGCAAGCCAGATGTCCTCTCTTGCAAACCTAAGCTCATTCTGAGCTTTCAAAATGTTTCTGCTACAAAGACTGAGATATTCACAGTAAAAATAATGGGGGAAAACAACTACTATAATGTAAGTCAAACATTTGACAGTAGACCTTTAAGATTTCAATTTTGAAATCTAGGACAATAGAGTAAGATGAGGTGTGTGTAATAAATGTAGGATTTACATTATTTACGTGAAATGAAGTGTGTTGCTTAATGTTTACTTGTTATGCTTCATAGACAGGAAGCTGCAGAATGATGCATAAACTGGAAGTAGTGACTTATTTCATTTGACATCTTCGGGACTGCAACAGCATATGACGCTACCTTATAATGAGGTAGACCATTGGTCCATCTACCTCAGTATTGTCCACCCTGAAGGGCAATGGCTCTCCAAGTTTTCAGAAGGAAGACATTCCCGGACTTACCTGGAGATGTCAGAGATAGAGCCTACCACTCGGTTATGGCCATTTCCTTTAATTGTCAGTAATACTGCCTGAAAGCGCACAAATGAAAAATAAAAATAACTGTAGCTGTTAAGACTGAGCTAAAGCAACTCCTGAGTTTGCATTTAGGCCGTACTTTGTGGAGAGCTACAAAGCATTCACCCCTTGTGCAAGGAGCACACCCTTGTATTGCTTAAGCAAGTGGGAGAATTTGTCTTTTTCCTATGCTGCATTGTGAAGATAAGCCACATCATTGGTCAGTACTTTGGTGGCTTCCTAGGCACAGCACCAGAAGTGAGGGAGCACATTCCTAAATTGCCTAGCCAACAAAATGATACTCCCCTTGTAAGACCATTACATAAACTAGTAGCAATAGGATTGGTTATTTGATAGACATGTTGTGGAAGCTACCTAACCTTGCTGTTGTTGTTTTTTAAATTTGTCTTTATTAAAGATTTTCTTGGTTTACAAAAGTGCCTTCTCTATTTTTTTCAGGTTGCACAGTCTTTCTTACAAATCAGTTACATTTATTGTAGACATTAGTGTTGAGTATAGTATAAGGTGGGGGGAGGGGTGATGAGGCTTATATTCTTTTGTAAGTGTATGTGTGGGGTTTTGTGTCAGCTGAGTAGTCCATGATGTCCTTTCAGTAATATGTGATGCTGATCTAATAAAAAATATCACCCACTGAATCCTAGTTACTGCCTCTGCATCTGCCTTTAGTCTCTACGGCCAAAGGGGAAGGGAAGCCAATAAAATGATTCAAATATAGATTAGCCGCAGTCAGGCAGTAGACAAACAAAATTTTCTTGGTGGCTAGCTACTATTATAATAATGGAAGGACAGGAAGTATATTTTAAATATCTCCCCTTTTGTATGTCTCCTCTTCCTCCTTTTAAACCTGCAACACAACATGAAACAAGACATACCTGAGCATCCCACTTTTATATGCCATGGGAATGTGGAGAACTGATAGGAAGGAAAGGGGTAGAGGTGGAGGTGGCCTTTTTGCACATCGAATCTGATGCCGTGATAAATATATGTGACAAGGATTGTGTTGCATTGACCACAGATACTTAATATGGGGTACCTCAAGGACAATTTTGAAGAGGTTGCTATAAAAATACAGTAGGAACTAGGAACTTGGAAATCCAGTTCAATCATCTTTCAAAATTATAGAAAACAGTCTCAACATTCATGAGTGAGAACTTAGAGAATGTTGTACTAATGTGCAAACAGACTTGCCAAATGCTTCCCAGAAATCTAAATATGGTCTGCAGTAAATCTGGAAGCACAATTATTATATAAGCAAATTCAATAATCTAAATGGGTTTTTAAAAAACAACAACAGATTTTTAAAACATGTAGTTATGAACACAACATTAAGATAGACTCTTAAGCAGAGCTAATCAATGTGGTGCTCTCCAGATGTTGCTAGACTACATTTCCCAACATCCCCAGCCAGAGGCTATGCTAATTGGGACTGATGGGAGCTTGAGTGCAACAAAAATCTGGAGGGCACCTTGTTAGCCACCCCTGCTCTAAAGTAAGAAACATGTTCTGCTTTAAATGGGCGCAAGACATAGGCCATAACATTATGTTGGAAGATTGGGAAAGATTATGGAAAATAGACTTAAAATTTACAGACTGTTCTTTATTGGAAAAAAATTACATGAAAATGATGTATAGGTATTATATAACACCAGTACAATTAGGGAAAATGTATAAAACTGGCTCAAATTTGTGTTGGAAATGTAAGGAAAAAGAAGGGACTTTTTACCATATGTGGTGGGATTGTAGTAAAATTAAAATGTTCTGGGAAATGATATATAATGAGTTAAAGAAAATGTTTCATTTAACATTTGTGAAAACCCCCAAAGCTTTCTTATTAGAGATTGTGGGAAAAGACCTGCCAAAGAAATTTAAAAAACATTTTTATGTACACGATAATGGTGGCAAGAGTCTTAATAGCACAAGGGTGGAAGAATGAGGAAATCCCGACGAAAGAACTGTGGCAAGAAAAACTGATGGACTATGTGGAATTGGCAAAACTGACACACAAACTACATGACAAGGATAACTGTGATTTTAAAGATGAATGGGAACCATTTACGAAATACAAAATGAATTGGACTCTTTCGCAGGTTTTGAATAAACATTCACAAACTCTTTATTGTAATATATAGATAGATAATCTGAGGATCTTTACAATTTCACAATATGCAGACAGAAAGATGTGTTGAGAAACCAGAAGAAAGGAGCTGAGGGAAGTCCGGGGGTGGGGTGGGTTTTCTGTTTAGAGGGGAGGGGGGGAAGGAGGGGGAAAACAATGTGGATGATGTATTTTTGTTTAAATTACTGTGTTGAAATATCTAATAAAAAATTAAGAAAGAAAGAAAGAAAGAAAGAAAGAAACATGTTCTGCTGATGGGACTCTTCTTGGGGTGAGGGCAAACTGACAAAATAAAACAGACTTGTTTGTAGATGAAATAAATAACTACAAATTTGATACATATAACAAAAATGTTACAGTCTTAAGCTTCTGAAAATAAAAAATGCATGTCAACTGACATGACAGCTCACAACCTGCATAACCCCAAACTGTATTATTCTTATAAGAAAATTTGGGGATGTGGAAATGAATATAAAAAGATTTTAAAAGAAAAGGTTGCGTGCGTGCTGGCATGCACCCCCCAAAAAACACTGCTCCTTATAGAATGCTAGAAAAGGGTCCCTTACTCCTCTCAATCAAATGTTAAGCTCCTCTGAGCAAAGATCTATCTCAAGCCTAGTTCCTTTGTTGTTTAAATTGGTGAGTTGGGTATAGTATCAACTTCCACCCCTGGGATTCTCCAAAGTTATGGACCCAGAATAATGAACCTGAAATGAGGCAAGTATTGTGTACAATATGTTTCAGTGTTTATATGTGTATAAATTAATTATTTTCTGACAAAAAGGTTACTTTATTTGAATTATGAATTTTACAGTAAAATTAACTAGATTCAGTCAATATGATCAAAGTCATATTTTCTCTACAATTTGAGATACTTAATTTTTGTCCCACCATCAATCAGACATTTTAGAGCTCAAAATTAAGATTCCAATGTACTAGGGTTCAAAACTGCAATACTAGGGTTCAAGTTAATTTAGCCCCTCTGTCCTCAATTGGTCTCATTTGATCTTACTTGTAGTAGGGCCTTGTAGATCAGGCTGTTGAGTGTGTCCACTTTCTTTGGAGTCTGAAAGCATTTTAAAGCACCTAATCAAAATGTTTGCGTTCCTGCTTGCAAAATTATTATATTTTAATTGGTGTTTGATTTGGCCCCATCTGAACTATGCATTCAAAACAGTATTATACCATTTTAAACAGTCATTGTTTCCCACCCCCCCAAAGAATCATGGGAACTATAGTTTGTTAAAGGTGTTGAGAGTTGTTAGGAGAACCATATTCCCCTCACAATCTGTAATTTAACAGTCTATTTGTTTTCCCAGGAAGCTCTAGGAACCGTAGCTCTGCAAAGGAAATAGGGGTCTCCTAACAATTCTCAGCAATTGTTGATACAACAGAACTCTGAGCCTGACGCCTTTGACTTACCCTACCTTAAGTCAGCTTTTATTCATTGTTGACCTCTGGCTGATCAGATTGGTTTGTTGTGTTTGACCCTGGTTTATATCACTTTGCAACTTCTCCTGCAATTGTTTGGGAATCTTAAGTGTGAGACCACAGTTTCTATGGACTCTGTAGTCCCGCAGCCTCTACAACGAATATTGGAACTCCTACTGTTCTTTTTCTTACAGAGCAGCACATCCACCTTTGACTTTACAGAGACACAGTAAGATGCTATCTGACATGGCAACCCATTTTTAGGGGGCACAACCTGTATCTAAAATGCTCCTCATTTTCCTCATTGGTGTTCCAGGTGTGAACCCAATTAAAAATTGGGGGGGGGGGGGAGAGCAGGAACACACAGGTCAGGCACTTTCTCTGTGTTAGCTCCCCCTAGGTTACAGTGTAAGAAATAAAGATCGTATCCAAAATTGAATTCTAGGAAGTAGATATTTGTCTGTATGAGATATTTAACATAGATGGAAATCAAGCCACAAAATGAAGAATTTGATAACACTGAATTTATGGTGGTAAGTTATGGTGATCTTTAAAAGAACCAGCAGTTAATCACTAATGAATGTGAAGATGCACAGTTAGTGTTGCACAAGGCAGAGGCCACGGAAAAAATGTGACATAATAAAAATCTCATTGCTAGAACCCTGCTTAGGCATTCTAATTAATTCCTTGCCCTTCACCAGGTTGGTAGTATAATGTCCATTTATGGAGACCTCCAATACAATTTAGAATACTGATGTTCCAGGGTTCTAAATCGCGCAGGGAGCCTACTTGAATATAAAAGGTTTTCCACTCTAGATATTTGCCTCTGACCTGCAGACAGTTATGAGGATGGAAACATGGGGGCTAGCACCACTTTCACCCCCACTTCCCCCCACATGATTCTCATTGTTTGTGCAAACAAAAAGCCTGAATAGGCATTGGATTTTGACCACAGCTGGGAATGGAAGATATAGTAATAGCCTGCATGTATCAGAACTACTGTGTATTTTCATAGAGGAATGGGTTGCTGTATTAGTCAGAGCAACAATATAGGAATGGTCTATGATAAAAAAAGTAGGATGAAATTCTGTTGAAATAAAAATGCACTTTATAGTTATAGGCATATTTCAATTAGGACTGGAAAGTTATTTCTATTTGTTGCCTGTTCCGTCCCAAAGGATTGGGATGGGTAAAAACATAAAAACGAATAAAACAGACAAGTCATTTGAGGAGAGAAAATGTTCCTGTTCTTTTCCAACGTCCAATATCTTGTTTAAAAATTGTAATGAGTTTGTAATCAGCTAGGCAGAACCAAATTATAGTGATTCCTTTTTGGGAGACAACCCAAGGATTATTCAGCATGATATGATATTTCTTGTTGTACTTCTCTATGTTCCTAAACTCTGGGTAACATCCCAATAATTCTGCTTGATTTTTCAACTAGTTTTTAAATGAAAGCACAGTATTTTTCAACAGATGTATTCAGTTAAAAAAGTAATGTAAAACCACATGGAAAAAAATCTGAGAGCTATCATGACCATAATAACTAAAAATCTGTTTTCTTAAATTGTGGAGATATTAACTTAACAGAACTAAAAACTTGTTCAATGCTTCTTTTTATAATTTTTTTTTTAAAGGATGAGGGAGTTCATTTCATGCTATTTTATTGCATATCCTGAACTAATATTTCACCTGTACAGTATTCCCGAATAAAAATGTAATTCATTCCACATATTAATTGCTTCTCTTTTCTCTTTTTTATAGCTATAAATAATGTTGCATTTTAATTCAGATGATGCTTTGATGATCTGGAGATTGTGGGACAGATGTATGAAGAAACAAATGATTGTTAAGAGCTATGACCTAATGACCAGATATGACTTCTAATGTACAATCATAAAACTACACAATCCTAGATGTCTTGTGAAATAAGCAAGCATGAGATTGGAGCCTAGTAACACTTACTAATCAAGCTTAGTGAGGCTTCCTAGTGCATAGAATTTTACTTCACAGTAAACAGCGTTTCCGTGCACTGCTCTGGTTCACCAGAAGCGGCTTAGTCATGCTGGCCACATGACCTGGAAGCTGTACGCTGGCTCCCTCGGCCAGTAAAGCGAGATGAGCGCCGCAACCCCAGAGTTGGTCACGACTGGATCTAATGGTCAGGGGTCCCTTTACCTTTAAACAATGTCAGGATGTGCCAAATCAACAACTTTCCCCCTTGAGGAATGCCCTGCCATTCTTCTTTGCTGTGGGACATCCAGAGATCTTTTAGAAGTATCTCTCCTGCTAGAATTTCCCCAGCAATTCAAACCTAGGTGTGCTTCTTCAGGTGTTGCAGGAGCAGTCAGTGTTAGCTATGAATGAGGTATAAAATTGCCACACATATTTGCATTTTTGCCAGAAAAAATAATCCTGGAGTTACTAAAAGGTTCAGTATGCTTAAAATGTAAACTTTATATCCATATGGCTTTTCTATCCAAACAAATCCCCAGTAAAGCTATTCATTTCATAGCCTTTAATTACTTTCAAGTCAATGTAGTTCGATGACAAATTGCGCCATTTAAAGGTATTTGGATAAAAGTATGACATTCATTTTCAAATGGATGAGATGTAGTCTTACATTATGAAGCTGACGGAATTTGGGAATGTAGTTTTTGCTTCTGCTGAAAACTACTTGGATGGAGAACAGATAAGTGATTCTCCTCCATTTATTTTGCTTAACTTCTTCTTGGAAAAAATAATATTCGTCTTTCACACTTCATTTGAAAGGATCTCATAAAATAGATCACTAGGTCTTATTGTCCAAGAGGAGTGGCTGCCTGACCGAGCAACTCAGTTAGCCAATTTATAAAGTAGACTGTTGAATCACCTGACACAGGTTCTCTCTGGAAATCAGTCTGTTGCAGACACAGGGCATGAACCTGTACTCTCTAGATAATGTACTTAATTAAGCATTCCCCAAAATATAATTTAATACATGTTCAGAAGAGGGAAAGGACTTTAATACAATTGTGAAACTGCAGAGTCTGAAGGAAACTTTCCAAACTAACATCACTGCACATTTACTACAACATTAAGGAACTTGTCACAGGAAACCTGGTACAACATGCCATCAATAATTTGCTGTAACTAATATTTCAATCTTGTTCCCAATCAAACAGAAGTCATCTTATACCGAGTCACATCATAAGTCCTTCTAAGTCAGTATTACCTACACCAAGGTTGGGTTAAACATCTGTGGCCTTCCAGGTGTTGTTTATCTCTGACTCCGACAAGTCACAGCAAACATGGCCAATAACATAGGCCTCTGACAAAGTCCAAGTTTCAGATTTCAGTTCAGTATTAAATCAGTTAAAAGTGAGTTTCAATTTTAAAAGAAAATCTTCACATGAAGTTAATCCCCACTTCATCTCCATCCACCCCCCCCCCAAAAAAACATTTCTAAGGGAGCTAAACTTTTTAAAGTCCCTCCCTCTTTCAAATCCCTACTTACTATTATTTACTACCTGTGTTTTTCAGATGAGCTCCTTATGCTCTAACTGGCTGCAACAGAACCTGGGGAAAACTGGCCAGTGCTAGAAATGTGGAACAAAATATGTGGGAGCCCACTCCCAGAAAGTCTTAGTGACAAAGCATCAATGTATCATGTGAGTAAAGCAACTGAGCAAGTTCAGAAACAAGATAAGGAGGTCAGGGCAAACTATGCCCCTTCCCTTTGTGACTTAACAAAACTCGTTTCCAAGTGAACTTAATAGGTCAATAGGATGATGGGATTTATAAGTCCAGTATCATCTGGAGGGGTATGAATTAGTCATCCTTGATCTATGCTTCCTGGTGGCAGCTGCCCATGTCCTTCGCAGTGCTGACTGAAGATGCCAGGGATTGAGCCTAGGACTTCTTGGATGCAAAGCAATTCCTCTCCCACTGAGCTGCGCAACCCAGAACTATTGATGCATCCTAAGGCTTTCAATGGCTACTAGCCATGATGGCTACCTAGCATGTCAGCTATCTAGGTAATATGCCTCTGAATAGCAGTTGCTGTGGATCACAAGTGGAAAGGGTACAGTCCTGCTTGCAGGCTTCCCTTGGGCATCTAGTTGACCCCCTTGAGAACAGAATGCTGATCTAGATGGGCTTTGGTCTGATTCAGAAGGGATCTTCTTATGTTCTTAAATATCCATCTGGCTTCTGGTATTGATGTGTGTGTTCTAAGGCTATGATACAATATTCACATACCTGGGAGTAAGTCCCATTGAACTCAATTAGACATACAGCTGAGTAGATATTATAGGTATCCTTATATGATTCTTTAACAACATCCATTATCCATGGATAATATCAACTCCTAAATCGAACTTTAGCAGAAGAGCAGTGTTTCTTTTGGCTTTGCATCTTTAGGCTACTTCCTTTGACATAAACTATAAATAAGAGTTCCATTTATTATGCCCTGCAGGCCAGACACTCTATATAACTGTAACCACACTAGCTGCTTTTTGTAGTCTGAATCTAACACACCAGGCTATATTAAAAACAAACTTCATTTTCTTAATTTCTTCCATAAGCCCTTGCCTTTCACATTCTCATCTCTTTTCCTTCCACAGTTTGCAGTTGTTGTTTTTTAAATGAAGCTTCCTTCTGCTTT